TAAAAGTCAAATAAGAGACTAATCTGCACTAAAGTAAGCAGCACTCCTACTGCTGAGAAACCGAGTAGCTTCATAAGTAGGTGTCTACCTCAATGAAAAAAAAAATCTGGGCCCTGACTTCAGTACTCTCAAATCCATAATTTTGACCTTTGTGATCTCTTAAATTTGGCCTTCCAGCACACTTGCCATTTTCTAATATTATCTTCAGGCACAATGTAAATGCTTAGAAGGGAGAAGAAGACAGTGAAGCAAGAGAAAGAGAAAGGCAGTGGCATGAAGGGAAAAACATTTTTCTCCTTCTTGACTACAGGAAGTTGGTGCGTAGTTATGTGTTATTGCAGGCAGCCTTGTCCTCGAGTCACAAAAGGCAGTGTTGCAATGCTGGCTTAGGATGGAAAGCCTGGCAGATGTAAGGTTAGGAAGGATCTAGGCTCTAAGTCTGAGTACTGGAGGCCCCTCAAAGGGACATTACAACAGGGCCAAATTGGTATCCATAGCGACGGATGAAGCACTGAAGGAAGTTATAGTTGCCAGATGCCATTGAAGGCTCTATGCATTGTCTAGGAGTTTCTTTTAGCACATCCTGCATGCTGATTCGAGACCTTGTGGGATATGCCGCAAGCAGCAAAGATAAAAAGTGTTGTGCGGCACTTAGTGAGCAATAGTAACGTTTCTATGTAATGTTCTTTTTTAGCTGTGTTCATTCAAGCATCTATGTTCTCTCCACTCCACTGTTTCTTAAGGGGATCCCCTCTTTCTTTTGGCCTGACTCTATGATGTTGTCTGTTTTTAGCTATCGAAGCTGCAAAACTGGGTTTATTATTTTAGGATCTCTCAGCAGGAAAATCCATCAGTGTTGGCAAAGCTGAAACATGGCGCGTTTGCCAGTTGTTTACAGACATGCCTTCAATGAGAAAGAGTAAGATGAGTAAAGAGGTTTCCAATACCAGTCCTGGGAAACTGTAGCGCTATGTACTTTTGAGTTCCTAACACTTCTCATTCAAAACAGTTTTAGGCAATAGAGTGGGTACAAGTAGCAAAGCTATTAGTTTGATTTTTTCAGAAACATGGTGGTAGCATCATTTTCCAATTCCAATAACTTTTCTGTAGTGCAGCTATTTTAGCAATCAAATATTGGGGTAATGCTGGAATGCTGTGTAATTTTTTTCTAGACTAAAAATGCAGTGACCCCACAAATGCATTTTGGATAAAAACCTGCCGAAGTCTCCAAAGAAACTGCTCAAATGATAATCTGAAACGCACCAGCAGCCTATTGAAAGAGTACTTTACAAAAAGTACTTCCATCAAGCTATCAATGTAGCTAGGTGCATTCCCCATGAAGGGTCTAAGGAATCACTGGTCTCAAATAAGGAGTCTCTACCATACACTGCTGCTTTGTAATTTTAATATAATAATATTCTTTCCTTATCCCAGAGGTGCCAGTTACTTCTCTTCCATCTTATATCAATCCAAGCAAAGAATCGCACTAACAGGAAAGATCATAGCCAGTGAAGAAGTGTTAATTCATAAGCTTCATGGTCTGAGTGAATGGTTTGGGTGCAGTGGTTGCAGGGTGTTATGTGTGAACTGGGCTGAAGAAAACATAAACTTCAGAGCTGTTCCCTGGCATTACTACTTTCAGCAATATTTACAGCATTCTAACGCTTAACGCATGTCACTTGTCTTTTGACCCCTACCTAACAGCTGGGATTTAACACATATATACAGTGCCTTGGAAAAGTTTTCATTTCCACTGAAAGTCGTTAACATTTTCTGGATTACAAATGACACTTGCACATTTTTTCAATCAGTATTTTATTTGTAAGTCATATGCTCTAACAAGGCATTTTTAAATTAGGTGCAGGTTTTTTTTTGCAGGGAATAGGCAATACAGTACCCAAAGATTTTTTTTTATTTATCACTTATTATACCATTACCAACATTACATATAAAACCTCAGAACACATGTGTAAACATGTAAAGAAAACGAAGTTTGTACGTTTCTCTACAATGAACCATTTCAGACCACTCTTGACTTTGTTTATAGCCATTGCATTAAGCAGATGTTTTGAAAAATCAGTACAAGTCTTTTGACTATAAGTCAGCTTTGTGGACTTTTCATTATTGCATTCTGGAATTGAATCACACACTAGCTCACCCACTTTAATTACCCTCCCCAATACACACACATGCTTTCTTAGAACAATATATTTTGGTTCCAATGAAGTAAGGTCTGATACTTGTCTCCAGTCCTTAATCATGCCCGAGCTGCCTGTAAGCTTACCCCTGACCCTGGGACCCTTGTGTAAATCCTGCTTTTAGGAGCACATGTAATAATTCAATTAGCTGTCAGTTCTAACAGCTTTAGCACGCATGTCTGCAAGTGTGGCTGTTGGGTCCTCCAACTGGCTATGCCCAACAGGTGCTCCCCATGATGAAGTACAAAGACAGATGCCTGTGCCACTTTACTTGTCCGACGTTATTAGTCCAGGGCCTATAGTATATATAATACATTAGGCATGTGACTGACTGATCAGTTTATATTGTCCTCATGCATTCATTATGGACTGAAAAGCAGATCTTATATTCAATATGACACTTTTTATGACTCATTTTAGTAAAATGGGCCATAACACCAGTGACACAACAAGAGCTAAAAGGACTTTCACATGCAAGGCCTGATGTCTGGTTCTATAGAAATAAACAAGCTGAATTCTCACAGGTTCTCCCTAATACTTCAGTTGACTAACATTACATACATTTAGAGGACAGTCCCTCTCCATTCATTTCAGCTAGCTAGGCCTGCTGAATGCTAACTGTCATTTCTGTTTTGTCAGCTAACAGTTATGCTGTTTCACACTTACTAATTGTGTATTGGCCAAAGAAAACCATCTCCAAAATGGCAGCTTTACAGGAGAGGGCAAAAACGTTCTTTACTTCTAATGAAAGTTAATGTAAAGAGATTTTATTCCAAGTGAATTGGCAGCATTTCTATTGGTCCATTCATTGTAAAATTTCACCCAAAAAAAAAAACATGGCTGCTGTGTTCAAATGATGTAGAAAAATTTAAATAGAAAATTAATGAAGATACAAGTTTTTCCTTCAATTTGTGTGTTATTGTTCTTTCTTTTTGAAGTATTATTTTTAAATTATCAGTTATTTATTTTCTTTCCTTCTCTGGATATGAAGAGTGAAGTTGTTGTCTATGTATATATTTATTTCCAAAATTATTTTAAATTTTAATTCAATATGTAGCTTTTTAAATGTCCCCAAAGTTTTCGGCAGCCAAAAAGCATTTTTTAAGCTACTTCAAGTCTCTTTGAAGCTGCTTGAAAGAATGCTGAGAGTATGCAAAACTACATCAAGGCAAATGGAGCTTCTTTGAGGAATCTATTGTAAAGAATAGCAAAGGGGTGCCACTTTAAAGAATATAAACAGTAAAATATAGTTTGATTCAATTAATAGGTTTTGGTCAATGTATAATTCCGTATGTGTTTGAGAAATGGGGCTCTTTCCTAGATTAAGTTGCATTTTGGTCTCACAAACTTCATATTGCATTGCTTTTTAAGGAGGCTCTAGTTTCTTTCAGCTCTCCCTGGCTTCCCCGTTTAAACACTACGTAACAGGTGTTCAGTAGAACCTTTAGGACATCTAAATTTTATTATGATATTATCAGGATTTCATGTGGATTACTCCAATAAATTCAGAGTGATTTGATGTAAAATGGTGATGTAAAATGGTTCACTGTAACAAAAAGAAAAAAAATGACTTATGCAGTGTTGTTGATAGGAACCAGACAGAAGAGTTTAATGCCTCTAAAAGCTTCCTCACAGAAAGTTATTACACGGAATGGTCATGAATGCACAGAGTGATGCCAAAGAAATTGCTTTTGATAGTTTTGAAAAGACTTTGGCCTAAAACATATTTGTAAAATCCATTCATGACAAAGACATACATGCAGGGTGTTGAGAGGCAAAACTGTCCCTTAAGAAAACCTTTTTTTTATTTACCACATCATCGACATTACATAAAAAACTCCAACACATATAGCATCACTGATTGTTTTGGATTGTACATAAAATTGCTATATTTGCATTGTAGACATAACTGGTTCCCATCACCACCACTGTACAGAAAAAGTTGGTAAGTTTTTCTACAGTGAACCATTTCACATCACAACACTGAATAACTTTAATCAAATCACAAACACTGAACTTAAATGCAGACAATCAAAACAGAGCTCATTGACATATGTCAGTGACAAAAATGACCTGTTTAATTCCATGAGATAAAGAGAAGTTGGAAAATGTTAATTTAAAGTGAATTAATAAACCCACTCAAATGTAATTAGCAGACCCTCTTTGTATTTAGCTACAGAGCTTCATACCTATCATGTGCTATATTTGTTTCTTTTTGGTTTAGGACATCTGCTGCTTCACTGTTTTAGTATATTTTCGGGTAGATGTTTAGGCTGATGTGTTTGATCTCTTGCTGTCTACTCTATGGGTATAAGATGTCTTTTGAACTTTTTTTTTTATAACAGATCTTCCTTTTCTATCTGTTTATGTGGTTTTTCACCAAGCATCACAGTAAAGCCTCCTGTCTCTGTGTCATTGAGGGAGAAATTGACAAGAAGTGTCATGCAGTCCTGGAGAACTTAAATGATAATTACTGATCCAATTCTCATTATGCCTAAGAGCATTATTTACACAACAAACTGAAGTGATTAAACCATGATGGCACTGTGATGAACAAGCCTGCTAAAGTGCAAGACAAACAATGACTGTGCTGTGTTCCTTAATGAAGGCTGTTCCTATTATATGCTGTAATAGAAATGCCTTTCACCGATTTTCACACAACTTCCTTCCTCAGTTATTATATTTTAGGTTATATATCTATTGGAACTAATGTTGCTTCCTTTGTGACTGTGCTTCACAATTCTAACCAGATCTCTCTCTCTCTCTCTCTCTCTCCTCTCTCTCTCTCTTTCTCTGACTTAGTAAACCTAAGCAGCGCATACCTGAGGGACCAGCGCAGACTTACAGAGGATATGGACTGGTCTTACACAGGTGGGTGCTCTGACAACAAACCCTGCAATTGTCTGTGTACTTTCTTTTCTACCTCTAAAGTGTTTTATGCCCGCTCACCAGAACCCAACATTTAAAACCCTCATCCCTTCCACTACTTGGAATTAGAGATGGTTGGAGGACATGGTGGTCAGAAATCTGAACGGATAAAGGAGGATCAGTGTTATGACATGACCTCTTTAAATACCAGCTCAGTACAGCTTGAACTCACCATGAACCTTGCTCAGTTTAAAGCAATACTTTGGAGAAAAATGACATGTTTATGGGTAAAGATACTAGCAAAATTTAGGCTTTGAGATGATTTACTAGTGTTTTAGCAATGCAGTGGTCTTTATTTTACTTCACTTTAAAGGACCCATATCATGGAAAACTGAATTTTCAGTTTCAGGGTTTTTTTTTTAGATTTATCCCCCATCCATCCATTCTTACTGACAGTATAAGGAACATTTCATCCCATACAGCTTTTTGAATGAGGGCAGCTGATCAGAACAGAGCTCATTTACAAATATCAGTCTTAAACTCACTGTAACAAAAACAATCAGTAAAAAGATAAAGAGAGGTTGGAAAAAAGCCATGTAAACATGAATTATAACTGTTAAACCCATATAAATGTTATACGTGGCCCATCAATAGTCCTTTTTTCATTTCATAGATAAATAAAATGACACACAGTGTCAGAAACAGTCTAACAATCATGCAGCCTAAAGGTTCTAAGTAGAAATAGGTGGGAGGTGGATATTTCAGTGTCCAGACTCCTGCATTGTAAAACAAAATAATTGCACTTAATTTTTGTTGGGGTTTACTTTACTTATTTGTTAAAATCTAGTAACACAGGCTATTTAGTGTCTAATCCTTAGTAACTGAGGTAAATCTAGTTAAGATCAGTTAATTTGGAAAAGTCCAATAGAAACTTATTTATCTAGTTTACAAACATAATTCTAAAGTTAAATAGTTTGGATGCCTTTTACATGTTAGATTTTGCATATTCTCACAATGATAGTGTTTCATGTTCAGGTTTATCAGTTCGGCCTGGAGCCATGAATACTAATAGAATAGCAAATATGCTTCAAGCTAGTGTAGTCCTCAAAAATGGGTGATTCTAGTCTAAGCCATATTTTTTTCATTAGTGCACAAAACAGTCCATTTAATAATGCTGTTGTTTTGATTGTTGTTTTAATTTAATTAATACATTACACAAGGAAGTATATTTGATTCTAGTTAACCTGAATTAGCAGAACTTGTAAAAGTAGAGCACTGCCGGCTCAATGGACACCATATAAAACGTCTGGGCTATTTGAGTTCACCTTACTTGCTATAGAAGTGTGGATCATTGAAAATTATAAAGTAACTATTACCCATACATAAAGTTATCTGAGCTCAAACCTGTTAAGCAACTTAATTTTTTCGAGGCAATAAGCTGGCACGATTTTTTCAACTAATTTAAGTTTACAGTGTATCAGAAAATTATAACGGGTTGCATGACTTGTTTTTTTTTCTATTTGTCTAATCATTCAAAAAAGTAGTTGATTAGAGACTAGAGAAAACATGTGAGTGTTCTCAATGTCTGTGAAAAGTATTTTGCAAGTATTTTGCCACTGTCTTTAATAGCACTGAGACACTCTGTACAAAGAGAGTGTGCAACTATGTCATGTGGAGAAAACTTGCTTTCCTCAGTGCTCTAGAAAGGAGGAGGGATGACAGATAGTTTGTGTGTGCACTGAGCTGGGAGTAAATGCATTAGCATGTGAAAAAGCAGTCCCAGCACAAGCTTAGTTCAAGGCAAGGACAGCGATACATGTTCTTCCATTACACAGAAAATGCCCATCTTGCTACAAGCAAACAGTTCTCAAGTTTGAATGCTAATTCACTTTTGGCTGGTGGTTGCATGCTGCCAAACATCTTTGAAAAACAAAAAAAAAATGATGCATGTTGGAAAGTAAAACTTTGCTACGATTATTCAGTTTAATTCAGTATTTCAGTGTTTGGTATTCATAAAAGTATGATTCTCCCAGTGTCTCCTGAATAAGAGAACTCTGTAGGAAGGGGAAATCATCATTTTACTGATATATCCTCATTAAAACGATCATTGTAATAATTCTGATTAACACATTTTTTAAAAAGCTGTGGTGAAAGTATATAGCATACTGCATTAAAGGGCCCATATCATGGAAAACTGAATTTCCCTTTTGCTATAAAATAGCTTTATGTAGTATGTAGTACACTGTTAAAAGTTTCAAAACATATCGTTCACTCTCCAGTCCATAGAGTCCGCATATGGAAACTAAGCTTTAAAAATAGCCTGTTTTGAATTCACTTTTTCTGTGATGTCATAAGAACCAACTCATTTACATATATCTACCTGTTCAGTCTTCATCATTTTAGATCCGCCCATTTACTTAAAACAAGTTATAAGGAGTGTTTCAGTCCAGATTGCTTTTTGAACCAGGTACAATACAGGGTAGCCAATCAGAACAGAGGTCATTTACATGAATCATTCTCAAAGACACAGTAACAGAAACAGTCTATTTAATTCTAAAGGATAAAGAGAGGTTAGAAAATGGTCATGTGAAATTGAATTATGATTGGTTTTGGCGCATCAAAACAAACCTTATAAGTGGGAAAAATTCAATGCAAGAAAAATTCCGGACATACTCGCTTTAAAACATGCGCCAGGACAACACATGTGCAATATACAGTTAGGTCCATAAGTATTTGGACAGTAACACAGTTTTTTTTAAAAACTGAAAGTCTACACTTCAATCACATCTTAATTGCTTCATTTCAATCAATAAAATTTGTGGTGGTGTAGAGAGGCACTATTACAAAAATTGTGTCACTGTACCAAATACTTATGGACCTGTCTGTTCATTGTGTCATTGTGTAAAAGTCTACTCACTTTTAAAAGGAAGGTCTGATTTCTAGTGCACACATAGCTGGCCACAGCTATCAGGATTTTGTCAGTTGCCTCCTGTTCAACTATCCGGGTGTCCGTGTGTAAAGTGATAAGAAAACGTTTACAAGCAGTTACCTGCTCTGCATGCAATGGTGAGTAATTCACTGCAATGTATAAAAAAAGTGAATTTCATGGCATTACATGTTTAAAAGTTATGTGAGAATTTTCTTTGAAGAACTTAGTGGCTAGTAAAAGAAAAACCTTCACATGTATTCCGACATACATCACTTAATTCCCTGCGGATGTCACCGGATTTGTCACACAAAACCAGTGGCTTGTGGATGGTTATTTTATGTCAGTCAAATGGTGCTCTCCTGTCAAAGTGGTTCTTGGGTACATTAAGTTATACAAAAGCACCAGACCAGATGATGAATAGGTAGATATATGTAAATGAGTCTTGCAAGACTAGTGTTTGCTAATTTAATAGTTTGTAAAAAACATGGCAGGAGTTTTTAAAAACTTTTTGTGGTTTATTTGTCATTTTAAAGTGTATTAGTGTTTTCAAAACATTTTTAAAGTGTCCACATTAATTAATATAATATCCTATATTAAATTCAGCAAACAAACAGTAATTGTGTATTAAAATTTGCGGATATTTGTTTTCCATAGAGGATGTATTAGCTTATTTTCATTTAGAAAATCTACAAAATAAGTTATTTGACTAGGGGCACACACGTTTTTTTTATTTTGTATGTTATTGTGCTGGTTTTCGTGACATCACAACACTGAATACAAAACATTTTGGAGTTTAGTTTTCATATATGGACTGTATGGACTTCAAGGAGTGAATGGTATACTACATACTGCATGAAACTCTTGTTTTCATTAAATGGGCCCTGTAAGGCCTGATGGGCCCTAAACTCAAAATATATTTTTTACAGTACCGTCATAATACCAAAAATGCAATTATTTTTATGATAGAAAATTTTTATACTATCCCATCCCTGATATCCTGTAATGGCCCTGTCATCATGTGAAGGTGCTTCTACAGTCTTCCCCTGTTGACTTGGGTTTGCCAGAGCCCAGGGGTGTGCTGTGATCCTTGCTTCTGGCATGAGTTCTCTTCGCCTCCATCTGCTGCTGCGGTGGGGGGGGGCATATTTTGTGTGTAATCTCCATGCTCTGATTACCCCATGCTTGGGCTTAGCCGAAACTGAACACTTCTACCATTTCTACATCCTCTGCTGCTCTTTCAGTAACCAAGGCACTTAAAAACTTGTACTCCACTATGAGTCTTACACTTCCTTAGAACAGTTTCTGTGCCTCAGCTAGCAGAAACTGCATATTGTAAGCTGCATATTATTGGTTCTATCAGTTTGTACTTTATTGTTTACCATATTGTTTATTGTTTTCTGTACAAAAAGATCTGTACCCAATCTAAATACCACCATCTTCATTGTTTTTGTTGGAAATCAAACTTTTAATCACATCTTGTGGATAGTGACTCAGTGAGTGGTGAGTGAAAGTACCACTCTGTGGGTGTATCTAATAAAGTGAACAGTGAATGTACGTTAACAAGTGTTGAAACAGCTTTATGCTTTAGCTGTGTGGTTGTTACTTCTGTTTGGCTTGCTTTTGATGCGTCTCCTTTGCAGAGTACATTTAAAGACATTAGATTTATTTCAATTTAAAGGAATATTTGAACCTTAGACACTTCTCATATTTGTATGTCTAAGTCTATTTTATTTGTATTTGTATGTGTAATATCTATTTTATTTTTTTCTCTTAATCACTTTTATTTTATAATTTGTATTCTGTCAGTATATTTTATTTTTATTGTTTTCTCACTCAGGTACTTTGAGGTGCTTAGGAACTCTTGTGGTTTAAAAAGATGTAGAGGCAGGCCCAAAATAAAGATTTAAATGAACAAAAGGTGTACTAATCTCTGCAGGAACCCTAAACCAACAGCTCTGGGTGAAGAAGTACCCAACCTGCAGTGGCGCTAAGCAGTCGCCCATCAACATTGACGAGGACTTCACCCAGGTGCAAGTGCAGTACCAAAATCTGCAGCTAGAGAACTGGAACCAAACCATGTATGACTCTACCATAACAAACAATGGCAAAACAGGTTGGCTTACTCTTCCCTGGCTTAGAGACACTGGAGCTCACAGTAATAAAGTAGATGATTGCTAGGTGTATTATTTTTTTTTACTTAAATATCAATATAACAATCGTCTGTTATTTACTGAAGATTATACAATATTGAGGTCATTTTAACTAGTATATATTGTTGCGGTCCAGAGAAAAACAAGTATCTCCTAAATAGTAGCAAAAACTTTCTTTCCTTTCTGTATAAGTTAATGTAAAGATTTTTTATTCCAATTAAATTTTGCAGCCTTTCTATTGGTCCATTCATGATAAAATTCACACAATGTAAAGGATAGCTGCAGAGCTCAAATTATGGAGAAAACGAAAAAATTGGATTTTTTTTGGACAGCGACGATGTAGAGTCTTTCCAAAACCTTAAAAAATATCTGATTATTCTTTTGTGTGCTTGTAAATAGAGGCAGCATGTATTCTCTTGCAGGTCTGTGTAAGTACAGTATGAGTATGTATGTATAGAAAGGAACTGAATCAACCTTTTGACATTGTGCTTTCAGCATTAATAACCCTGGTTGTTTCCCATGCCTGCAATTAATGGTTGTCGGAGGCAAGGGGAGATAAAGGCTATGTAGAGCTATATTCAGGATTATTAGTGGTATTACAGGTTGCTGTGTGGGTGTGTGCATGTGTGAATAGAGGTTTAAATGTGTTTGTGTATGTGTGTGTTTCTGCTATTACATTTCTTAGTGGTTGTCAGTGTGAATGGCAAATACTACATCAGTGGAGGAGGGCTTAGGGCCCGGTTCAGAGTAGCCAGGATCACTTTTCACTGGGGCCGCTGCAATGCCACATCTGACGGATCAGAGCACAGCCTCAGTGGCAGAAAATTCCCTCTTGAGGTAGAGCCACCCCAACACACTTCACACTTGCACTCTCAAAACATGGCGCAATATTTTTTTAGTAATTTTAGGACTGTCAGCGCAGGTGCTAACCTGACACAGCCTCCTCTCATTACCTTTAAGAGCTTATTATTATTATTATTATTATTATTATATAGCGACTGGCTGGAAACAGGCAAAAATTATCAAATTATCAAAATAGCTATACTTCAGCATTATATTATTAGACTGCACTTGTACCTGCAAAAGTAGGGCCCTATGTGTTTAGTTCAGGAGAAAACATTTTATGTTGTACACAGAAAAAAAAGTGTTACGATTAATTTATTTGATTCAAATGTATACATAATTTCAATATGAATTAAACAGATCAACACAAATTTATCTTTCCATTTACTTACTTTTGGCAATAGTTGTGTTGCTGTAATATATTTTATTCATGTGGAAATGACTCAAGTAAATTCAGTATGCATCTGTATGCTAAATTCAAAGTGTTGTTTCGACAAAGGTATTTAAAAGTTTGCAAAAGTTTACGTTTTTTTAATTTGTTATTTTACCAAAGCAATAGGAACCTGCTGCTAAAAGCTCAATATGAAAATAACTTGGAGTAAAGAAAAGCAATCTCTTCTTATCAATACTAATGCAAAATGCTGGTGAAAGTTTTTTTATTACATTTGTAAGAGGAGACTCTAACATATGCTGTCATCCACAGATGCAGATCTTCTGCTATGAAGACACAGAGTTTAAGTCTATAAATGATGCCCTGAAGGGTGATGGGAGACTCATTGCATTAGCTGTGCTGTTTGAGGTGAGTGGGGCATCCAGAAACCATGGATTATGATGAGCAGGGAGGCACAGTTTATCCACTCGGCCCCAAACCCCCCACCCCCACCCAAAAAAAAGAAAGGCTGAAAAAACACAGGACGATAAATGTGCAGTACATTGATTTAAAGGAGTGGTCTAAAAGAACCACACATTGAGGAGGGAATTAATCAATGTAGTTTTTTTATACCAGGCATGTACAGCTAGCAGCAGCACACATTAAGTTTATTTTACTTTGTTTTTTGTTGCCTGCCACTATAAAAGCATGTATGTTTAGTGGCGCATGAAAATTGGTTAATGACCGCCTGATGCCAAGCCTGGAGTGAATGCTCTTCCACAGCCCAATAGTACCTTTTCCCTTTCTCTTTACACTCTAATATTTCTTTTTACAGGCCAGCTTTGAAGACAATAAGAACTATGCTACAATAATTGAGGGAGTCAATTCCGTCAGTCGATTTGGTATGTAATTGTTTATTTAGTGTTTATTTAAATTAATTGTTTATCTAAAAGTGAAAATAAGTTAATCCTCTACAGAGAATAAACTTAAATATAGCATTTTTTCTGCAAATTTCAGTGCATAATTTTTATTTATTTGCCTAGTTTATGTATTGAAAAAATGTAAAATATACCATAATGTTTGTATAGGCCATATTTTATATTTTATTCTTTTTTTCAATATGTTAAATTTGTCAAGTAAACAGTAATATTAAATTAGTGTGCAGAAGTGTGTTCGCTGTAGAGCTGCAGTGTCCAGTCTTATTAGCAAAGGTCCTATGTGGCTGCATGTTTTCATTTCAAACAAGCAGGAGAATGCCTGATTCTTGAGTCTTGAAAAATCCTAACAGTATAATACTTGATAAAATGGTCTCAGTCTTCAAACAATTGATCAGGTGTGCTTCTGCTTGTTGGAATGAAAACCTGCAGCTACACCAGCCCTGATGAGATAGCACCCCTCTGCTATAGAGGATATGTATGCATTTTCACTTAAATCAACAAAATATGTCATTTCATCAGGGGTACCCAAACTTTTGCATACAACTGTAGTCTTTCACTTCCATGTGAATTCCAAGTGTATTTTTTTTAACACATCTGTGTGTTCAGTTAAAAACTTTATTTTACTTTATTTTAAACTTTAACTTTATTTGTAATCTTTATTTGTATTCTTTATTTGTATTCTTTAACAAACATTTTATCTATACAGCTATTAATACTGTTGTGTTCACTGTGCTGTAGCTATAATGTATGTCACAGTCTACGTTGAACATTATTTTTTCCTTCTATTGATATAAAGGTAAAAGTAGCACAATAGAGGCCTTCTCCCTGCTTGGTCTGCTACCAGAGTCTACAGCAAAATACTTCATCTACAATGGTTCTCTCACCACTCCCCCCTGCACAGAGACAGTGGAGTGGATTGTGTTCAAAAGTACAGTGCCTATCTCTGAAACACAGGTCAGAGCAACCCTCCTGTTTTATTCAGTTCTACATGCATGCACACACCCACTCCTTTATTACTATTTTTATGGTGTGTTTTTTTTTCCTCTTCATCTTTTGTCTTACAAAATTGTATTTTCAAATAAAGGGACCCAATAAAGTACAGGATGCAAAAAATATTTATTGCTGAATATATTAGTTAATAATAATTTATTTAATTTACATTATCTTATACTTTTGTAAAAGTTATGTAGTGACGGCACCTCTCCAGCTGCTTTTGCGAACCCACAAAAATCAAGCAATAAAGTAGGTAACATGATCGCTTTGCACTACACTCATCTCTTGTAATATTAAGAGCAGATCATATAATGGGAAAATAAAGAAATCAGTTAAATTAGTCCTGTGTCCTTGAAATATGCTCTGAAATCATTCCAATGATATCAAGTGAAAATGAAATTTCTAATTTAAATCTGCCACACAATCCCTGTAGTTTATGTACCCACACATACAGATCCAGGAACAGAGAATGATAGAAGCATGTCAGATATATGTAGAGCACACATGGCCTTTGTCTGTATGAAGTAACATTTTCAGACCATTCCTATATTTGTTGATTGAATAAGGACAGACTAAATTCTGGGAGATATAAGTGACTGTGGCACAGAATTAAATCATTTTGGCCATAACAAAGACCCTGCTTGGGCATCTGTGCAAAAGTGTGTGTGTAGGTTGGACAGGGCAGTGAAGTGTGACGTAGCACACTACAGCCCCGTCCTCTGAAAATGGAGTATTGAGAGCTCACATTAATATTACAGACGCAGGCAGCCCTCGTGAAACTTTACTCTCTCTCCCAATTCGAATTCTTTATGTGGCATAGATTTTTCTGTGACTCTCATTTCTTTTTGTCAGCCTAATCCACTTTTAAGCACCGCATGTTTTCAGAACTTGTAAATTGGACAGAGACGAATCAAGCTTGGAGAGGCAAAGCTAATGAAACTTTAGACCAGATTTGATGCTGCCTTCATTTATGCATAAAATTTGTGACGCATGGTGGCATATAAAGCAACACATTTCTAGTGCGTTTATGGGGCTAAATTTGACCACATTATTTGTCAGCATTCTGATTATATCTCAATAACTTCCTGCATTACCAGTGTGGACAAACAAAAGTGTTACCCAGTTCTCAAAATAACATACTGAATGGTTCATATTATTCCTTATGAGTACTTCAGTGTGATTGACACTACCAGTTAGGGAATGTGTATATGGCTTATTTCTCTTACTGTCTGCATGTTGTAGCTGGAAATGTTCTGTGAGGTGATGACCACACAGCAGGCTGCCTATGTGATGGTGACAGACTACCTGCAGAACAACTACAGAGACCAACAGCAGCGGTTCATAGGCCCAGTTTTCTCTTCTTACACGGGCACAGAGGAAGTCCTTGCTCCTAGTGCGTATGCCACCTATACACACTTCCACAGATACCTGTAGCCTCGGCTCAACACATACACTTAAAATTATAAGGCAATGGAGTCTCCCGAGTGGTGCAACCACCTAAGCGTTGACCCTATCTTCAAGAAATTGCGAGTTCAGTCCCTGGTGGTGTTACAGCCATCTGTAGCCAGGAGTTCAAGAGAGCAAAGTTGGCCTCACTCTCTCTGGGTGGGTAGGATGGTCCCCTGTCTCACCCACAGTGCTCCCTCCTAGTGCTGGTAGTATTGTGCGACTGGGGGAGTCCTAACTAATGGGTGGAATTGGATAATAAATCAGCAAATAAATCAGCAAACATTTAAATTTACACAGTTTTACATTCAACGCAGATGTAGTTGATCAGTTTGGTGTCCAGTGTTTTGCTTCTTTCAAACAATAGAAGTAGACAATAGTCACCCAAATCCTTTCAGTAAAAACATCCCCAAAATTTGTCAGTGATTTGGCATGATCTTAGATCTGGATGTGGTTTGAGCAGGTTGAGAGAAGTTTTGGGCATGTATTTAAAGAAAAAAGGTTTGGGTAACTATGATTCTATTGTTTGTTAGCAACTTTAGCTTAAGTGTTAAATAATCAATATGTGAATGTGATCAACTACATCATGGGTAACATTTAATAAGGTGGTCGGCCAAACCATTTCTTTAACTCAAAGCAACTGTGGGCTAAGTTTCCTTACAATTTTAAGTTGACTTGACATTTATTTTTTACAGTGTAGAGACATAGTCTGCTTCAAACCTCCTTGCTGAGCTGCTCTTTCTCTGGTGTTTATCTGTCTTTACTTTCTTGCCATGAACTCTCATACCTTTCTCTTTTTAAAAACTCAGCAGTGAGTGCATGTTGCTAGGTAACTTTACTTTGGAGCTTTTCCTGCCTCTCTTAAAATATTCTGCAACCTTAAAGTTTTCTGTTCTAAAAAGTTGCCTTGGGAGGAAGGGAGGAAATGACCATACTTGTGTTCAGTGTGTAGCTCGGAGCCAGAGAATGTCCAGGCGGATCCCCAGAACTACACCAGCATAATGGTGACATGGGAACGGCCACGTGCCATCCATGAAACTAGCATTGAGAGATACCTGGTCACCTACCAGAGACTACAGGGCAAAGATTCACCTAAACAACAATTCTTGACAGACGGAGACCAAGATGTGGTAAACTGTTTTTCTGATTACTGAAAGTAATGCTTTGGCTCTCAGTACTTCTCATCAAATGTACATCATTGGTTTGATTTTTGGATTCCTGTGACAGGGGGCCATCATCCACAACTTGCTGGCCAACAGCAGCTATGTTGTCCAGGTGATGGCACTGTGCACCAATGACCTGACTGGTCGAATGAGCGATCAGGTCATAGTAGACATGCCTCTGGAAGATCCAGGTAATGCCAGCTCTGCTCACTAGTTCACACTACACTCCAATTATACAGTAAACTCGATATTTATTTTCATAGTTTTTTTTATGCTACAATATAAATTTGGATTATTAGAACAGGAATAAGAATCTTTTAACAGTTTGTACTTTTGTTTTACAGAAACTGATTCTGATCCATCCTCTGAATCAGAAGAATATTTTGAGGTAACACTGCCAAATGAAAGTTTTTTTAAATGATTAAAAATTACATCAAGTGCATAAACTGTTTGTGACATATGAGACAGATGAGGTATGTTTATGTTTTCAGGAGGTCTCCCAGCCCACTTTACTTAAGAGCAAGACAACAAAAAAGCCCCAGGTTTTGCCTGGACGCACCTTTATCCGTGACTCCTCTTCCTCTAAAAGCTCTATATATGTCACCACTGCAACTGATCAGCCAGGTTTCCTCTTTCCAGCTGTTAGGACGACCACACCTCCGGTGCGACAGAGGATCATGGAGGAGTCTTCCTTGACCTGGTCACCTGATCAGAACGAAGCAGGAAGCCACACCATGCGACCATTCACCTACCTTGTGCCAGAGGAAGCTGACATTTCTCCACCAGACACCATGTTGGTGACTGATGTGTATTACGAGGACTTCCACAATCTGAGTGCTAGGGCAACCACACCCCACCCAGACAACAAATTCCGTTTCTCCACACTCATAAGTGCTCAGGACCAGGACAAGATTACAACCACAGAGACAGACTACAGGATTAAAACCATTCAGCCTGAAACCTCAGTCTCTTTGACTTCCAGCCCGTCTGAGACCATCCGTCGTACCCCTGTTTGGAAGACAATATCTACTACTAAATTAGCTTCTACTGCCACCTCTAGTACTCCATACATCCCCAGAACCTCAACTCTGTCCACTTTGTCTGCCTCAGTGAAGAAGGACATTCACCAAACCACTCAGCCACTGTTTATTGGTAAGTCTGTGACTTTCTCTCTCCAATCTTGACCAACCCCAACATCCTCCATCAAACAGGAACACATTGGCAGCAGAACTTCTGGTTTTGAAATGCTAGAAAAAGAAAAAGAATGATTCACCCAAACAAAAGAGAACTGTCTAAGTTCACCATAAGTTCATGACATTTGTTGAAGAATGTTGGGTTGCTTTGGGCTATACACAAATTAAACACACTGTCTGCCTGCTTTGCTGGCTGCCAAATGGTGGTGGTGCTCTTGGTCTTCAGCTGAGAAGATGTCTGATTTGTTAGTTTTGAATTTGTGAGTTCAGACCGTGCCTTCAACATGTGGTGCTAGTATGAGGGAAGACTGATTGAGGGAGGGGGGGGACTCTGAGAACTTGGGCTTGAGTTTTGGACAGTTTCTACCTGTAGCTAGAAGGCCCGACCCCGCCATAGCTGAGGTAGGACAGATGTAGGACTGAGGAACAGGGAGGAGATGGGTGGCGATTGGGATTGCGAACACCTCATCATGGGAAAGGAAGGTGAGGTTTAAATTAATAGGGCATTAGTTTGGAAAAAGGAAAGGTTTCAGGCATTTTCCTCCCCCCAAACTTCAATTTTAACATAACCACATGTAATGAGCTAGGAGAGGACTGTGCTGTGTGTCTTGCTATTGATTTCATCACTCGCATAAACATATGAGGACAGTGTTAAAGATGACTATGGTGGTGGCTGTGCTTATTAGTTTATTCCACTGAATTTGTGCACAAAAACCAAAGCCAGTCATCTTCTCCTGCCTAGCTCCTGAGGCTTTGAGATACAGGTCTGGCCCACAATACTAATGCCCTTCTGCTGTGCAACTGTGGATCCTACAGGATCTTTCCTTGAGGCTATATAATTGACTGACTCCTCCACTTTTCAAAACAATGGCAAAAGCGATTCCTCCTCTCTCTCTCTCTCTCTAACTTCCTGCTGCTCCAATGTACTCATCAAATTCTGTCCTCTAACCATGGGTGATGGGGCCCCCTGTGGGCTGTTTTATTAAAAACAACCTTGCATTCTGCTTCTACGAAATGGTAGATTCACTACCTGCTTTGCTATCAGTGCTGACCTTCTCCAGTTTGTACTGTGCTGGGGAGACATCTAACCCTGCAGGAGTATCTGTTTCAGCCACATCGGCCACCACTCAAAAGGCATCTGCAGACCGCTTTTCTACAGTGCCTCTGGATTCCTTCACCCCGCACACACTAGCCTCCACAGAAGAAGGTTCCACTGCTCTGCTTTTTGCAGATGGTCAAGAAGAGTCCAGCGGTTCAGGATCTTCTTCTTCCATCTTTATGGAGCAGTTAGACTGGAAATATGACATAGAAAGAACATCAAGTCTTGCTGACAGGCCCAGAGTCCTGTTCAAAGAGGCAAGCACCAGCGAAAGACCTGAGAACAAAGGCAGCGGGGACAGTGAAGGTCTTCCATCTGGCTTTTACTCTGAGAATGAGGAGAAGGCTCAGGGGAGCACCACAGAGGCACTGAGCGCAGAGTTTATAGCGTGGCAGAGAGGGGTATCTGTGATTGGCAGTGGTTTCGGTGAACAAAGCTCAGAAATTCCTTATAACTTTGACAAAACCACACAAACACAAACTGATTCCTCAAACAGGGAGGCTGTGGAAGAGCTGAATACAGGTAAAACCTTCTCAAATTTCCAAAGGCAGCTGCACTGGCTGACCATCTTTGAGATTAGATGAATTGCGACATGTTTTTCCTGATGACAGAAGAGATTGGATGCAGTCATGCAAAAGCAGTTAATGGAAACTTTTATTGAATAAATATTTAAAGAGTGAAATAATGTGAGTCATCCCTAGTCATAAAAACATTATTCACCCACTAGGGAATATTCCAAGGGCAGCGTATTTCAGAGAATGGATCCAATCAGCCAATCAGCAGACATGACTAAAAATATGGCCAAATACATGCCTAAGGGCTTGAATATGTAAATATAAGTCAATCAAATAATCAGTGAATGTGTCCCTTTGTAACATCTCTGTTTCTATGGACAGAGGTGAGCAACAGCAGTCCTCAGTCACGCATAGGAATGGTGGGAGGGGTTGAGAGAGAAAGGAGAACGGTGGTTCCACTGGCGGTGGTGTCAACCCTTACTGTACTCTGTCTTCTTGTGCTAGTGGCGATTCTCATCTACTGGAGGTAGTATCAAATACATGTCCACACACACATGTGCATACGCAAACAGTTTATCATGAAAGTGAAGTTATATGACACTCAGTATGAAAATGTGATTGAAACATGAGGCGCTTTTGTGTGCTTGCAGGAAATGCTTTCATGCAGCACATTTGTATGTAGAGGATAACGCATCCCCCAGAATCATAACAGCTTCATCAACACCTCTGCTTCCTGCTACAGGTAACCATGCCCAAACACACATAAATGCACACATAAACAAATCAGCCATAACATTAAAACCACGTCCTTTTTTCTACTCTCATTGTCAGTTTTATCTGCTCTCATTTTATCAGCTTACAGACTGTAGTCCATCCATTGTTCTGCATACTTTATTAGCCCCATTTTATCGAATTCTTCAATCGTCAGGACCCCCACACGACCACCACAGAGCAGGTGTTATTTGGGTGGTGGATCATTGTCATCACTGCAGTGATGTGCGTTAGTGTGTGTTGCACTAGTACGAGTGGATCAGATGCAGCAGTGCTGCTGGAGTTTTTTACACATCTCAGTGTCACTGCTGTACTAAGAATTGTCCAATAACCAAACATATCCAGCCATCCTTTGACCACTGATAAAGTACTAGAGGATGACTAACACAAACTGTGCAGCAACAGATGAGCTGCTTTCTCTTACTTTACATCTACAAGGTTGACCAACAATGTAGGAGTGTCTAATAGAGTGGACAGTGAGTGGACACACTGTTTAAAAACTCCAACAGCACTGCTGTGTCTGATCCACTCGTACCAGCACAACACACCCTAAGATGCTACCACCCCGTCAGTGTCACTGCAGTGCTGAGAATGATCTACCATCCAAGTAATACCTGCTCTGTGGTGGTCCTGTGGGGATCCTGATGAACAGGGTCTACGACAGTCTGTAATTGTAGAACTACAAAGTGCTCCTATATGGTATTTGGAGCTGATAGAAGGACAATGAGTGTAGAAACAAGGTTAATGTTATGGCTGATCAGTGTACACACAATACATGGGCATCAGAGAAAAAGAAATGTTAAGCTATTTATTTGGGCAGTGCATGTGTATTTGTTTGAAAATACACAAACATGATAATAAATATAAATAAACAAATAACCAGCATATTGTGATTTTATGTATGTGAGCATTCCAAAGCTCTCCTTGAGGAATGCCAGTATTTACAATACTTTCTTCAGCTAATCAGTCCTTTACTAGAAAGTCTGTTTCAGTGGGATAGATATTGGATTTGACCCAAATGCTACTTTATGCCATTCAAGCATGTTTTTAGTACAGCCATAAATAATTGGTGAGGAACTATATGTGAGCTATGTCTCAAAATATGTTTGAAAGTAACATGGCTCAAATATGCTAATTATGCAAATTAGAGGACAATGTCATTGTTGATGGAAAGAACATCTACAGAACATGCATGCAGAACAAAACACTAAGTTAATGGTAGTAATGTTTAAACAGTACATTTAGTAATCTAACAGTCAGGTGACAGCATGTGTCTACCTGTGACAAATGCCAGCTATTTACTAACTTGCTAACACTAGTTACGATGGAAAAGTGCAGTTGTTCAGAAGTAGCGATCAGTCACTAAACACAAGTTGACAGCTAAATAAACTTACTCCTCTTTGATCCGAGGTTGAGTCAGTCTGAGATTTAAACATATAGGGATGTATTTACTTAATTTTGCCTTTTGACATTTTGTCGTAGTTTAGTACTAAAGAAAATAGCATAGGGGAGGGGAAAGGATGGGGTTGGGATGGCAGAAAGACATGGTCTGTTCATAGTTTTCATAACCATGCATATTCACCGATCTTTGCCATCTTGGAAGGTTCTTTGACATTAAAATCATTAATGAATTAACAGAGATTATTTTTGTTTAAAATTACACCATTTGGGGTGTTTTAATGGTGACCTTTGGGTTTTCAGAGGATCATGCAGCCCTTTCCGTGAAAGAGTTTGTGAAGCATGTAGCAGATCTTCACTCCAACAACACTTTCTCAAAGGAGTTTGAGGTAATTCAGATCTAATTGTGTTTTTTGTGTAATCTTTTATTTACTCACTTTATTATAATCAATGAGCCTTACATGCAAGAGAAGGATTTGTAAAAAGTAACATGAAATATTTCACTGTTGTTATTGTTGTGGAAACCTGGCATGACACCTGAGCGTGCTCTGTGTTTTTTTATATGGCACTGATTTTGGCAGCAATGTCTGCATGATTATCCACATAAAGCAGTCTAAAGCAGCACATTACCTAGCTGTCACATTCTTGCATGCTCAGTATTAGCACTGGCTTTTCATTGTTTGTCCTGAATGTTCATTGTGGTGTCTTTTCTGCATTTTTACCCCTCCCCTTCATTAGATCTTGAAAGAGTCTTATGAGGTAAGACAAGTCTGCCTATGATATTATTACTTTTTAAGTGCATAGCTGTAGTTATCTCATTTCTCGTCTTGCATAGGTAATACACAGCTACTGACAGTACTACTGAATGCTTTTTGCATGAATACTACTTGTGATGTTATGTGGTAGCTGCACTGGTTGTTGGGATAAAGGAAACTGTTCTGGCTTTAAGTGACAGGAATTGATGGTCTTTTACAGGAGATTCAGTCCTGCACTGTGGACATGGGCATTACAACTGACAGTTCAAACCACCCAGACAACAAAAGCAAGAACAGATACAACAACATCCTGGCTTGTAAAAAAAAAAAAAACAATTCCCTCTCTCCTACATGCATGTACGGTGCAGCTGATAAGTAATTGGACAGTGACACAATTAATGCCCTTTCAGTGTGATAATGATTATTTATCAACTCATATAGGAATTGCAGCCCTTTGTAAACAAATTGGCTAGTACATAGCCCATTCCTAGCATACCAAGCAGTGTATTTGGACACACCTGTCTGTAATGTAATTATTTCATATGTCATAGACAACTTTGGCACACAGTTGACCAAGTAAGAACTTTTATGATGGGAGAATAATGCAGGAAGGAATTTCAACAATATGGATTTTTATACCCTCAAAATAAAGCTGCACCTCATAGTTGTTTTATTTTAAATCAAATGTGCTAGAGTATAAAAAAGTCCAAAAAATACGTCCAGGCGGCTAATACCCACACAGACACACAAAAACTACAGCTTTTTTTCCCCAGATGATCACAGCCGAGTCAAGCTGTCCCATAATGTAGAGAAAGATGGAAAGACTGGAGACTACATAAATGCCAATTATGTGGATGTAAGTCTTTCAAGTAAACATATACAAAGTATTTGACATATTCCATTTGTTCCACCAGTTAGATTTAAATAAAAAGCTAAAAGCATTGTGTGATCCTGACCTGGTACATGTACATATGTGCTTTATTCTGTCATTGTTTATTAGACATATGATTTACACCGTGCACTGGTTGTTTTGAATCATAACAATAATGATGGATTGCATTAGGGCTACAAACACCCTAAAGCCTACATAGCAGCCCAGGGCCCTCTGAAGGCCAGTCTGGAAGACTTCTGGAGGATGGTGTGGGAGCAGAAAGTTGGAGTCATTGTCATGATCACCAACCTAGTGGAAAAAGGCCGGGTGAGGGGCACTGGACTTTCATATTTGAATTTTAGGATTGCATTAATATGGAAATTGTGAGCTAATGCAGATATGCAATATTTTAATGTTCATATCTGATGATGCTGATGAATAAATACTGTTCTGTGAAAAAGTATTTGCACCTCACCCAATTTCTTTTATTTTTGCTAATTTGTCACATTTCAGATGTTTCAGATCATCCAACTAATTTTAATATAAGATAAAGACAACATGAAATGCAGCTTTTAAACTATCATTGCATTTATTGAAAATAAAGATTTATTCAAAATCTTTATCATCCATATGAAAAAGTAATTGCCCCCCTAAACCTAGTAGTTGTTTGTGCCACCCTTGGCAGTAATAGCTGCAGTCATTTGCAATAACTTGCAACGAATGGTTTACCTCGCTGCGGAGGAATTTTGGCCCACTGTTCTTTGCAGAATTGTTTTAATTCTTCTACAGAGGAGTGTTTTTGAGTATGAACTGCCTGTTTAAGGTCTTGCAACATCATCTCAATGGGATTTAAGTCAGGACTTCAACTCGGCCACTCCCAACCTTATTTTGTTTCTTTTGAGACACTCAGAGGTGGACTTGCTTGTGTTTTTTCGCATCATTGTCCTGCTGCATAACTGCGCTTGAGCTTTAGGTTGCGATCTGATGGGCAGACATTCTCCTTTAGGATTTTCTAAAAGAGAGCAGAATTCATGGTTCCATGAATTTATGGTCATACAGGTCCTGTAGAAGCAAAGCAGCCCCAGACCATCACAATACCATCACCATGTTTGACTGTTTGTATGATGTTCTTATGGTGGAAAGCGATGTTTAGCTAGGTAGGTGTGTGGGTAGCATTACGCCAGATGTAACGGGACACCTTGTCTACCAAAAAGTTCCACCTTTGATTCATCAGTTCACAGAATATTATCCCAAAAGTCTAAGGGGTCATCTTGATGTTTTTTGGCAAATGCAAGACGAGCCTTTATGTTCTTTTTGGTCAGCTGTGGTTTTGTGCTTTGCAACTCTCCTGTGTCTTTCTTATTGTGCAATTGTGTACATTGACCTTAACTGAAGCAAGTGAGGCCTGCAGTTCTTTAGATGTTTATCTGGTTTCTTTTGTGACCTCCTGGATGAGTTGTTGATGTGACCTTCATGAAATTTTGGTGAGATGGCCACTCATAGGAAGGTTCACCACTGTTCCAAGTCCCAGAGCCTTAGCAATGGCTTTGTAACCTTTTCCAGACTGATAGATTTCAGTGACTCTTTTGCATTTGTATTTGAATCTCTTTAGAACGTGGCATCATGTACTGCTTTTTGAGACCTTCTAGCTTGCCTCACATTGCCAGAAAGTGTCTATTTAAGTGATAGATTAAGTTTAGATTCAACAGGTCTGGCAGTAATCATGACTGGGAGTGGCTAGTGAAATTGAACCCAATAATCAATTGAATTTGGTTAACTGGTTGATTTAGTAGTGTGACAAAGTGGACAAGTAGTTTTTCACATAGGGCCAGGTAGGGCTGAACAGCATTTTTCCTTTAATAAAGGAAGACATCAAGAAAATTAGGGAAAAATATAAAAATAATAATAATAAAAAAAAAAATAGTCATCATTTTAAAACAGCATTTTGTGTTTTCTTGGGTTATCTTTGTCTAATGTTAAAAGTAGTTTAATGAACTGAAAGTGTGACAAATATGCAAAAAATGGAAAGGGGCAAATACTTTTTCATAGCACTGTACTTATAAAATGCATATCTTGGGACTTGGGATCGAACTGGAATGTAACATTTATTTGTAGATGGTTAAAAATACAGTAAAATGAATGAAATACTGCCAGCTATTTTCTAGACATTCTATTCTTTTGGAATACAATAAATACATTGTTAAGTATTGGTCAAATCTAAACATCTGTCTGAAGCTGGTATTTTTAAATCAATTATCTACCAACAATAATAAGATTCCATCATCATTGTGCATCCTTAATGAACATGTGTTTTAGAGAGACTGCTTTGCTATGCTTATCTGTATGGTACATTAAAACATAGCTCAGTAAACATCATAGATTACTGTATTCCCGACAGAGGAAATGTGATCAATATTGGCCTATGGAAAACCAGGAAGAGTATGGGAGTTTCCTTGTCACTTTGAAGAGCACTAAAAACTTGGCCTATTACACTAAGAGGACCTTTACCTTGAGAGACATCAATTTGAAAAAGGTATATTATTTTCATTACTATAAGGGCCAATTCTTGCTATGAGTGGTATAAGTCACCGGGGTGCTTTACGAGTGCGTAGTGTTTACTAATCTAGTAGATTCTAAATGTACTATCCTGTAAATAGGATGCTGAGTAGGGCCCCCAACTGTTCAGAAATGGCTCTGATAGCCATTTACCACCTGTAAGACCTATATACAACATAATAAAACTGGTAGCTTCAAAATAAACATTCTCATTATGAAGTGTCTTAGTTCATGTTTCTATGTCCAGGGCTCACAGAAGACTCGCAGTCAGGAGAGGACAATTGTTCAGTACCATTACACTCAGTGGCCAGACATGGCCGTCCCTGAGTACACACTACCAGTACTCTCCTTTGTACAGAAATCATCTCAGACCCAGACAGCAGACTCAGGCCCTGTGGTGGTGCACTGCAGGTAAATGGTTAGAGGGAGACCAAACTGATGGCTAGGGTGGTTATGGCTTTTAGCAAGGTAGTACTTGATAATGATGAAACTGATTAACTTCTTTGTGCAGCTAACTTGTTTGTGTGTGTATGTGTGTGTGTGTGTGTGTGTGTGTGTATAGTGCTGGGGTGGGAAGAACAGGAACTTATATAGTCATTGACAGTATGCTGAAGCAGATAAAGGCTGAGGGTACAGTGAACATCATTGGCTTCATCAAGCGCATCCGGACACAGAGGAACTACCTAGTGCAGACAGAGGTACCAGCAATGCAACATGCACATTTCCCCACAGTGCATACCTTACAAAACTCACAATACTATCCCATTACCAACAGAGCACAAAATACAACCAAGGATAGATTACTCTAAAGGAAAATATACTGTGCATTAAAAAAAACTGGACAGTGGCACAAGTTTTGTTGTTTTAATACCGTATTTCAACACAGTAAATTTCAACTAAAAAATTCTTACGAGGTTAGCAGCAGCTAAAAGTGCAAAACATACTTAACTGCTCAACATAACGAAGAGTTGTCTGTAGTCTGTGACAACCAAACACTGCTGTTTTCCTTGATTAAAACTATATGTACTGACTGGTTCTTGTTTGGGCTTATCACTGTATCCATCATTTTGACCATGTCAAAATCCAAATTATGAGACAAATTCACAATAATACTTACTTTTCATACCAGTATACCTCCCAGCACTAATTCCAAAATGTCTAATCACCTTATACATGTTTAATCACTCTATGTGGGGGTAGGAGGTCTCCTTGCAATAGGCTTGTAAATTGGGGAACTATAAAAAGTTATCTGATTCTCATATGGTTCACCCAGTATAGAAATAACTATTGCCAGCTGACATTGTGCAGAATCATATTTTTTGTTTCAAATCCAGTGTAGTGGACTACATAGCCAAAATAACAAAATGGGTCTCACTGTCTAATTATTTAGGCCCTGCATTATAGGTCATTGAGCTTTACTGGTAAATCTTATAACATCACACATTACATTTCATGAGCAATGAATTCCCCTCTCTTGTGTACAGGAACAGTACGTTTTCATCCATGACGTCTTAGTAGAAGCTATTAAATGTAAAGAGACACAGGTATCATCCAGCCACATTCACACCTATGTCTCTGATCTTCTTACTCCTGGACCAACAGGAAAGACTTGCCTGGAGAAACAGTTCAAGGTATATCGTTATTGCTTGAATGCTTGTGTTCTGTGATCACAATGAAAAAGGTAATCATCTCAATGCTTTGTTTTGTTTTGTTTTTTTTGTAGTTGGTCAGCCAAAACAGTGCAAAGCAGTATGACTACTTGACAGCACTGGAAGCATGCAACATGCCAAAAAACAGGGCATCTGTCCTTATCCCTGGTGAGTAGCTTTGAGTAAAGTCATAGCCAGTTCAGATTATGAAAGTCATATCAAACTTAACTGATATGCATCTTAAAGAGTCATTGTTCTCTACCACTTGTAGGCATTGCAATGATTTCACTGTTTGTCAAGTATTTGGAAGGCATTCCAAAACTGGCGTGCCCATTAAAAATCTGATCTTGACTTTGTGCAGTACACATTATAGAAGAGTCAATTCTTCAAAGATAATGCTAACTTACAGTACTTTTACAGTTTTACAGTGTTAATAATACAGGGCTAAAATAGTGAAACTTTCTAGATCTTGTAAGGATAGCACAGCATTATGGTAGTCCAACCTTGAGTTAATAAAGGCATTAACTGGCATCATGTAAGGTAAGTGCATTTTGTAACTTCGCAACATTTCAAAATTAAAAATACAGAGAATGGCTATTCTAATAATATTATGTGTGTGTGCATGCAAAGACAGATCAGAATAGCGTTGCCCAGGTTTTTCACATGGCACTTGATGCAACTAAAAAGTAGTACAGCATAAAAATTAAATGTTCTAGGACAGAATCTTGTGGGTCAGCACTAAACAAATAGATTTGTATGTACGGATGCCTCGACCTCAAACAGGAGATGGCCTTTCCTGTAACCTCTACAAACTTTTTTAGTCTATCTAGTGGGATAGCGGAGTCTATGGTGCGGTACTAAGATCAAGCAAACATACATAGCCCTGGTAAGAGAATAACAGATCATATATTTTCACCTGTGCTGGCTGTTCTATGAGGCCTAAATCCTCACTTCAATTTTTCATCTACGTGATAGGCTGTCGTGCCACAGCTTTCTCCAAAATCTTGGACATAAAGGGAAGATTTGAGATGGGTCCGTAATTTGGTAGCTCATAGTGACTGAGATTTGGTTTCTTGATTAGAGGTTTGATTATTGCTTGATTATTGATTATTTTAGGGAAAACTTAATTATTGCTAAGAGAGGCTTGATGCTTTCTGGTAACTTTTGTAACATATGTCCTTTGGGTAAACTCATGGGCATTGGACTGAGAATACAAGTAGAAGATTTGTAAGGAGGAAATAAGCATAATTAGTTGGTGGTGAAGTGGGGAAAAGGATTCCATCCTCTGTGCTGTGGTTGTGCTGTGCTGAATACTTACATTTGTTAGGTAAATAGGCAGATTTGTCATGGCACAAATGCTGATAGCTGATAAACACTGATTTTAACCTGATATCTGTTTCCAGTGGACAGGTCTAGAGTAAGCTTGTCTACAACAGTAGGAGATTCTTCAGACTACATCAATGCCTCCTACGTCATGGTGAGAACATTGTGAGATGGAAATTGCTGTATGATCTAGAGCTTTAGCACTGAGTTATAATGATGGTGCATGCTCTGTTTGCAGGGCTACCATCAACCTCATGAATTCATCATCACTCAGAGCCCTTTGCCCAGCACTATGCTGGACTTCTGGAGAATGATTTGGGACCATAATGCTCAGATTATCGTCTCTCTACCAGACACAGAAGACCAGGTCAGTCACTGTGTGGCACACACATGCATGCACACCTACATTGTTTTAAAGCCTTGAGGTAAAGAGAACTGGCTTGTCTACTTACAGAGCAAGGAAAAGGACTGTGTGCACTGGCCCAGTAAAGAGCAGCCAATCAGTTGTGAGACCTTTATGGTCACATTCACAGGGGAGGACAAAGTGTGTCTGTCTTATGAAGAATCACTGGTGATACATGACTTCATTTTGGAGGCCTTAAAAGTGAGAAAAGCACAATGTCTTTTTGTCTTGCATTAGCATACTAACAACACATTATTTCAAGTAATTCAATCAGCAGTTATATTGAAAATTGAAAATAATACATTTATTGGACTGTCTCTACCATAAATAAATGAACCTGAAAAAAGCTTTTATATGCTTTACAATGCATTTTATTCATGCTTAATGCCACATGTATTCTCTGTATACTACTGGGTGACAGGATGACTATGTCTTGGAAGTGCGCTGGTACCAAGCTCCCCACTGGCCCAACCCAGATGGCCCCATTAGCAATGCTTTTGAGCTTGTCAACATCATCAGAGAAGAGAGCATCCATCGAGAAGGAGCCATTGTGGTCTATGATGGGTAGGGTCTTTTGTTGTTGCTGCAGTATTTAGAATAATGCATAAAGCATTCTTTTATGGTTTTATGATGATCTTTCATGATTTCTTTTTATTTCTGCCTCTTCATAAACATTTATTTATTAATTTATTATTATTAACATTTATTAATTTATAAGGCTAACTTGGCTACTTCATATTATAAACCACTAAATGCATCTGTTACACCTCGAGAAACTGTTAAAAAACTGTTAACAGAAATGTTAAGATCACTACGGGTGTAATGATATGAACATTTCACAGTACAATACACTTGCCATTTTTGCATCATGAAACAATACAATTTTGATACAGAATTAGAAAAGAAAACAAAACAAACGCTCTTTTTTTTCTTTTGCTTTGAATTTTGCTAATTCACAAAATCACAGTGCTTATGAAGACCTAGCTGGCACATTATGGTAATTTTCCTAGAGTATATATATATACAGTTAGGCCCAGAGGTATTTGGACAGTGACACATGATTTGGGCTCTGCATGCCACCACATTGGATTTGAAATGAAACAACTGAGATGGAATTGAAGTGTAGACTTTCAGGTTTAATTCAAGGTGTTGAACAAAAATATCCTATGAAACGTTTAGGAATTGCAACGCTTTTTCTACAAAGCCTCCTCATTTCAAGGGCTCAAAAGTAATTGGACAAATTAACTTTACCATAAATAATATGATCGTTTTTAATACTTTGTTGAGAATCCTTTGCAGGCAATGACTGCCTGAAGTCTGGAACCCATTGACATCACCAAACACTGGGTTTCCTCCTTTGTGATGCTTTGCCAGGCCTTTACTGCAGCTGTCTTCAGTTGTTGCTTGTTTGTGGGTCTTTCTGGCTTAAGTTTTGTCTTAAGCAAGTGAAATGCATGCTCGATCGGGTTGAGATCTGGTGATTGACTCGGCCACCGCAGAATATTCCACTTCTTTGCCTTAAAAACTCCTGGGTTGCTTTCGCAGTATGTTTTGGGTCATTGTCCATCTGTACTGTGAATTGACATCCAATCAACCTTGCTGCATTTGGTTGAATCTGAGCAGAAAGTACACTTCAGAATTCATGGAGTTGGAGTTTTTAAACACTGTGTCCACTCACTGTCCACTCTATTAGACACTCCTACCTTGTCAGTCCACCTTGTAGATGTAAAGTCAGAGACGATAGCTCATCTGCTGCTGCACAGTTTGTGTTGGTCATCCTCTAGTCCTTCATCAGTGGTCACAGGACGCTGCCCACAGGACGCTGTTGGCTGGATATTTTTGGTTGGTGAACTATTCTCAGTGAAAAAACTCCAGCAGCACTGCTGTGTCTGATCCACTCAGACCAGCGCAACATACATTAACACACCACCACCACATCAGTGTTACTGCAACGTTAAGAATTATTCACCACCCAAATAGCACCTGCTCTGTGAGGGTCCATGAGGGTCCTGACCACTGAAGAACAGGGTAAAAGGGGGCTAACAAAGTATGCAGAGAAACAGAAGGACTACAGTCTGTAATTATAGAACTACAGAGTGCACCTATATAGTAAGTGGAGCTGATAAAATGGACAATGAGCGTAGAAACAAGGAGGTGGTCATAATGTTATGCCTGATCTGTGTATAAGCTGGTTAATTTTTCTTAGCCTGTTTGAATGTCTGCCTGCTTGGCTTTGATTGTGCCATATGGGCCAACACTGAGGATATAAAAACCTGTTATATTTACATTCACAGCCGCAGCAAAAGCAAATGTGTAACTTTCCATTATAAGCTAAACGTGTCCTCACTTTTGCTTGTAATTAATGCATTCCTTTGGAGGTCTTTGAAAGATTTCTGTTTTATTGTGTGGCTGTGTAGGTATGGAGGGCCCAGTGCTGGGATCCTGTGTTCCCTGATCACCCTGGTTAACCAACTAGAGGAAGAGAATAGTGTGGATGTCTATCAAACAGCAAGGATGACCAACCTCATGAGACCAGGAGTCTTCAGTGATATTGTAAGAGCCCTGTCACATTAGTGTCCATGTAATAGCACATTATGATTATCATGTATCCAAAGCAGCTTGTAAGCAAGGGGAGTTTAAGGGGCTTACATATCGCTGCTGTTGAAAGAAAACCTCGTATCTCCATTTTTGTCATTTTTCAGTTTTTAACATAGTTTGAAAATACCTGTTGCCCTTTACATTGTGTGTAAATTATATGATCAATGGACTAAAACAACTGGCACCAAATGACGCGGAAAAAATTCTGGTTTCATTGACTTACATTAAAAGTAAATACAAGGTTTTCTTCTGATAACAGCGATATGGTTACTGTAACATTTTTAGCAGAGAACTGCCACTAAACAATGCAAACTGCACTTGGATCGGATCAGAAAAGGATGGCAGCAAAAGTGGAGAACATTTTAAACAATTCTGTCCATCCAATTGACAGCATGATATCCAAATTATTCCACAAAGAGTACAGTAGTTCTAATCCCCTCTCAGCGGTGTGTTGAGAGCTGGGATACAGCAAAAACATCCATCCATCCATCCATCCATCCTTCCATCCATCATGTTCAGGGTGCAGTGGTAATTCCAAGTGAAAAAAGCCATCATTAGCAGCAAAGCTCCAGCTGAGACTGAAATTTTCATTTCTGTTTTTTCCAGGAACAGTATCAGTTCCTTTACAAAGCTTTACTGAGCTTAGTGAGCACCAAGGAGGACGAGAAGACTCTTCTGTCCACAGAGAACAACGGCAACATCCCTCTTGGCTCAGCCAGGATCACAGAAAGTCTAGAGTCTCTCATGTAAAATCATGTCTATGGAGGTTAACACTTGTGATGATGTAAATTGCCATTGTTTATATCGGAGAATGTGGCCTTTGGGCTTGACACCTTCCCAAAGTCTCTGTGTGGCCATTTGGGTGTTGGATGTTATTTTGTCTTTTATTGTGCCTTTTTTTTTTTGTAAAATTTGTACTTTAGAATAATTTGATATAATGTTATTATTGTAACTAATGCCAAATTTATACTCTTTTTCAAAGTGCTGTATTGCTCTTGAGGTTTTCTTTTTAGTTGAGCTGGGTAAAGATAATATTTATATGTAACTGCTAAAGTGTTGAAGAACTCTATCTATTTTTTGAAAAACATAGAAACATCCTCTCCATATGTAGCTGAAGCATACATTATGTCACACAAAGAAATAAGTTTCTGGTATGTGACTAATTATTGACCAACAGACCAAACCCCATTTATATGAATAAATTTTATATTTTACTACTTTTGTTTTATAGTTTATAAGAGCTTAACAGCCTTTTACAATTTAGTTGATACATGTATAAAGTAATAGGTCTTTTATGTTTCTTGTCTGTCTTAATGTGTTTCAGTTTGGTGCAAGGATTAATTTACTTTCTGTAGATGTAAAGCAACATAGAGTCTCTGTGAAAAATGCCTATAAGTCCATGATTGTATAACTACTGATTCAGTGTCTATACCTTGTGTTTCAGACATTTTATTTCAGTCAAAGAACCAGTACATAACACTATAATCCTTACTCTTTCTATTCTTACAAGAGGCATAAGCATTACCATATCATTGTATTGGTGACTTCTTAACATACACACAGAAATGTAGCCCCTCCACTGATCAGTTCATCAGAATTCAGAATAGTGTCATAGAGAGAATTGCATGGTTCTAATTCAAAAATGAAACATCACTGAATACAAAACAGAAAACCATTAAACACCAAGAATGGCAGAGAAAAGGAATAGTCTTTTATAAAAGATGAAGGCCTCACAAATGGAAGCGTTAACCTGAGTTGCCCTGGGCTGCAACTGAGCAACCCACAAAAATCCAGTTTTATACTCTTTTCTGGGCAAAGGTGTCATCATCTGGCATGTCATTGCCTCTCCCAAATATCTCAAACCTTTTGATTTGTACACCATTATCTCCAAACATCATGCTCATCTTTAACACCCTTATTTCCAAACCTTAGATCACTTCTCTAATTAGCTTTCACATCATTATTTCCCTCATCATTTTTTATTATCAAAAATTCGTCCATTATTTCCAAATCAATAAGTAATGTATTTTTAAAAATAATTACAGGCCAAGGCCACACTCAGACCTAGGCCTTTGAGCTTTATTTACTTAATCTATTACTTGAAATTTTTGTGGTTTCGGTTAAGTCTCTGCTACGAATGTGTCTCTCCTTTTCGAAGACATTTTTAATACTTTTATGGTGCAAACATTTGGTACTGCTTTTAAAAGAAGAGATTGGCTGATACTATATGTTTACTGCTGGCAATGACATCATGACAATGTGGTAACTCTGAGTACAGGCATACTGTGATCACTTAATTTTATGCTTAAATAACATAAAACTAGCTTGTCAGTCCACATTTAAACCCCTGCAATGATGCACATAAAAAATTGGAGTACTAATAGCTTCTTCTCTTCAGTGTGGTACATGTATTTGTGTGTCTGTGAGAGGGAATGAGGCGCCTTTCATCTAGAAACAAAAACAGCCTTGCATCACCAGTGTGTGCGAAATACTGTTTTTTTTTCCCCAAAGAATGGAACTGCTTGCCCCAGTGCTTTCACTGGGATAACTCACTACTGTCAAACTTTAATAACATCAGGAGATGGTAGGAGAACAGTTCTATCATGGACGCTTGCTGTAGCTTTAAGGCAGGGTGAGATGGCACAACAAAAACTACACCTGATTTCTCCTAAGAGAGTGACACATTTCACATTTTAATGGAAAAAAAATATTTGAATGACATACACTCAACCTGCATCATTCAATAGTTTTAAGGGTCACAAGCCTCTAGGTTGGCAAAATCAAATTATGTACTGACTCAACAAAAACGTTGAACTATTTTGGGTTGAGGTCAGGGCTCTTTGCAGGCCACTGGAGACCATGATCCCTCTTCCACTAAACTTTGTGTTGGCACTATAGAATCCTGCTAGATAGCATTCTCTTGGCATCTGCCACATCCAGATTTATCCATCAGACTGCCAGATAATGAAGAGGATTCATCCCTCCAGAGGACACTTTTCCACTGTGCAGCTGCTTGGCCTTTAAAACCCAATTCATGAAGCACCTGAGGCATAGTTCTTGTGCTGATGTTATTTCCAGAACCAGTCTGGAAGTGCTGCCCCACTCTGTGAGTTTGCATGGTCTAACGTTTTGTGGCTGAGTGTCTAGAAGCAACAACAGCATCCATAAAACACCTTAAGTCAATAATTAGGAAGGGTGTCCTCAAACTTTTGTCATACTGTGTAGTTTCAAAGCAGCTTCTCATAGGCCATTTTGCATTCAAGGTATAGGTTAACAATGAATTGGGGATTTTACAACAGTGTCATATCACTCTCATATTCCGTGACATTTGACACTGTGCCAATGCTAAAAATGATTAAGTGACAGCAAAATACAGAAATAAAGCTTTTAGGTGTGCGTCCCCAAAACAGACTTTAAAGTTTGTCATGTAGATTATGTCACTATTGCATAAAGCAGCAAAGCACAAAGCAGCTCCAGCACCAAGCCATGGGTTTTGAAGTTCAATTCTATTTTAATCTTCACAACTACACAGATCAGAAAAATATTTTGCTGTTATAGTGTATTCATAGTTAGAAAGGTGGCAAGTGAAGTGACAATTGGAAGCGGAGTTTTACTGATTGTCTGTGGAGACTACATGGTATACTTGATTTTAAGCAACTGTTGATGTTGCAGTGGATGTCGCGGGAATTGAACCCACTAAACTGAAGAGCTGTCCACATACAAGAAACTAAAAGCATGTGGAAAGCTGCAAGAAACAGGAAATTACTGCATTAGTCCTTCCCATATACTGCACACAATTACATTTTCCTCATAATTTATGTACAATTAAATGCAGCATACAAACTTAGAAATTTGAGGATCTTTTGTAGCTAATCACAAAATTCCATAGAGATCCTGTCTGTAAATAAAATCACTTTGACACCTAGACTTGTCTTCATTTGTGTTTGCTGTAGTTTAGTGACAATAGGAGAATAATCTGCATCCCGACATATAAGGAGAATACACATGAACTTGGCATTATCATAAGCAAGTAACCTGGATCGATGGTTCAGTTTCTGATCAACTGTTTATTTATTTTTGACAATGTTTATGTCTGGCAACTGTGAATTAACAAATGTAGTAATAAGAGCCTAGTTTACAACTGGTGACATGATTTTGCTAATTATTTGAAAGAAAAAAAAACCCTCAAAAGAGTCTAAATACAAAAACAAAACACTGATTTTGCATTTTAAATAACAGAATGGAATGTCAATAAAAAACAACCATGCACCGTACAAATGGAGAGCACAATTGAGTACAAAAAATATGGAGGAAAAAAAAACAGTTTAACAAAAAATTAAGTGGTTCAACAAAAACGCATATTGGCAAAGTTGCTTGTGTTAGTATATATTTACACCTGTCCAGCCGAACAGCCCAATACCCATACCCAAATCAACTGCACATGATAAGAAACAATAGTGAGGGATTTTCAGATTAACAATATATTAATACTTTAAGTTCACAACATCCTTCAACAACTGCATAAATTAGTTTATCACTTTGAAAACAACTGCTCTTTTCTGTGCCACTGTGAATTAATCACATTCATCTTTATATACACACAATACGTTGCAAAAGTATTCACTTACCCATCCAAATCATTGAATTCAGGTGCTTCTACAAACATTTGTGAAAGAATGGGTCGCTCTCAGGAGCTCAGTGAATTCCAGCGTGGTACTGTGATACGATGCTCTTGTGCAACAAGTCCAGTTGTGAAATTTCCTCACTACTAAATATTCCATAATCAACTGTCAGTAGTATTATAACAAAGTGGAAGCGATGGGAACGACAGCAGGTTGCCAGGAGAACGGTACTTGTCTGACTGCATTGTGCCAAGTGTAAAGTTTGGTGGAGGGGGGATTAAGGTGTGGGGTAGTTTTTCAGGAGTTGGGCTCGGCCTCTTAGTTCCAGTGAAAGGAACTCTTAATGCTTCAGCATACCAAGAAATTTTGGACAATTTCATGCTTCCAACTTTGTCCATAAAGACATGGATGAGCGAGTTTGGTGCGGAGTCCTGACCTCAACCAGATAGAACACCTTTGGGATGAATTAGAGCGGAGACTACAAGCCAGACCTTCTCGTCCAACATCAGTGTCTGATCTCACAAATGCGCTTCTGGAAGAATGGTCAAAAATTCCCATAAACACACTCCTAAACCTTGTGGAAAGCCTTCCCAGAAGAGTTGAAGCTGTTATAGCTGCAAAGGGTGAGCCGACATCATATTAAACCCTATGGATTAAGAATAGGATGTCACTCAAGTTCATATGTGTGTGAAGGCAGACGAGTGAATACTTTTGGCTATATATATATATATATATATATATATATATATATATATATATATATATTGCCAAAAGTATTCACTCGTCTGCCTTCACACGCATATGAACTTGAGTGACATCCCATTCTTAATCCATATATATATAATATATATATATATATATATATATATATATATATATATATATATATATATATATATATATATGTATGTATGTATGTGTGTGTGTGTGTGTGTGTGTGTGTGTGTGTGTGTACATACACCCCCATGGACCCTCACAGAGCAGGTACTATTTGGGTGGTGGATCATTCTCAGCACTGCAGTAACACTGACGTGGTGGTGGTGGTGAGTTAGTGTGTGTAGTCCTTCATCAGTGGTCACAGGACGCTGCCCACAGGACAGTTGGCTGAATGTTTTTGGTTGGTGGACTATTCTCAGTCCAGCAGTGACACTGAGGTGTTTAAAAACTCCAGCAGCACTGCTGTGTCTGATCCACTCAGACCAGGACAACACACACTAACACACCACCACCGCGTTACTGCAGTGCTGAGAATGATCCACCACCAAAACAGTATCTGCTCTGTGAGGGTCCATGGGGATCCTGACCACTGAAGAACAGGGTAAAAGGAGGTCTTTGAAAGATTTCTGTTTTATTGTGTGGCTGTGTAGGTATGGAGGGCCCAGTGCTGGGATCCTGTGTTCCCTGATCACCCTGGTTAACTAACTAGAGGAAGAGAATAATGTGGATGTCTATCAAACAGCAAGGATGACCAACCTCATGAGACCAGAAGTCTTCAGTGATATTGTAAGAGCCCTGTCACATTAGTGTCCATGTAATAGCACATTATGATTATCATGTATCCAAATTGTAAGCAAGGGGAGTTTAAAGGGCTTACATGATGTTATGCTTGATCGGTGTGTGTGTGTATATATATATGGCATTATTTACACAAAGTTCACTGTACAGGTTTTTTTTTTCCTCTTCAGCCTTTTACTCTGTCCACGCTTTCCAAATTGATTGGAATTGACAAGTCATGACTGTCCAGTCATGTTAGTCACTGTCAGTCTCATCTTGGTACTTGGAAGTGGTTTTAATAGCACGGCCATTTTGAAGAGGCATCACTTCATAGTCGCTCCTTCATTTAGAAAAAAAAAAAAAAATCAAACATATTAAATCAAATTAAAATACAAGTAAAATATTCCTTAATGGCAATACATTTTAATCACTGGAACGAACAATTATGAAATAGACATAATGATATGGTATCTTATTAAAAATCCTTTAATCATTTACATGAATTAAAACTTTTTTAAATAAAACAAAACTTACCCATAAATCACTTCATCATCTGAGTCGTTCAACATCGAAAAAGCAGGATTATCTTTCATCTGGGAATCTAGGTAAAAGATACATACAATAAAGCATAATAATGCATTAATGCAGTACTAAAAATAATCCAGTAATAACTAAAGCTATAATGTTAATTTCACATTATTTTTATTTTTTTAATTCTTGAAAATAGGAATGGGCAGCACGGTGGCGCAGTGGGTAGCTCTGCTGTCTCACAGCAAGAAGGGCCTGGGTTTGGTTGCCCGGCTGGGTGGCCAGGGTCCTTTCTGTTTGGAGTTTGCATGTACTCCCCATGGGTTTCCTCCCACAGTCCAAAGATATGCAGTCAGGCCAATTGGACACACTACATTGCCCCTAGGCGTGAATGTATGTGTCTGTCTGCCCTGTGATGGACTGGCGACCTGTCCAGGGTGTATCCTGCCTTGCACCCAATGACTGTTGGGATAGGGTCCTGCACCCCCACGCAACACAGAAGCGGTTTAGAAAATATATGTGTGTGTGTGTGTGTGTGTGTGTGTGTGTTTGTCTGTGAGAAAAGAGGATGTGTAGCATGTGCCGTACCATCTCATCATATAACTATGAAATAACTCACAAGGGTTTTACAAAAACAAAATCGCTTCAGAAAAGGCTAATTCAAAAAGGCTAATTTAAAATTAATTGTAAAATGAAATCGTTTGGCATCACCCATCCAGCAGGCGATTGGTTAGTAGTGGGTGCTCTAAACCAAGCACAAGCAGAGAGAAGGTTTGATGGAGTTGTCTACTATTTATTCAGTACATGAGACAAACTGGAAAAAAAAAAAATTCTTCCCAATGCAAGCCTGCCAAGAAATTACTTGCAGTCTAAACTACTAACAGTAATCTTACTTTGCTCACACCCAGTCTTAACAGGTCAAGTAATATGTGAATCAAGTAAGCATATTCTACACATCTTTCGTTGTCAATGCACTGATCAAAACAATTACGCTATAAACTGATGGTTAGGCTATGCTAAGCACCAGTTCACAAGGCTAAAAGACTTGCTAAAAGAATGCTGCTTGAAATATTTTCATTGTGTTTTATTTTTAAACAACTAAGCCATCATCTTGCTCAAATAAAAAATAAAAAAACATTTAATGTTTTCGATAAATGAACAAGTATATTTGAATTCTGTGAGAATCTGTTGATGTTTTCTTTAACAAATGAGCAGCATTCCCGATTACAAACTATCATCCACATCTTTCTGTATCATCTTATAACTATCATCTGGCTGCTAAAAATTATAAGTAAACATGACTCTCTTTTCACATTTTGGTAATGTTATTTTAGTTCTGATTGGCCCCTAAAAATGATATACTATCTGTGGTTTGAAAGAGACATGACTGTGAACTGCTGCTGTGCTGTGTTTGATGAGAGGAGGGATTCCTTTCAAAATCTGTGACTCTCCTCTTCCCACTTTATTAATTTTTAACTAGATATGCAATCATGCTATTTAAAATAAAGAAACAACAAAAAAAAATAAATAAAAATAATGTCTATCAGACATAACATTTACAGTAATGTTATCTAGACTCATGATATTCCTTATTATGCATGTTGACTACCCTTCTATTTATTTCTCTTATGAAACTAAGGAGTTACATTCATTTTTGTATTAGTGCACCTACTTACCATACAAAGTATTTCTGGAGGGTGAGTAGATGAATGCTAATGTGTAGAGGTAAAAATTGAGAAGGCCATAGAAGGACAAAAATTCAGCTGGTGAAGATAAAAGTTAAGGAGATAGTGGAAATATTACAGATCAGGAATACATATCTAAAGTATGTATCGTGCATTACTGTTGTTACAGACTTCCAAATTTACTCTCTGACAAATTTTGACTCAATTTTGTCAACATCATCTTTGACATTGGTGAGTGATACAGGAATCACAGTCCTTTTTACACACAGAGATTCAAAGAAATTAGCAGCTCCATGTTGTGTTATTAGTTCATGCAGAGATCAAATATTTAATTAACGTTGAAGGGTCCAGTAAAGCCACTGCAATACCAGAGCACTTGGGCATAATAACACTTGATGTAAAAAAGGATCAGAAGATTTTTAGAGAAAAAAAAACAGATATTAGCTTGGGGATGTACAGATATCAAAAACAACAAAAGGTGAGCAGGATCCATTATATGAGGTCTTCACACCATTCACATAAAACCGATCTCAATAACCAATCACTTGATTACATAATTTCCATACACAAATCAAGTCAAGTACTTCACCATTTGCGACTGCCACTGAGCCTCTTGTTACATTTCCTAAATGTTCACCTAATATATACACACACGCACAGGCAGGCAAAAGAGGCACATACAGCAATATGCAAAAGTTTGGGCACCCCTGTGCTAATATTCACAGTTTCCACATGTAAGCTTGTTCCCTGCAGGGTGTTTGATAGCTTGTTTTCACGTAGAAAAGCGAAAAAAAACTTAATCTGACAAGGTGTGTGCAAACTTTTGCATACAACTGTGTTTAACAATATTTGGGAATTAACAATAAATATAAAAAGACAATTTCTCAAAAGGATATAATTCTGATAGTGGGTAGACAATTCTGCAACAAAGTTGTCTTTTAGAGCCTTTGATCCAAATCGCAGGTAAAGGATGACAGTACTGAGTGTGAGAGAGAGAGAGAGAGAGAGAGAGAGAGAGAGAGAGAGAGAGAGAGAGAGAGAGAGAGAGAGAGAGAGAGAGAGAGGGACAGAAACAATTGTAACTTTGAACACTCTTCAACAGTATGTTCTTACTGTCTTAATTGCAAATGTCTACTGATCTGACATCTTTCACCCTCCTAGAGCTGGTGGTACCGTGTGATTCGGGGAGTCCTAACTAGTGGGTGGAATTAGATACGTCTAAATTGGGGAGAAAATTGGGGGAAAAAAACAAAGAAAAAAAAAACAACATGAACCTAACTGGATGAAGATTTGAGTTATTTTTAAGTTGTCAATAATGGTATTTTTATAAAAAAAACTGGCATACAGTGAGGAAAAACAAAAAGTAATGAAGGTCAGAGCATCATGACATGGAGCAGCTTCCATACAAATGGTACTAGGGCGTTACAGGTCTTCGATGGAAACATGAATATAGCGACATACCGGGAGATTTGTAATCTCATCGGGAGAATATGGCCATTTGAACAAGACAACGATGCCAAACACACATAATCTAAAAGAGGGACCCTCATAACCTCGATCCATACTCTCAATCCAGAAAAAAGCACTCATACGTATATTGTAACAAAACATCTATGCAATTCTAAGACCCTGTTAAAGACTCTTGCCCCTTACTCCAAAGCTGTCAGAGTCAATGGGACAGAACATTCCTATTTTCCTTTACCATTTTTACTCAGTCTAACCATGTGCGTTTCATGAAAATACTTCTAGATTAAAGACGTTTATGCTCTTGCAATACAGCAGTCAATTTTAATATTTTCACAAGGCAATCTAACCACCTTTCAGCACTTTTAGTCTTAGAGAAAAGTTCACATTACCTAATTATCAATACCAGAAATGTCAAAGATGTCAGAAACTTCAGCCGCAAATCTGAAAAAAGAACAAAGAAAGACTGTTACTTCTGTGATTAACTATTTGAGTAAGACTGCAAATTAGCAATTAATAGCTATGCTTGATATCTTTTATTTTTATTTTTTGGCTGGTAAACTCAAGATCCAAAACGTCTTGATCAGTGTGCAAAGTTAAACGCTGGAAGAAGGCAACTAGAAACGGCCAAATGATTTCAAACCTGAGACATTTATAACATTCATGAATTTGATGACATATTAATTGACATAATAAACTGTGGCAATTCAGTGTAATGTAACTTAAATGTAAAATATGCATATACCCAATCAATTTAGAGGCACAAAATCTAGGCCCTTAGAATTTACAAGGACATTTATAACTACAGGACAATATACCCTTTATTATACATGACATTAATTAAGATAAGACTATAATAAGTAATAATAAGTACACGTTGCAATTTGTTTTTGTCCCCCTGAATATTTGTATTCAACAAGACAATGGCATATCACAATGCAGTCATATCCATTTTCTTTTTCTTTCCCTTCTCCCCCCACCCCATCATTTCCCCACACAACAGTGCGGGGCATTTACACAGTTGTTTTTGACCTTGTAAGACTTTGCAGTGAGATGGACTTGGATGAGCATAACATACAAAAATTGAAAGTCAGTTTGCAGGGAGAGTCTTAATATTTTCAAAATACTTCATTAGGGGACTCCAAACTGTAAAAAATGTGTTGGTTGTTCCTCTAATGGTGTATTTTATTTTTTCTAGTTTTAAAAATGGCATCATGTCATTAAGCCATGCTGATGTTTTTGGTGGCTTGGGTGATTTCCATTCAAGTAGTATTCTTCTGCGAGCTAACAGAGAAGCAAAAGAAAAGGCAATTTTCTTGTTTTTTGTTATTGAAGTATTATCTGGCAGTATACCAAATATGGCTATTTCAGCACTAGCTTGTCAGCTACATCTGACTCAAAAGCCTCATTCAGGATTTTTAATATGGATGACCAGAAGTCCCTCAACCTATTACAGGACCATCTGGTTTAGCAACATGACATCGGTCACATATATCATCTAGGTTCGAGTATATCCTAGATAATTTTGCTTTACTGTAATAAGTTAGATGAAGAACTTTAAACTGTATCAAACTAAGACAAGAACATGAAGATGTTCCATTCACTCATCAGATATTTCTATGCCTAGTTCTTCTGCCCAGTCCGTTCTAATCTTATCTAATGACACATTTTTAAGAGAAGAAATTGTGTTTAGTATACTTGAAATCTGGCCTTTAAGATGCATGGGGGTTTGCTGGATATTATCTAAAGCTGAAGCTGGTGGTAAGCAGGGGAAAGCTGAACTTTGATTCTGAATAAAGTGACAAATCTGAAAATAACAAAATAAGATAGATTATGGTAACAAAAATTTTTCAGTGAGAGCACTGAAACTGGCAAAAGTACCATCAATGTAAATATCACTACACTTAGAAGTACCCAATCTCTGCCACTGTGCGAAAGTGTGATCCAGTTTAGCTGCTGGAAAAAGGTGATTATCACATATGGGGGCCAACATTGAAAAATCTGTAAGATTAAAATGTTGTCTGAATTGTGACCATATTCTAAGTGTGGAGCATACAACTAGGGATGAAGTATATTGTGATGGGGAGAAAGGTAATTTTGTTGTAATAGGGGAAGCAAGAGACGATGCTTTGCAGGAGTTTGCCTCTGCTTTACACCAATTAGTCTCTGGGAATTGGAACCAATAAACAATTTTTGTAAGTTTCCAGCCCAGTAATAGCTCCTTAGATTTGGAAGAAATAAACCTCCTTGTAGCCTACTTCTTTCTAGGAATTCTTTACATATTCTATGGTGTTTACCTCTCCATAAGAATGCCATTATCAGCTTATCTACTGACAGAACGAAAGACTTTGGCAAAAAGACGGGAAGACATTGAAATACAAATAAAAATTTGGGTAATTTTAATACAGTTAATTTTGCCTACAACAGACAAGTGTAGCGTATTCCATCTCTGAATGTCTGATTTAAGTTTAGAAATAAGGGGTACAAAATTTTCCTTGAATAAGCCATAAATAGTTGGAGTGATCTTAATTCCTAAAGATTTACCTCTCCATAAGAATGCCATTATCAGCTTATCTACTGACAGAACGAAAGACTTTGGCAAAAAGATGGGAAGACATTGAAATACAAATAAAAATTTGGGTAATTTTAATACAGTTAATTTTGCCTACAACAGACAAGTGTAGCGTATTCCATCTCTGAATGTCTGATTTAAGTTTAGAAATAAGGGGTACAAAATTTTCCTTGAATAAGCCATAAATAGTTGGAGTGATCTTAATTCCTAAAGATTTAAAATCGTTTTTAGACACATGAAAAGGCAGCTCTGTCTCTTTGATTTGCATGGCTAGACTATTAACAGGGTAACACTCACTTTTAGAAAGGTTTAATTTATATCCCGAAAAAAGGCTAACTTGGTGACAAGTATAATTTCAGTTTGTTATGGTAAACAAACTATCTGCAACTGGATGTTGAAAAAAGTATGTTAGCGTTTATCCTGTGGAATCAAGAAATTTTATTCTCAAAGTGCAACAAATCCAGAATGATTTAAGAATGTGTTGGCTGTTCGTAAAACTGCTTTACCTGAGTAGGGCATGTTCTTCAGCTCTGACCATGCTCTCACAAGCAGAAACACCAGATACAGAACATACAGGACCACCACCAAAAGGAAGAATATTTTCATGCCCTGTATGTAAAAAATATTCAATGAGCTCCAAAAGTACTGGACAAAACACTTGTCATTCCGGCTTGATATTTGAACAGTATGAATTTGGAATGGCTCAGTGACCTTAGGAGTTATATAAATTTTATCATCTTAGATGTTGCAAGAAATTATAGCATTTTGCAAAGGCATCATGTGATGCATTCTGTGAGACATTCGGATAAAACACTCATTCAGAGCAATATTATAATCAGGCCCTATTTTATTTACACTGCAGCCCTTGATTATTTTACAATGTTTATTTGCACTGTTTGTACAATGTTTACAATGTTTGTAACTGCAGTCTGGAGGTCCAGTCAATGTGTATAATAATGTACAAAGTGTGCTATAATTTGTACTTGTAGAACATACTTGACAGTTTGCATTTTTTACCCTTTTTTTAATTATTGAGATGAAGGTGTTCTGTTTGGTACAGGGTTCTTACCTGAAAGTGCTTCATGTCCATGTTATATTGATATGTGGGATCCTGCAGTTCATTTATCCTGAAGTTCAACAAATGAATAAATGAATGAATATAAATAAATAAATAAATAAATAAAAAATAATAATAATAATAATAATAATAATAATTCTCTCAGTATAAAAAGGTACTAAGCTGTCACTGGGGTGCTACCCTCAAGGGTACATCTTCAGTATCTTTAGTTAGGAAACATAATTGTACCACTTTTCCTTGCAGTAATATTTTTTAAGTTGTATTGACTCCACACACCCCTCTCCAGGCTTTTTATTTTATTGTTCTGTTTTAAAAAAGAAGTTATGAAAAGGTACAAATACATACCTTACACAGTTTAACCTTAAAACTATTGTTGTACCTTTGAAGGTTTTATATTTACATTATTTGTACCCTTTTTCTGACAATGAAGAGTGAAAAAATAAACTGTCAAGAGAGAATGAATGAATTTCCAATGAAGGTCATATATTCCATTGCTTAATTTTTGTGCAACAAGCTTTCTCCACAGCACAGTTTCTCTCAACCATAGATCCTTTTAAACTCTCTACAAGATTAAATGTCACTTTGCCACTTCAAAGAGTTATGATTAGGTATAAAACAAAAGGAGCAGCTGTGCATATTTATATACTGTATTTATCTCACAGTTGCCATATGCCTAGGGTGACAGCAGAGATCCACAGCAGCCCCACAATCACCAACTTGGGCAAGTAGAACGTCAAAAACCTCCTCTCCCCCTGAGGGATAAACAAAAAACATGAGCCAATTACCTAAACAGTTGTTTTTTTCCATTCAGCATTGCACACAAACACTAAAATAAAATATGTACAGATTTTGCACAAACACTGCATATTTTAACAAGAGGATTTGTAAAAAAAAAATTGTATAGCTATTTGGTTTACATCAAATTCACAAAAGATTTTTCATGAGATAAACAACTTCCAAAAGTAGCTAGTCGCTCTCTATAACATTTTAAAGAAGTAACTGCTTTAGAACTGTGGCAGTAATGAAGTTAGCGTACTATTTAATGGAGAAAATTAAAAAGGAATTTGGTAAAACATAAAATGGAATACTTAGGCCCAATCCCATTTCACGCCTTGCCCCTACCACTTAGCCCTTAGCCCTCTGTTTTGTGCGTTCACGTCTAGGGTTAGGGTGTCCCACTTTTTGTTGAGATTTAGGGATAGTTCGAAGTGTTAGGGCTACATGGCCCTCCAAACGAAGGTTTTTCAGAGGCACACTCCAAACGGAGTTTATGAGAAAAAAAGAAAAACCGGCAAGATGGCTGAGCGAGTGACCAAAGAAACCAACAAATGTAAGTATTTTCTCTGTTAAAAAAATTCACGATACCCATTGTATTATCTTAGTTTAATGTCGTTTTAATTTATTGTTTGTTTTTTTTTTTGTTTTTTAATTTAAGGGTTGTCCCGTTTCGTAGGGCAAGATTTCAACCACTAACCCTTGGAACGGAGTTAGGGTGACACTCGAAAACAAGGGGTAAGGGTAAAAAGAAGAAATGGGATTGGGCCTTAGGGCCCTACCACATGTTACACTATACACTTGTGACCCAAAAAGTTATGGTGAATCGTGAAGAACATTTATTACTTGTAACAATGGCACGTTAAGGTCTGAGATATTGGATGGTCAGCGAACAGTTGGTTCTCATAGCCAATGTGTTTAATGGGGGAAAAATGGGCTGGTGTGAAGACCTGAACAAGGGCCAAACTGTTATGACCAGACGACTGGATCGAATCTTTTCCGACACGTCAAGGCTTGTGGGGTGCTCCCAGCCAGCATAGGTGAGTGCTTACCGACAGTGCTCAGAGGAGGGACAAACCACAAAACGGCAGTAGGACATTGGGCGCTCAAGGCTTATCGATGCACAAAGGCAGCAAAGGCCATCCCATTTGGTCCAGACAAAAAAGAAGGGCTACAGTGGTCTGACAAGTCCCATTATCTTTTACATCACATGGATGCCCAGGAACGCGTGTGCTGTTTACCTAGGAAAGTGATAGCACCAGGAGGCAATGTGGAAAGAAGACAAGCCAGTGGAGGGAGTGTGACACTCTAATCCCCAGTGGCTCCACCTTGCAACTTACAGGACTTAAAGAATCTGCTGCTAACGTCTTGTATTGTCCATGCCATGGCAGGTTGGAGCTGGTTTATGGTCATAATGTTTTGGCCTATCAGTGTATGTATCACAATGGCATCCATAAAGACACTTCCCAGCACAGGTCAAAGTTCACTTTCCACATATGGCAGGCTTTCATGTCAGGATTTAAGGCCAACAGGCTTGTGCAAAAACTGAACCAGAAATTGGGCTGGCACTCACTTGTAACTCAGTTGGTGAAAGCTCCTAAACTCTGGAATAATGTCTCAGAGAACATTAAGAAAGTTCTCAATAGGTGTTTTTAACTCCAGATTGTTTCAGATAAGCCTATGGACTGGCATATACCTACTTTGTCAGATCTGAAAATACTGCACAAATCAATCGCATTCTGTGTGTAAAGGCCTTTAGGCTTCATATGTCTGAAAACAGAAAACGAGTAACTGCCACTCTGTGCTGAACATAGAAAGGTCTTTTTAAACAAAGCTTTGAAGCCAAACAAATTAAACCATCAATTAGAGGCTAAAATGTGCATCTAAATCTGTTGAACTGAGCCAGGCCTCCTTTTACAACTTTCATATCTTCTGCCTGACATCCAGCACTTGGTAGCTGACAAACAATATCAGCTCATTAGGTAGGTCAGAAAATGTTCGGTTATTTTTAGTGTTTATTGCATTGCATTATATAATAAAATTATATCTTAATAATTATATCTTGTGGGTCGCGGAAGATTTTGTGGTCTGCACTGTAGAATGCTTTTATGCTTTGCTCTTGCGCATTGTAATCTCCCCTGTAATCGCCCCTAGTATATTTCTAAAAATGTTAGGCCACCAGTGCAAAGTGCTGTTTGCTGGTTTCGCTTGCACTACAGGCCCCTGCATACATGCAAAACTTGAAATAACTGTTTAATAGTTCAATGTTAAAAAAAAAGAAATAGGCTTTTTTAAAATAAATTTGCACTAATGCCTTAGCCTGCTGAACATGAAATATTAACCCCAAAAATATGGAAAATTGGGCTAACACAAGCTTGTTTTATTCCCGAAGTGACAAAGCAGCATTGTTGTATATACTTTCAAAAACAAAACAAAAAAAAAAGTTTTGAAAATGCCAACCACGCATTCCTTTTGTCGACGTTCATGCAATGAGAACATTACTAAAACCATTAAAAGCATGTAAAAGCAAGTTCATAATATATTCATTCCCACTACCTGCAGTATTGCAGCCCTAACTACATTACAAAAGAGAATAGATGTTATACACACCTGTACTCTGATGCCATGGTATACACAGAGCCAGAACAGCAGAAGAGCACACAAGAACAGAGCTTGGAAAAAAGTGTCCAGTGTTCCAGGAAACCAGCTATTTGTCAGGAATGACAATGGAAAGAATGGATCTAAAGCAGGTTTTTAAAACACTGGATCTAACATAAACCCCAAAACACAGAATCTAACAGTGTGAATCAATAATAAGACTAACATTCAAAACAGTACCGATTTCAGTATTAACAAACTAATAACACGCTATCAAAGTTCTCAATGTCTGGTCATTTACAGCATAAGCTTATAGTACGAGTCGTTTACTCACAACAGACATGGGATGCTCACCATTATACAGCAAAAGCAAAGGCAAAAGAATAGACATCCACTTCTGCTCTATTCCCCAATCCCTCATTGAGAATTTCCTCAGGGAATGGGCAAACATACACTACAAAAGAAAGCATTACATATACCTCATGACTTACCACATCTCAACATACCAAACTTGAATTAAAAAATAAAATAAAAAAGGCATTTACACATGTACTGCAGACGTCCACGAAAATTTTACACACAGATGTTTTATTGAACTAGTTAAAATGACTTGTTGGACTGAAGTAATCTGACTATAGTAAAATCTTACCGTTACTACGAAGGTCAAAACAACAAATACAAATCGGAACCAGATCTCCACCTGGGAGAATTTGGGGTTGTAAGTCTTGATCTGTTAAAAAGGTGAATACATGATTCAGGGCACCACATAGAAAAACAGCCAGCAATGTTGAACAACTGATCTGAAAACATATAGCAATATGATCTCACCACAAATGTAACATTTTGAATGTTTTGTGACTTTCCCTCCAGGCCTTTCAGACTGACGTTGATTTGATACTGTGTGTAGTTCAAGTAGCCCAGGTGCACAACGATGAACTCATCACACAGCTGGTGGGGCTAAGTGGAAGAAAAAACATTTCAGTTTTTAAACGTAAAAGACTGATTTCTGGTATCTTAAAAGGCCCACATTCTTTGTGTGTATTTTAGTCAATTTATAATGCTTGTGTAGGTTTTATGTACCAAAAACAGTCCTGATGCATTTTAGCAAGTTTGTTCTCCAACCTCTCTTTACTTCTTATCATTAAACAGGCTGTTTTTGTCATTGTGCCTTTAAGACTGATGTGTATAAATTACCTCTGTTCTGACTGACTGCCCTGTAATGCATCTGTAATGCCTCTGTAAGTAGTCTGGCCTAAAACACTACTGAAAACTTCAACATAAATGTGTGGGAGGCTGAATAGGCAGATATATCTAAATATTTTGGTTTTTCTGACATCACAAATACATTGCATGTATAGAAATTAAGCTGCAAATACAGCTTAATTTCTATATATGAATTAACCAGGCTGGGAAGTGAATGGTATATTTTGAAACTTTAGTACTGTTTACATACTACATCAAACTTTTATGTCAAAAAAGTGATACTCTATATTTTATATTGTAAAGTGTAGGAAAATTGTGGTATTCAGTGATATGAGCCATTTAAATATACATTTAGTGGATTTTTGTTTTTAAAAATAAGTCAGCAGGAAAAAAGGAACATTTCTAGGAAAAGTCATTTAAAACAGAATGCTGAGCATCTGAACTCTGGTTAAATTACCTCAGTACTGACTGATTTATGAAAAAGTTTAAGGTTGCTGGAAGAGATTTACGAAGTGACTGAAAAACACTCACCTGCGCACAATGCAGAAAACGTGATTTCCGATGCACATTATCACTGATGCGCATAATGCTGGCGTCCTGCATCACGCCTTTCAATTCTACATTCATCTGAAAATTCTTTATGAAGTCTTCTTCTAAGGGATGTAAACATCACAATATCACATCCATTATGAAAATTATGTTTTCACAGTATTTGTGTGCATAGATGGTGACTGTTCTAACCATAACATTTTGAAATGGGAGATCTAAAGATTACTATCAAATATATTACTATTAAAATTAATAACCATTCAAAGTAAAGAGGTGGAAAAAATCCTTAAGAAAAAAAAATCCATTTTCACTGTCTTCATAAAACTAATCTTGATTAATGGGTTAGACTGGCATATCAGCTTGACTGAGCCAATTTATGTGACTCTGATATGCAGACACTAACAGTGATGCTGGAGAAGCTTCTATGTAATGCCAGACGTTGGCTTATAAAAACAGTGTATTCAGTATTTATTGATCACACTAACTTTGCTTTTTATAAACCTTCCAGACAGCTTTCTGGTTATTTTTTTAATGCATAACAAGGTCATGTTTGGTTGCTTAAACCTTAAAGGAAAGTTCCAGAATAAGTTTTAAAACATACATACAGCATATATGGAGGTTACCAAATTTCAGGCTAAGTTAGTGACAGCTGTTGCAAAACTATACAACTATACAACTAGACTATGGCCTACAACTAGACAGTTTTCACACCTAAATCACTTAGCTCTACTACCACTGCCTTTGAAGACACATCTGGTATGTCTTCATACCATCAATCTGTCCCAAAAATTACTGCAAGCAGGGGTGCAGAGGAGAAGGTAGATCTACCAGAATATGTGTATGTAATGTAAAACTAGTGTTTTGTATGATAACAGCTAGGACCTGTAGAATTTGCATGTGAACATCTTTCTTATTTTTTTACCATGCTATGAGAATCAGTGGTTGCAAGCAGAGGTACAACTGTGTCTCACCGTTGTTTTGCGTCATCTGTATAACACACAGGAGCCATAACTGCTGGTTATAATTGGACAGTGGTGGAGATTTTATGTGAAAGGGTCCCGTCTTGAAATGCAGGGAAAAAAGTACAAATACAAAACAAATTACAAAAGTATTTCTTGACAGCTCTTCAGTTACTCAAAGCAATATAATATAATATTTGAACAAAATGCATTGTGGTACATTTACAGGGTAAAAAATTATAATAAAACAAATTTAGTCACAAGCGGCAAACTGTGGGGTCCAAGCACCACAAGGTCAATGAAGCCTTGTGTGTCAGCCTCTGGTCATAGTTGGATTTTTCAAAAAGACCCCCAATTCTTATGATTAAGATAATCTAAGCGATATGTCTGCTACAGTTTATACAGATCCATCCATTATGCCTGATGGGGAATCAAGCCCAGGACCTTTGTCATCAAAGGCAGATGCTTTTATGGTGAGCCAAAGCAGCCCACTGCAGCACAGTATTTTTTGAGACAATTTATTGGCAGTAAGCAATAAGGAACCAAGCATCCTTTTATGAACTAGTTCCTAACTTTCAATTATTGTGATTAAGTAATTTAATTGAAAATGAATTTAGAATACACCCACAGTTTGTCGTTCTGTACATATGTTTCAAATTCATATAATCAGCCAATGACTCATATGTTTGTAGCCATTTAAGTTAAAAAAAAAAGCCAGGTCACACTAATTTGTTTAAATCTTGCTGCTACACTGTGCTTAAAAGTCATGATGTTTTTAATAATTATTTATCTTCAGACTCTACGGATTATTTTAAGACCAATTTTGAGGTGGTAAGAAAACATCCATTTTCCAACTTTTATCAACCGCAGAACAATTGTAACTTCTTTTGAAAGAATTGTAATGCACAGACTTGATGGACCAATTGATTGAATTGATTGCTTGTATGTTTTAAAGTACACAATTTGCAATTACTGTTGGAGCTCCCTCTAATAACTGGATAAGATAAATATAGTAAAGCTTATGACTGTATGTTTGAAGTTCACAGTTTGCAGTTACTACTGAAGTTCGCTCTGGTGGCCAGAAATAGCAACATCTGCTTCTGTGATCAAGATGGGTTCAAATCAAATTACAGGATGTGCTGTGAAATTTAGCAACATACATTTATTTGCAAAGTGTTAGGTCTTAATGAGATATGTAATTTGAAATCATCATCTTTATTTTAATTGTAAAGCAAAACAATGACATTTTAGTAAATTAATACTAGATTAAGCAGTGTAGGGAAATATTGAGACCAATTTATACTAAACTTAGCAAATGTGCACAGATGATGGTTGTGCACATTTCTTCCAAATTGCGTCACGACCTGAGCAAGACTAACAGATTTATAACCTCTTTTGGTTGGTGGACTATTCTCAGTCCAGCAGTGACATTGAGGTGTTTAAAAACTCCAACACACAATAATACACCACCACCACTGTGTCAGTGTTACTGCAGTGCTGAGAATGGTCCACCAAGTTTCAGATAATTTGTTTAAAATCCATAAACTACTTCAAAAAGCTTATCTTTTAAACACTGAACATTTGCAGAAAAAAATAATTTTCAAAGACTCGTATTTAATATAATGTCAGTGTAAGGCATGATCAGTCGATTTATTTTTATCCAAGATATTTTTCTTTTTTATTATTCTTTTTTTGTTGAATAGCACCACCTCATGACTGACTGAGATCAAACTTGATAGGCGATTAGAGAGTGCTTATGTGGATGCAAAATTTCATTTTCATGATGATTGGCCAATGGTAAGCTCTCCAAATCCCTGTTGAAAGCGTACTGGCCAATGGCGGCCATATTTGTCCAATGATTAAGTTGTCCTTAACACCTTATTAATTAAGTCACAATACGCAGCATGCAAGGTTTCAGCTCAATAGGCCAAGTGGTTGCCGATGAACAGATTTTTGGTTATTATAGCGACCCCCATTGAATAATTGGTGTCAAACTTGTTGGGTTTCCTCAAAATCATTTGGGGTATAAGACTAAGTTTCATGAGAATTAGCCAATGCATTCTGTAGCCATTTTTATTAATTAAGCTAAACCCAGAAGGTCCTAATTGGTATGCGGTGGCCATATTGTTTACAAATTTCCAAATATCCATATTTTATCTCCTACCTTGACCTCCAGACCCCAATAAACATTTTGAGACCAATATTGTGTGGATATCTTGAAAACCTCAGAGTACTGGAAAAATATATGTCACATATGTTGCCAATTATGATGTGGAAAATATGGGGGTGGAGCTAAATAGACCCAGTGCTGCATTTATGTGGAATACACCAAGGATTACGTAGAACCAAGAACTTCACGGCTCAAGAGATAAAATTATTTGGTAGTTACATTATCATTTTAATATTATTATAATTTATCACAATTAATTTCTTCATTAGACTATAGCTGTGATTAATTGATATTTTATTATAATGTTTTACTGACTTCCTTAAGCTGTGCTACATTTTATGGAAGGATAAAGTGCCCCGAAATACAAAGGAATTATTAATGAAATTCATATATTTTAATTTTACATGCTGTATCTGCATATGTAGCATTCATACTTGTAAATGTTATGCAAGTTCTAGCAGATCAGTGTTATACTCACCTTAGATTCATTGCCAGTACTTAAGGCATTGTAAGAATTCTCTGTGATGACTTTTGGTCCTATTAAAAACAAATAAGCAAAAAATAAATAAATAAATAATAAGTGCACAGTGCAGTTCTATTTATTCCCACAGTATTCCTCACCATCATGCTACTGTGTTAAATATAGCCACAGGGGCTCGAGAGTAGTTCGGAAAACCACTGTCTCTTGACACAGTTCACTGCTGCATCAAGAAAAATACTTCCATAACTGAAACGTGTAAAAGCCAACATCTCTCATGGTATGGGGTACAATGGAAGAAAAACTTGCATACCCATAAAAATCCATGGATGAATGAGAAATATGCCAGCTTAAGAGAGGATGGAGGAAAACTTAACTGCAGGTACATTATGATTTTCATAAAGAGCAGATCTCAATCTATAATAATGCTAAGCAAATATCCAGACAGTCATACCGCTCTAGTGTAATTAAAATTCTTTTTTCCACCATAGACCAACTACTTAACCCCAGCTTTTCTGGGTCTGAGTCTCATGGTGGTCCATGAAGAGTTCGCAATTCATTTTCCAAGACCTGATAAGACAGGGTATAGCTCAGCAAGCTGAAACAAGCTCCTATAATGTTCCTGATAAGCCACCTACATCAGTAATGACATCTTTCTCTGTTATCAATTATCAGAAGCTTACAACTGTTGTAAACAAGCTATGTACATCCACATGTGATCTTGACCCTGTTCCTACTTCATTCCTTAAGATGGTTTTTGATTGTGTTCACAATGATGTTTTAACTTTTGTAAATTGTTCTCTGTCAACAGGTGTTTTTCCAGGCGCTTTTAAAACTGCCTTGCTAAAAAAGACAGTAGCATGGATACTTCCATACTAAATAATTTTAGACCAATTTCAAACCTACCTTTTTTAAGTAAAGTCTTAGAAAAAGTGGTTGTCGAACAATTAAATGCATATTAAATATTAAACAAGTTATATGAGAAGTTTCAGTCAGGTTTTTGTTCTAACCATAGTACAGAGACAGCACTGCTTTGGGTTATGAATGACCTCAGGCTGATGCACAAAAACCTTCTGGATTTATGGATTTATTAGATCTTAGTGCAGCTTTTGATACCATTGACCACAAGATTTTAATTCAGCGTCTTGAATGTTGGTTGGCCTCTCGGCAAAGTTTTAGAATGGTTTAAATCATATTTAGGTAATAGACAATTCATGGTTTCACTTGGAAATCATTCATCAAAAAGATCTGGCATTTCTTGTGGAGTCTCTCAAGGTTCAGTTTTAGGGCCTTTGGATTTCTCTTTATAAATGCTACCTCTAGGTGATGTCATTAGGAAGCATGATTTTCATAGCTACACTAATGACACCCAATTATACATTTCTATTTCTTCTGATGATCAAGACTCTGTAGACAGACTAACCAGCTGTCTCTCAGATATAGTGGATGTCGCAAAAAATTTTCTACAATTAAATCACGAAAAAATGAAATTCTGATCGTTGGTACAGAAACTCATAGAAAAATGCTTTATGGGAAACATGGTTCTTTAGCTTCATATACTAAACCTGAAGTATGAAATCTGGGTGTAATTTTAGACTCTGAGCTGAACACAGTCACTAAAGTAGCTTTCTATAGTTTTAGAAATTTTGCTAAAGTTCGGCCTTTTCTATCGCAGAGCGACACAGAGAACCTTGTTAATGCATTTGTTACAAGCAGACTTGATCACTGTAATGCTCTTCTTACAGGACTTCCTAAGAAAACAATACATTCTTTACAATACGTACAAAATGCAGCAGCATGCATTGTAAGAGAAACAAAAAAGAGAGATCATATCACTCCCATTTTAAAAGAACTGCACTGGCTGCCTGTATCTTTCAGAATAGATTTTAAAGTTCAGCTACTCGTTTTTAAAGCTCTAAATGATCTTGAAGCAGCACTTACATGACAGAATGTCTGTCTGTTTATGTTCCAGCATGTGATCTTAGATCTGCAGATACTGACCTTCTACAAATATCTTCTGTAAAATACTGAAAACACGGAGAGGCCTCGTTCAGTTTTTAGAAGCATCTAAAAACATATCTCTTTAACTCAGCATTTAATTAAAATTCTACATCTTGTGGTATTTATCTTTTTTGATCTGTCATTTTCTTATGATAAATTAATACTTATACCTTCCTGTATAACTGTTTTTATCACCTGTCTGTAAAGCACTTTGAGTTGCCACCGGCATGAAAAGTACTATATAAATAAAAGTATTATTATTATTATTATTATTATTATTATGATTATTATAATATTATTATTATTATATCAGATCAATGCCCATGGCATGGGTGACTTTCATATGTATGAAGTTACCCAGATGTGGTTTTTTTCAATTGCAATTATTGTATGTTATATTGTTATCTCTGCCATAAGCTTTTTACACCCCTTTTGACCTTTGTCTCATATAAGGAGGTGAGACGAAGCAGAGGCCAACTAATCAATACTAAAAGGCTTTATCATTTCTGTTATCAGAATAAAATCCTCACAACAGAAATACAACACAGAGCTTCTTTGTCCATTGGTTGTAGTGGTATCAACATTCACCAGTTACATTAGTCTTAATGACATTTTTGTGTAGTTTATTGGCATCGTGTTCTGTGTGTAACTTTATTTGGCAGTACACTTTAAACAAAAATGATGTTTCGAAGTAAAACAACATCTTTTTGGCCAAACGACTGGTGGTTTGAGTTAGTACTTTGTGCACTGCTTGCTGAAACTACTAATCACTGCCTGATTTGTTCTGAGACCTATCCCTGACTCTGACTGGTCCGCTGCATAAAGAAAGATACTACCGATGCTGAGATGAACACAGAGTTCTCTTTAAGCTTATTTACAACAGCATGTGTTGCTATGTGATGTCAACCAGAGGAAGATGGGTTTGCCTTTTGAGTCTTGGTTCCTCTCAAGATTTCTTCTTCCTGCTCTTAGGGAGTTTTTCCCTGCCACTGTCACCTTTGGCTTGCTCATGGGGCTTGGACCTGGATTTTCTGTAAGGCTGCTTTGTAACAATGTCTAGTGTTCTATATAATTAAACTCTGACTTGAAATTTTTACATGTTTGGCTGTAGTTTAATTTTGTGAAATTATTTCATTGGTTGAAGTATACTGCCAGTTTAATGAACGTTAAAATGTTTTATGCTGTTTTGTGTTCAGTAAATGAATGCGTTCTTCTATATAAAAATGTTTAAACATTTACAAAGTATTTTTTTACTCAAACGCTCCATATTTCTCCTCTCTTTACATTCTCTGGCCTTAACAGAGGATTTCAGTAAGGCAGTGTGGTACATAGGGGAGCAAGAGTTCAAAATAGTAATTTCAAAAATAGGTTTCCTGGGATTATAGATAAATCCCAGCTCCTCTGAAAACAGGCCAAACAAACGTAGGTGCTGGCGCACGTGACCTCCACCTTACTTTGCTGTGTCATATCTTACACTCCTTAGCCAACATTTGTTGTACTGAACGTTATGAAGAAATACGTTGTAGCGTGGTGATGACGACGCTATTGGGACGCCTCACGTTCTACTGTAACTTAATTCACGTCGAATCCCACGAAATATTCCTTATATTACTGTCAAAACTCACTGGAATAACACTGTTTTGGAGAAAAAAATTGTATCACTTACCTGTTACGCCGATGAGGACAGTGAGCACAAAGCACATCAAGAAAATCGCAAATACCAGAGCAAAATGCCTTCTGGTGAGAGTGTAAAGACGCATAGGGGCTAACCTATAACACAGAGATACAGGAACGCTTGAAATGTACAACTGTACAATTTACAATTAAAAAGTATTAAACTTACTACTTACGTAATACTATAATATTCACACATTTAAGCACGGAACATTACTGAGTTGGCCTCTTGTTAAACACGAATAATAATCCAGCCTTGAGTGTATAGCTAGTTAGCTAGTTTACCGATTCAACAAGCGTAGCAAACCAGCCGCAGAAACATCTGGCTAACTAGCTTCCGCAGCTATATTGCACGGAAGTGAACTTGAAAGCTCTTAACCTAATATATGATGATGCAAAAACACCCAGAATAAAACTCGACACACTTACATGTCCATTATGTTTACTTTACTCACTCAGCAAACCGAACATACAAAAGTTTTCCGCGATATAGCATATCCGTACACATCAGCTCCTACATGCTCAGCAGGGCTTTGTGATTCGTGCAACACTTGCCCACTGTAGTGACTCAAACTCTGTCAAAATAAAAGTCTTCGAAAAACCATATAATCATTTTTGACTAAAAAACTTGACAAACTAGAAAATTTGCCAAAGGGTTTGTAATTTTGGCCACAGAAAAGTTTGCATTGCTTAGAAACACCCTCACAAATATCTTACATCTAAGTCTACAGCTTCCGCCGGTCGCCAACAAAACTTTGACTGTTGTACCAGCTGATCCTACTATTACAAGAGCCGCCACTTCCGCCCGTCACCCTGCACGCAAATATTCCACTCCTGCGGCAGATTTAACCTGTGTCACCGAAGTCCACAGTGCAGTACTGCTGCTCGTAATCTGCCATTCATCTAGTCTGCAAAACTGACACATGCTCCCCCTTAACTCACAGCCACATACTTGCCTTAAGCTACGTTGAATTACACGGTCCCAAACAGACCTGTTTATGTGGTTTCTGACACTGTATGGTATATTGCTATCTATACAAATAGACAAACGTGCGCACCGTTTATTTTTATGGATAACAGTATTACCATACAGTTTCAGAAACCACAAGCAAGTCTATTTCAGAATACCTAATAACATGCGATTTGAGGCAAGTGCATGTAGTTGCACGATTCTGATTGGTGGGTGCCCGGCGATGGACTGGCGACCTGTTCAGGGTGTTTCCTGCCTTCCGCCCAGTGAACGCTGGGATAGGTTCCAGCACCCTTCGCGACCCAGAAGATAACGCGGCTTAGAAAAAGAATGGATGGATGGACAATAGGAGTTGGATCTCTGCGTGCCGGGTGACGGGCGGAAGTGGATGCTCTTGTGGCCACAGGAAGCGGCTATTGAGCGGCCACAGCGCGGCCAGTTTTATTAGCGGCCGCCATTGAGCGGCCACAGCGTGGCCACTATTAATAGATCATTAGATTTATTAGGTCACATCGCGGTCTGTCACATCATCTGCCCAGTTAGGGTGAGAAACTACAAGAGCCACCACTATCTAAAGGGATTTGCCAGGGGCTGTGCATTTGTGGTGCTTAGGCTTTTAGGAGTTACGGAATTACTGTAACGCTACATTCCTTAATATGTTATATTGCACAAGCATTGTAGGTTATAGGTAATTAAAAATAGTATGTAAATAGGAACCCATCACAGACGACTTTATCTAAAATGCTGGGTAGTTGTGTTAGCTTTGTTTTTTTTTGGGTTTTTTTTTGGTTTTGTACAGAGAATATTTAGCAATGTGGTATTTTAATTTTATTTCGTCATTTTGTCCCATCTTTTTCCTTTTTTCCATAATGTTTCATGTAATCCATCAGGGAATTACCCAGCAGCATATTATTTTTAATTTCAAGTGCCTTTGTTCTGTGCTGTTCACAGAACTGCTTCGCCACCTGAGAAGTTCAGTAGTTTTTTCAGAAAGTCAGAAGCCCCACTTTCATATTGATACTGCTTGATCCTGCTTGAACTTTTACAATTAGAATGAAGCTAGAGCTTTAAAGACATGAAAAAAAATACAGTAACTTTGAAAAGACTTTGAAAATAAATTTTTAATTTGCATAAAATGTTTTATTATAGTGCTTAAATGGCATTAAATAGTAAATATGGAATATATACAATTATATTTAGTAAATGACGAATAAATAAATCCAAAGAAAACAAGAATAAGTAAAAAAAAAATAGATGAGTAAAACAAAATGCCTTAATATTTAAATTAAAGTCCAAAATAAACACTTTACAACCTACACAGTGCCAAAACTAGATATCAGGTTTGTTGGTCCTTGATTTTGATTAGGTTAAAAAAATGAAAAAAGAGAAAAAAGAAAGGTTGAATGTTATTCTAAATATCCTTTTGTCACAAAGGCCATTTCTGCTTGGAACCTGTGGAAGCCCTCCATCTTCTTTAGGATCAAGATGGTTATGGTGGTGAAGAACACACAAGTCTGGTCACTCACTGTTTGCTGAACAATAATAGAACAAACAATTATAAAGTTTTCCATTGTTACAAAATGTATTTTTTGTAATTTTTTATATAATTGATTTTAAATTGCATCTTATTTTACCTCAGGTGTCAGAACCTCCAGAATATATGCATTGCTGTTAAGGCCAGCTCTGTCCAGCTGTGTGACTTTGTAGATTCGTTCAATGATGGCTTCTGTCAGTTGAATGGAAATTTTTTACCAACAATAACTGAGTTACTTGTGAATATTCCTACATCAAACATCATGAAATATTACCCAGTGAAAAGAAGTTGTTTTTACCTAAACTTTTGTATTTACCTGTTTTTCATCAAAAATAGAAATCCGTAGGGCTAGCTGGCTCTTCAGTCGAGGGGCAAATGTGGGATGTACATGCAGGTACATCCTGTTAGATCTTACTGCCCCTGTTTTGAGATCTTCATGTATTTTCAAGCAAGGACGTAGCATCTGTCCAGACACGTGCTGTAATTTTCACCACAGTGTCTTTTTGGTCTTGAGTATCTACATTTTTATAACCATAATTTTCATAATGGTATTATAACCCTAGTGTGCTTCCTCAACATAGCTTACTATTCCACAAATTAAAGTTTATTCTTTCTTTTCCTGACTGTTAGTCTGTCTGTTTTTTTCTATTTCTTTATGCCTTTCTTTGTATTTCAGTTAAGAGGGAACATCGAAGTCTTCCTTATGAAAAGTGGATCAGCACAGCCCTTTCTTTTTCATTTTGGGGAAAAGAGAACTACTACAACTCCAAATCATAAAAGGTTTGGAAAACAGTAATTTGTAAATTAGTTTTGACTTGTATTTCATTGAAAACAATAAACTAATACATTATTTGATGTTTTATCTCTAAAACATTTATTTCAATGTTAAAAATAACAATAAAATAAAAAAAATACAATTTGGACAGTGAAGCTGGCTTTTCACTGGGAAAATTTATTTTAAAATGATTTAATTTGGTCCCATTAAAAGTGTTGATTAGCAGTCTAGAGGGTAGTGAAATGTTAAGTGATGTACTGAATGTATTTAGTTTTCTCCACTACTTGTTGGGTGAGGGAAAAAGCAGAATTTCACACTGTAATGATTGTCTGCACTGATGTCAAAAGGAGACGTTCGTCTTTAAAAAGATTGTAAATGTAATTGTGAAAAGTGAGTACATTTTCCTTTAAACAAATGTCAGTGCAGGGTTTTGATGACCACATGAATGCCTTCTGCTTTCAGGACACAACAGATGGCTTTAGAGTGATTTGTGTTGATTTGAGAGACAGCTTTCATGGATGACGGAATGCATACGGTGCCTTACTGCAACTTTGTGATGTGAAATGCCACGAGTACAACACAACAGTGCAGTTCATGAAAAAGGCAATTTGTGGTTTAATGCAGTACTAATTTTTAAATTAAATCTTCTCAATTGATTTTGAGTTATTGTGTTTTTGTATAAAATCCCAAAATGAAATGAGTTACTCTAGTGGAGTTATTTTTGCATGGACTCCCAAAAGTTTTGAAATATAAAGAGTTACAATTTCAGCAAACGACAACAGCGCAACAGCGCCTCTTGCAGGTTCTAGTGCCCTGTGAACGCTGTAAAATTTTAGCTAAAATCCCCTAAACCTGGCCTACCGACGCCCCTGATGGTCTTTTTACAGACTTGATTTGTTTCCCTTAAAATAGACCGACAAATTGTTTCATAACACAGTGTAAATTTCTCTTTTAGCTTTTCAGAGTCACAGTCTGTACTGCTCCAGTTATTAGCGCTATTCTACGTAAAAAAAAAGAAGAGAGAAACATGTTTCTGTGGTGCGCTCCATGGCAGCCGCTAATAAAACTGTTGCGCTGTGGCCGCTCAATGGCGGCCGCTAGTAAAACTGGCCGCTCATTGACGGCCGCTAATAAAACTGGCCGCGCTGTGGCTGCTCAATGGATGCTTCCTGCGGCCACAAGAGCGTCCACTTCCGCACGTCACCCGGCACGCAGAGATCGAACCCCTCTCTGGATGGATGCTTGATGGGGAATATATTTCCATAAAATGTTAACTTTAGCTTCAGTGCAAAACGTGTGTAAGCTTGAACTTAAATCTACTTTACATAAACTTGTTAAGACTAAGATGTCAAAAAATGGCGCCTTAAAAACGTATTTTGAGCCTTGTGAAGTTTAAGAACGTCAGCAAGGTAAAGTCATGATCCAGAAAGCCATACTTAAGAAGACTATAAAAAGAACACACTTCGCTCCCTTCCATCACCACCTTTTGACAACGTTGTAAAAAGCAGACAACGTTGCGATTGTGTGTTTGCTGGGGATGTGGTTGGGCTTGGTTTAAACGTGCATTTGGGACAGATGTGTGTGACATGTAGGCTAATTTGCCTACCTACAGTATCTGAATTTAGATTACAGGGGTAATTCAGCTCAATGACAAGTTAAAATCATTAATAAATACTTCACTTATTTCTGAATATCTTTCTCTCCACCATGTTGGTCAGACAACTGTAAACAAAACCATCCACTCTGATTGAACCCGTATCTCGTGAAATTTTGGAAAATAGACAGATGCTGAGTTTGCGTTGTTGCGGTCCTCGTTGAAGGCCACAGTAAGCGCATACAGAGGGTGCTCCAGAGCACCCATTTGATCGCCAAAATGAGAAATGGGACACTACTGCAGTTGCACACTGCAGGACCACAAGAGCGCCCTTTGAGACTGGGCAATAGAAGCGGAAGGAAAGGGTGCCATCATGGAGGAGGATCCTAGCCGCCACGTCCAGAATCATCAGTCAGGAACAACCTTGTAGCCATCTTTTTACCATCCTTCTAGTCTCATTCCTGCCTGTACTCTCTCGGCCTGTTCACTTATTTAATCAGGCAAAGGGTTTTTTGAGTGTTCCTGGCTCTATACACTTTACTAAAGAACCCTTGAAGAAATGTGTACTTTTACAAGCTTATTATTATTCTTATTAGTTACTACTAATAATATAATTATTTAATTACTGTCAGATCACACCTTTTTTGTTAACTTCCTAAGAATTTAACAAATTAGCCCATAATCTAGTTATCCACGTCAAATTTAGCTAATAAAATTAAAAATACCATGCTAAATAAATACTACAATGGATTTAACTGACTCAAATATTATAGTCCTATGCAAAAGTTACATGTTTTTCTAAGTGAAAATAAGCACAAACACATCCTCTACACTGAACATACTTCTACACTTCTGTTTCAAAGTATAATAACTGGTTATTTGCTGAATTTAACATATTGGGGGAAAAAAACACAAAGTATGGTTTTTGTAAAAGTTGTACTGTAGAGAATAAATGTTAACTTATTTTTACTTAGAAAATCAACAAAACATGTAATTTGATCGTGTTTTCAAACTTGCATACAACAGTGTGCATGCAATTAAATCTTACCAGCAAGGAAATAGCTAGTCAGTGTACGGAACGTAAGTATGGTGAATTCCAATTCTACACAATTTGTACTTGATAACCATTGCTAATGGTGCACATGCTACTCTGTATAATGTTTGTTTAAAACAATTAATAAAAAAAAAAAACTGACACAAAAAAGAGCAACATCACAAATATACATTGTATTCTAAATATAAAAAAATACATTTCATGAATGCAATCCTTACTTGTTTGAACAAAGACTTTCTTTCTTGCGTTTAAGTTTTTATCATCTCTGTAGAAAATCACAGGGGTTTCAGCGTAGACAGTAACTTCTTACCAGAGAAACAGAATAAGGCAACGAAAGGGAATTTAAAAAAAAGCACTTCAAAACACGGTAAGGAGTAAACATTACATACATCTAACCAACAGTGAAAAACTATGGTTGCAAAATTACCAATCACTAAACATAGAACACACATTTATTGCCCAAAAGGAAAATTGTTGGTTTATTAGTATAAAACAAATGCATAAATAAAAAAACTGTATAATTTCAAAGAATATACTGTTGGAGAGAAATTCTATCAAGAGACAATAATAATAATAATAATAATAATATCAAACTAGATGTAATTTTAATAACCCTAAACAAATGTCTCATGACTTTTTACACTGGTCATTTTGTTATTTTTACTGCAATACATAACAGATATTTTATGAAAAAGTGTTTGCAAAAGACTTCAAGTGTTTTTTACAGTAATTGATATCAGTGCCCAGTGGTATGTCTTCATTTGCAAAACATGGCACACACTTTCCAGACATATTGGGAAGTGCTTTTTATTTTAACTGAAAATACAGATGACATATCAGAAACAGAAATATAAGAAACAGTCTGTAGTATGGAAGACATCACTGTCAGCTGCCTGTTAGAATGCAAGCTAGCCTCTGTATGCTTTGTTCTTTATTGATGGTTTAGACCTCCATATCAGCAGCCTCTTGTCAAATAATATAATGAGGGATTGCATAAAAAGAATAGTACTGTATTTCTGATTTACATTGAAACCAGAGAACTCATAAGTGAAAGTGCAGTCCTGCTTATCACTTGAGGCGCTGTGTGACGTTGGCCAGAGCTACAGCAAATGCTTGCACTGCTGAAAATGGGTGCTGAAAGTCCAGGATGTATGCATTCCCATCAGTTCTGCCAAACTGCATTACCTATGTTTTGAGAAACCAATATTGGTTAATACTGCATACTAGTTTTGCTTTAATAATTATTCAACACATCCAGACAGTATTAAGCAGATCTAATTTATATCTGGTTTTAAGCCTGTCAAAAGATTACAGATAACCAGTCAGACTTAACAAAGCAACACAGGAGTTTATGAAATTAACCTGCATTTACTAAAATTTTTATGATGGTTATTATACAAACCTTAATATAAAAAAGTTGGAACAGTATGTGACATGCAAATAAAAACAAAAGGCGATGATATGTGGATCCACTTTGAACTGCATTTAAATGAAAACAATAAAAAAAAACAAGGTAATGAGAGTTTTACTTTACCAATGTATTTTTTTTTTCTTTTTTGCAAATATATACTCGTTTTGGAACTGATGTCTGAAACACATTCCAAAAAAGGTTGGGACAGGGATAAATTAGGACTAGGAACACTGTTATTTTCAGAAAATATCTTAAACAGGAACTCATAACAATCATACTTGGATATAAGGTGGCATCCCGGAAAGGCCCAGTCTCTTATCAGCAAAGACTGTTTGTGACTCACCACAAAAAAATATAATTATTTAAGAACAATTTAAGAACAATGAGCGATTGAAAGGATTTGAGGTATTTCGCCCTCTACAGTGCATAATATTTTCAAAATCTCTGTGAGTGAAAAGCAAGGCCAAAAACCACAGCTGAATGCTCGTGACCTTCAACCCCTCAGACGACCCTGATTAAAAATTGGCATATTGCTGTGATTTATATCACCACCTGCACTCAGGAATACTTTGACAAACCGTTATCAATACACAACATCGGTACATCCACAGTTCAGAATGTGTTATGCACAGCAGAAGCCATATATCAACATACAGTAACGCCACTGACTTCTCTGGGCTTGAGCTCATCTGAAATGGACTGATGCACATGGAAACGTGTATTGTGCTCTGATGAGTCAACATTTCACATGTTTATGGAAATAATGTATGTTGTGAAGAAAAGTACCATCCAGATTGTTACACATAGTTCAAAAGCCAGGGCCTGTCCTAGTATAGGGGTGTAATAGTGCCCGTGACATGGGTAACTTGTAAAGGCATCATTAATGCTGAAACATTACACAGTGTGGAGTAACTATGATGTCTAGACAAAATCTTTTTCAAGAACTTCCAGGCTCAATGCAACATGACAACACCAAGCCATTATTGAGTGCAAAATACAAAAATGAAGGCCCCACATGGTTGTGTAGCCAAAGACTTGTATAACAGAAGAATGGCAAAATATTCCACTTTCAAAACTGGATCAACTGGTGTCTTCAGTCCCAAACAATTACTAAGGGAAGGTGATTTGACAAACTGGTAAACATGCTCCAGTGCCATCTTTTTTTGGAACGTGCTGGAAATCAAATTTGGAATGCCACAAGGTAAAACATCAAAACACATCAAATATGTTTTTGGCCTGTTTTTAATTCAGTTCAGGCCAAACAGAATTTACTAATCTCATACTGTCTCAACTTTTTTGGGTTTGAGGTTTGTAGTTTAATAGTGACAGATTACTGTATAACGACTGACATGCTGTGATGCTTTTTGAGAATGATGGAAGGGTAATGTAGGATACTCTCTTATTATGGAAAAGAGGAGGAGTGGGAGAAGTAGCTTTGATTTATGGGCAAAATATATTGTTTTGCAACCACTGAGTTTATTAGGTACACCTACACTGTGTGGCCAAAAGTATCTGGACACCTTTTAATTAGTAGGTTGGCCATTTCAGTCCCACCCCTAGTTGAAAGACGCATGCAACCATTATTTAGACAAACACTGCCAGTAGAAAGGGTCAAACTGAATAACTCTGTGACTTTTAAAATGGCACTGTAACAGGACGCCACTTTTCCACCACGGTTTGTTTAATTTCTGCCCTGCCCCAGTCAACTGTAAGTAAACAGCCCTAGAAACAGTAGGCCCTACAAACTCACAGCATGGAACTGCCAAGTGGTGTAGCACATAATAATCTTCTGTAATTTGTTCAAACACTCAGTGGGGAATTCCAAAGTACCATCAGCACAAGACCTGGTGGACAAGATCTTCATGGGTTGGGTTTTCATAGCCAAGCAGCTGCACCAAGCGATGGCTGTAGTGGTGTAAAGTACACAGTCCTGTAGAACTGCGTTCTCTGGCATGATAAAACATGCTTCACCATCTGATTCCCTTAGTTGCAGTGGAGGGAAATCTTAAAGGAAATGCTCAGTTTTCTTTCTACTAAGAACTTCAAAAAAGCTCTTGAATTTGTAATTTCGTATTCCATTTATCATAATATAGGCTGGCTGCGCAAGAGCTTGTAAATTAAATGCTTTAAATATAGTTGGAAGATACAACTGGAAAAAACCCATTTCTTCACCCTCATTTCACATATTTTATGTGTTCACATATGCAGAGGCATAATAAATGGAAAAGGAAATGAATAAACGTTTGGATGTGTAATGCTATGAACACAAGTTTTTAGGACAGAAAATACATTACAGTCGGTCAGGTCGGCTAGATTTAAAGTTTAATTTTAAGCATAGTCTTCAACTGTGAGGAGGTATTGGCTCAAGAACTTAAGGAGGGGGGATAGTAATGCCCTCTCAATCCTAGCACACAGAAGAGTCTGAAAACAGCTGCTAAAGTGAAATTGCATTTAGCAGGTGAAAAACAGTAAGCATGCAATAATGCTATTGAAACCATAAAAAACTGCCGTTTTCTGCATGTGGTTCACTCACTGGGTCAGGGCTGCAAGAATTGCGGTTTTCCTGCCAAACTGAATCCTGAAAGTACAGTTGTCGGTGGAATTTAAAAGGGCTACTTTCTAAATGCATCACAGCCACCAAAAAAAGGTTTGATACTTTGATTACAGACAGAAGAATAAGAAAAGGAATTATGAATGTATATTGATCTTGGTGTTGAACAGCTGGCAACCTAAAGACACATAAGCACATAATGTAACAGACGGGACAAAAGAGCATGGAACATTTGGTGGCACAGCGCCAGTGACTTGTCGCAGACAGCCAGCTTAAGGCCATATCATAATTATTCTAAACTTGAAGGAGGGCATATGTGCACATAATATCACAAAAAAGATCTCTAAGTTAAAACCGGCAACTATTGATTACAAAACTGTTTTTACATGTTTAAAAAAAGTTTTAAAAACTAGCGGAAACCTTTCAGAAGAGTGAATACTGTTATAGTAGCAACAGGGTGGCAGGGGCAACTTCATATTAATACCCATTTGGATGTTCAACAAGCACAAGTCATGTTGGGGTATCACAATATTTTTGGCCAAACAGTGTGCTTTGTACCTATATTCCGTGGCAACTTTATCAGGTTCACCTGCCATATAAGTCACTTTGTAGGTTAACAATCACTAACTGTAGCCCATATATTGCTGCCCAATTTATCAGCCACTCTCTACTCTATCCATCAATGGAAAGAGACCACCATAGGGACCTTATCTTCATTGACTTTCATCCTAACTAATGACACTGTGATTAATTGCAAGATAATCTTTAATCTTTGTTATGTCTTTGAAGCAATCCTATTCACCAACATAACAGCTTTAGCAGCTTGGTAAAATAGTTAAATAAATATAATATGTAAATCTAAAAATGTATTGTGCTCTTGCTTACCTGTCTTCCTTCAAGCTCAATCTGAAAGTTTTTTGCTGACTCCTGGGTGACCCTTCCCCCAAAATCCAGCTGATACACTTGTGTGGCTTCGTTCCAAAGAGGCTGTTTGTTGGCCATGATATAAACAAAACCCTGGTTGCCCAGGCCACGGTCCTCTTTCTCGCAGACCTTACGAGATTTAATATCATCCAGTTCACAGCCACTTGACCGAAGGTTCCTTTTGGACTTCCAGCCTTTCTTGCTACTCTGGTTGTGGTTCATAAGCTCATCTCCGCTGATGATGAGCTCAGGCTCAGTGTCAGAACTGTCCTGGAACTCGCCAGTTGTGACCTTACTAAGCTTTTTTGCTTTTTGTTGCTCCTTCTGTCCCTTGGTTTTCTTCTTATCTCGGCCACCCAGTCTCGGGCTGGAGATGAAAGAGTTGAAATCACCAAGTGCCCTGCCCTCTTTTTTGGATTTGTTGCAGCTTTCTGTGATGGCAAGGACATTGGCTTCATCTGTTCGACCACTGTCTGACCTCTTTTGGTTCTTCTTTCCAAACATATCTGTACATGGGGAAACTGGGCTCTTTCCAGGGGACAGCCCCATATGGAAGCCTTCTTCAGCCTCAGAAGTGCCCTTTTCTAAACCCTGCATATCTGTGGAGGGTAAGAGCAGAGGTGGTGTTTGAGAGGCAGGAGTGAGAAAAGCCTTTTCCAACCTATGGAAGGCCTTTTCTGGAAGCACGGGAGCAGTGCCTGAGGGGCTAGGCACATGTGAGCAAGGGTTGTGTGAGCCCCATGAATACAACACAGGGTTCATAGGTAGACTAGAGCAAGAACTAACCCTTGGTGAGAGAGGACAACAGGTAAGGCTAGTTAAATTAGGAAGATACCCAGGCGGCAAGATCAGGGACTGATCATGCTGAGAAAAGGGTGGTGGTGCACCCAATTCCTTAGGTGAGGCATAAATTGGCTGAGGTTGGGAACCACCAGGGCTTATAGTTGGGGAAAAGCTAAAAGTCATCTGGTATGACCCTGTTTCATGGAAATTTGTGTCACTAGGGGGTGTTGAGGAATTTGGTGATAGCGTAAAAGGAAGACAAGAAAAGCCTATATGCTGGGTTGGACTAAGCATGAGTGAGAGGGGGTTGAGAGACCCTGGATGAACAGTTGTGGTAAAATTGTCTGTTTGGTCCTGAGGAACCCAGATTTCTTCAGTGCCTGAGGAATCCAACTGATATGGTGATGGCTGTTCCATAGTTAGGTCAGTCTCTTCTGTTGTAAGAGCTAGTTGCTGTAGAGACTGATTTAAAAGCACATTTTCTGTAATAGCGGAGTTGACTATATCAGCTCTATCCCTGATCCCACTGCCACCTGTCAAACTATCTTTACAATCTGAACTTACAAAATTATAAGGGGATTGTAAAGGCATTAGCAAGGTGCTAGTAGAAGGCACCATCACTGTGCTATGGAGTACACCACTTACAGCTAGTGGAAAATCCTGCCTAATGACTGTACCACCAGAAATACCATTATCAGCACTGCTCATAGATCCAACACATGCTCCACTCGTACTACTACTGCACTCACTGCATGTATAAAATACCATTGGTCCCCTTTGTTGGTAGGAAACAGACAGAGTGCTTGCTTTTGTCTTAGAAGGAAGTGTCTTCTGAAGATCAAGCATGTTTTTGGCACATATCACAGTGCTATCAAATCTTTGTCTAGGGCTCTGTACTGTACAGGTCTGACTGACTGTTTCTGGGTAAGGGGGGGGGTCCCCAGGGGGTATGGAGTATCTAGGAGAACCACAGTTTTTCAGTGTGGTGGAGGCGTAGGGCAGCTGCCCCTTTTTCTCACCTGAGGAAGAAGCCCTGAGCGTAGCAGAGCTTCCTGAGTAGTGGACTGTATAAAGGTTCTGATTACACACAAGTCGCGTGCGAGGGCAGCAAACTTCTTCCACATTCCCACTGCTGTCAAATGTGGTGATACGCTCATAGCCGAGAGGGGCTGGGTGCAGTACTGTCTGTGTATCTGAGGGGTGTAAGTTATTATTACCTTTCTTGAGACAAGCATCTTCTGGGGGTGGTGTTGCACTAAGACTACCTGCTTCCCCAGAAAAGGAAATGAGAGAGGAAGCAGTTGAAGATGTCGCTGTAGTTGCAGCTACTGCAGTAGCAACTATACCAGCATAGGGGGGAGTCGAAGTAATCTTGTTAATGTCCAGAGAGGCACTGAAAACTACTGCATCTCCTTCTGCCATTTGAGGAGTAGGACAAATGGGTTTTTTCTTGAGATTCCCATGATCAGTTCCACAGTCTCCAGTGTGCAAGTTACTTTGTGCATTTTGAATGTCTGAACAAGGTGTAGGACCTGAAGGGAAGGAAGGGACAGGGATCTGCATTTGATGTTGTTGGTGCTGTTGCTGGACTTGTGCTTGTACTTGTAGATGTTGCTGTTGCATTTGATGAAGCTGTTGCATTTGTTTTTGCTGTATCTGTTGGATTTGTGCTTGAACATGGTGTTGCTGTATTAGTTGACGTTGCAGCATCTGATGCTGGATCTGTTGTTGCTGCTGTAGTTGAAGCTGATATTGTTGTTGAACATGATTAATCTGTTGAAAGTGCTGTTGCTGAAAATGCTGGAGTTGTACTGATTGTTGATGGTGCTGCTTTTGTTGCTGCTGCTGATGTTCTGACTGTTCTGACGACAGATCCTGAGTGATCAAAACACATCCAGCTTCTGTTCCTCCAAATAACACCTGATCAGAACTGGTTGGTACAGCATGCTGTGTTATCAGCATAGTATTCCCGCCTTGGTCTGGCACACAATTAGGTGACACCATTGTAGGACTTGACAAAACTTCCAACTGCACATTCTGATTGGCAAGCAAGGACTGGACTAAACCAATGCTCTGGGTAGGAGACATGGCTTGGGCAGGGCTATGGATAGGTGCGATGGGTATGTTAACAGTGCATGGTGGGTTGGCATCAATAATGCCTGGAGTTCCAGTGACAGTCAGGTCATCTTCATCCTCACTGAAGACATGAGAGCTAAACACAGGCAAGCTGCATTCTATGGAAACCTTCCTTACCTCAGGCAAATAGATTGTCATCTGTCTAGGTTGTAGGTGCAGCAGACTGGTCTTATATGTCACTAGGGAGAAAGAAACCAAAACAAAATGCACTGAAATATCATTGAGAGACAATTGTGATTAAAAGAAAATAGTTAAAACACACACTAACATAAAGACAAATTTAAAATAGCATAAACTACTAAATCCTAGACCTGAACAAGATCCTGAATGCAACCTATATGTTTTCTTAAAAACCCCATTACTCTAAGCATTTTTTTTGTACTTGAAAGGATTATACTACTTTGAACCTATTTACATCTATAATTTGTTCTTTGTTAATATTTTCAATTCATCAGCAGGGTTTGGATTTTAATTGTGTTTGTCCAATGGTCATTACTTTAAAGCAGAAATGTTATTTATTCTTATCTTCATAAGGAAAATGTTTATTCTTCATTTAACATATTTAGGTGTTAACCTGTGGAACTCTGCAAATAATGGAAATAATGCATATTAATTAATATGATTATTAATAATTCAAAGAATGCACTCCCCACGCAAAAAATGCACAATTAAAAATGTGAATTTAGTAGTGTAACTGTAATTCCTTCCATCACAGTTAGGTGGTTGACAATCTATTTTACTATAAATTATTAAATCTAATTCAATTTCCAGAACCATGATTTTCTTCAGTGACTAATTTATGCAAAAATGTAACAGATATTCTGTACCCTAATACGTACATGAATTATCTCACCTTAGACATTTTCATATTTCTAAGGAAGGATTTGATCAAAATTAACTAGTGATACATTTTTTTTACCAGCACCAAGGTTTGTTGGCAAGAAAGATGCAAGTCCCACTATTTTGAACTTTGTTCCCCATATGTTGGATGTAACTTGAGCAAGGTAATTGTGCTAGAAAATAAACAGAGAGGAGCAAGGAATCAAGTTTTTTTGACTCACATTTTGCAGTCCATCTGCCAATATCAATATTTTTAAATGCATTGTAATAGTGACAGACTAGGAGCCTCAAGCATTTCTGCTAATCAGAAATACGATTTAATTACAGCATCGTCATACTCATTAAATATCAGTAACGTTCTAATGTCAAACTAACACAGTGAATTTCAACAACTATCCATCATTCCAATTTGTAGCATTTAAATATTATATATTTAAATTTTATCCGGTTCATCCCTCTTATAATACAGTACCTGTGCTGTGTCTTCCAAAGGAAACTCTTTCCGGGACAGACTTGGTGATCCAATGGAGGATTTCCGAATAGGTAACCGCGGTGATCTAGATATTTCTTGCGTAGCACGGGAGAGCTTAGGGGACTTACGGGTATCTATATTCACCCTGTGGGTAAAGGGACACACTAAGTCTCTACAGAGAAAATAGCAAATGAAGAAAAGAGTTCAATGTGAGTTTGTAAAAAAAACATGCACAAATAAAAAAGTTATAATTTACACAACTAACAAAATAATAGTTATAATTTATACAACTTACAAAATTTTATTTATATTTTTAAAAAATACTTTCACTGCTACACTTAGTACAATTAAGTTTTACGTACATCTCTATCGTAACACCAATTGCTGTGCATCAACATTAATAATTTTCTTTCGGGAAGATGCATTTTAAACATTTCTGCTACAGGTTAAATTCTTCTAGAAACATGATGTACATTTTACCTTTGTATTGTCTCTCAGACAATATTGTTAGATAATGTTGGTGTTATTAGTGACGATCAGGGCATTTACTCAACATCGCCACGTCTTTGATAGAGTGCTTAATGTTTGAGCCTGAATGTACAATGTAAAATGTATTGTTATAATGCAATAAGAAAACCATGACATGACTAAATTATATCACAAAACACCTCTGAAGACTTCTATGTCTGTATGTGAAGTTCAGCAAGTTTTTAGGAAATATTTGAAAATGTATCATTTTTGACAAGGTTCCTTCTATGTGAAATAGCATAACTTCAGGAAAACCTTTACAACTATGGAGAATATGGTGAATGATGACTTGTCTTACCATATAATGTTTTTTCTACATCTCAGTTTTGCATCACTGAACTTTCAAATATGCATTTGTAGTTGCAATGAGGGGTTTATGCTCTGCAAACCTATTATAATATCCCGCTATATGTAGTTGGATGGGCTGTTCTTGCTGACACAGCCTGATCATGTCCTGCATTGACAGTCACCTGAGAAACAGTTTTTCTGCTGAATTCCTTACGCATCAGTCATTAAGTGTACACTTTCTACCACTTTTGCCACCATTACTTGCTGATGTCTTTCCCTTAAAATATTCTATCAGTCTCCATGGTTCAACCTCTGAAAACGACAATCTTAAGATCCATGGCAACATCTGATGAGGACAGCCTGCAAAGGTTTTAGGTACCTGAGAAAATTATGTTTAAAAAGCTATTTATCTGGGTAGTAAGAACTAATTTGCTGAGAACAACACTAATACTAGAATGAATACAGATGCAGTTTGTGTCAGATTGGCCTAACAAGGAGTAATGCAGTTTGGGCCTTATTTACAGTGAGGGGTCTTTATACATGCTTAATTTCATATGTAATGATCAATTTTTTTTTTAGAACATTTTAAAGATTGTCAACACAGATGTCATATACAACATACCATGAAAAAATTAGGACACCCATTGAAAACTTTTGTCTTTTTTTATATATTTAAACATAAGCACATTTGATCTTCATTTTAACAATATTGAGTGATGCAGGTAATTTTACAAATAAAACTGAAGAAATATCTTTAAAAAATTATTCGTAAAATGTAATTAATAGAAATGCAATTTTTTTCTGTGAGAAAAAAGTAAGTACACACCCATATTTATTACTACTTATGCCTAAAATTATCGTCGGGTGCACCACATCAGCTGCAAATTATTAGAATATTGTTAGAGAGAATTTTGGATGCTGAGATCCAAAGAGCTCTCTGAGGCTTTCAGAAAGGAGGTTGTAGATGCATACGAGTTTGGGAAGGGATTTAAAAAGATCTGAAAAAAATTAGAAATCAGCCATTTCATTGTCCAGAAAATAATTTACAAGTGGAAAACATTTAAAACAACCGCCAACATGGCCAGGTCATGCATAAAGAAGTCTCTGATTTTCATGTGAGGTGTGCAAAGAGGAAACCCTTGCTATCAAAACAAAACATCATTGCAATACTGAAGTTTGCCACAGAGTTCCAGGACTTGTGGAACAGTGCACTTTGGACAGATGAATCCAAGGTTGAATTATTTGGGCACAGTAATAGAAGGCGCAGGCCAAACACAGCATTTGAGCACAAGAACCGCATACCAACTGTGAGGCATGGAGGTGGAAATGTCATGGTTTGGGGCTGCTTTGCTGCAGCAGTTCCTGGCAACCTCTCCATCACAGAATCCACTCTGAATCCTCAACTGTGTCAGAGGATGACTAAGGAAAATGCAAGACCATCTGTCCAAAAATTAAAGCTGAAGCAGAGGTGGACCATGCAATGACAATGACCCAAAACATTCTAGTTTATCCACCAAGGAATGGCTCAAAAGAAAGAAATGGAGAGTTCTGGAATGGCCAAGTCAAAGCCCTGATCTTAACTCTAATGAGATGCTGTGAGGTGTTTTGAAATGGGCTGTGCATACAAGAAAACCATCAAACGCATCTGAAAGAATTCTGTATAACAGAGTTGGAAAAACTTTCTCCCAGTCAACGTCAGAGACTGGCAGATGGTCATAGGAAACGCCTATGTCAAATTTTCATAGTTTTATATATATGACCACTACATATATATATATATATATATATATATATATATTTTTTTTTTTAGATTATTTGTAATCTAATCAGATTATTTGTAATCTAACCACAAAATACAGTTATTCCTTACTAAAGCTGACACCAACTACTGCCTAATTTATTTCAAAACTACATGCAAGTATGAAATGCAAAAGAACATGAAAAATATCCTTCTGATCATCATATAAGACAAGGCATACAAAACATATCGAATGTTGAAATTCCATTTATAACTTTTTTTTTTTTTTAACAAATTCTCACAAAATGTTTTAAAAACTGTGTGGCTACCTGGGAAGTTTGGGTGACTTGCTTCCTCTGGACATCTTTGGTGATCTCTTGCCCACCCAATCATCGCCGAGTTCGATGTCACTGGAGTCTGAGCAGTTACAGCTGTCAACCACAGTAGAGATGAGGGTGTTCCCATACAGCTCATCTAGACACAGGGGTAGACAGATAAGTATCTATAATGTGAGAAAAGGAATTAACTAAAAACAGTGAAGCAAATGTAACTACAGTGCAAAAATATCTTGGCAAGTAAAATCATGGCATAGTAATAACTATGTGTGTTAAGCCCATAACGTTTTACTGCACATTCCCAAAATGCATTCTGTTTGCATGTAACACCAAAACACCAGTCAAAAGATCAGATTGCACTTAGTTTTAGATACTGTGCTGAAACAACATGTGGCACTTCAACATCTTGCAAAGTATTATATTTTCATGAGAATTCAGTCACCTAGACCTTCTATTTCTTAACATCAATCCTTACTACCCTTGCACAATGCAATAAGTTGCAATGAGTTGGCAAGGCATGGAAATACTAAACTGAAATACTAAACTGAAATACTAAACTTTGGAACGTCTTGAAAATATCAATATGTTGTAGTTCTATATAACTAAAAAATAAAGGTCAGGTGAGAAATGATCACTGTTTTTGACAAGGCTGAAGCTGGATTCTTATTAGTCAGCTACATTTCACATTCCACCTTAAATACTGCAGCAGTTACTGGCACCTGTACAGGCACAGGGATGAAACTACTGCACCATTTAAGGTGGGATGGAAAATTCAAATAAGCAGCTGGCGAAGAACAACTTCAGCGTTGTGGAGATACTTTTACTGAACAGCAGCCTTGCTGTTCAGTAAAAGTTTTAACTGGAAATTAAATAAATGAGGGGTGGTCTCTAAGTTTGGCACAGTACTGTATAACATTACTTTGTTCACTCTATTCCCCAACATCAACCAAACCTCACCTGCTTTCCCATCTGTCTTGGGGTCCATTATGACAAACTCAGGCCGAAGCTTGCTGATCCTGCGACCTTTTAGAATAGGCACAAGCCCACCCAAATACTCCAAGTACAAGGTATAACAGGGCCCGCCAACCTCCAGGTCATCCTCTGTATGCTTCATAGTGCAGTAAAGACGCTCATTCCCTGAAGTGGGGTAACTCACAAAGTCTCGCATGTTGCTTACATCAGGGATGGGGGGCTATAGAAGGACAAAAGAAATCCGAAAAAATGTGTTTTTTTTTTTTCTTTCCAATAATTGGCAGTCATTCTGGTTAAAAAATATTTAACAATATCCAAGAAGATAAGGTCCACACGTGGCACTGGGATGGAGGAGCCAATGTACAATGTACTGTCCTTTTTCCACTAGCTTGTTGCATAGCAGCATGCAACGCTTGTTTTCATTCATGTGTCTCTTCCTGTTTGAAAGCTCACTGATCATTATCTGGCTGGCGGAGCTGGTTCAAACAAAACATTACTATGTGCTTCATGTACATTAAAGAAAACATGCATAAATACATTAATTCTTTAGACACTCTAGTAGATCTCTACTGATTATAGTCCCTTTAGTGTTTGTCATTTGAAGAGAAGAAACAGCCAGTAACCTTTACTTACCATTATATTATGTGATTTCCATTAAAGAATTTCATTAAAACCACACAGACGCTGATGAGAACCATGTTTCATTGTTTCGATATTGATCTGTTCTTGCCCAAACTGTTAATCAGTTGCTGATCAGTGCAGCAGAGTTTTAATAACCATTTTCTAATTTAAATTTCCATTCAAAAGATCTGTTAAGTTTTGATACTTTGTTCAGTGGATTTTGACACTTTGTTTAGACCTATTTAAATGTTTTGTTTTTTTCCGTACATACCTAGTAATTCTGCTCTCTTTGTAACGAAACATGCAGATGATCAGTCCTCTTTAAGTACTGACGTACAGAAAAGCATATTGTGATATGTTCAGAAAAGCACATTATGATGTCATTTATCATGATAATGAAATACTTTATTAAACTGCCCTCCACCAAGTAAAAGATGTGGCTACCTGAAATAAATCCTAATATCTATAAATATGATAAAGCAGTTTTTTTATAAATACTAAATATAACTCACTAAACTTCAATAAAATTCTATGCAGCCAATTGAATTTGAGTAATGTATTACTGTTTTGAGGTGTTTTTCTGGTTGTAAAGGCTTGTGCATCCTTTTTTTATAAGCCAAATCAAAATGTCTTCTGACAAAACAAGGCAAGTAACTGCAGTATATTAATTTTCTTAAAGTAAAATTAACCAGTAAAACAAACAGAAAAAAACTACCTTAATGGTGGGAGCAAAGGCAGATGACACATATGTGCTGAGGCGAGAGGGAATGGTGAGTTTGGCCACAACTTTCTCTTCACGCAATGTGCTGGCAATGATCTGTTGGCATAACAACTGCAGACTGGCAACTCGATGGCCCACCCGGACCACATACAGTGCTGGCCCACAAGCCAGAAATAAACGAGAATCTTTATGGCCCCAGCACAGCGTACTGATTGGCTTCTGGACAAGAAAGAACACACACACACACACACACACACACACACACACACACACACACACACACACACACAAAGAAAATGAAGTGAACTACAAGATTAAATTTGTATTTATGTATCTATAAAAGAGTGTCTGCATACCTGTGCAGGTGTTTCAAGTAGGAAAATGTGTTCTCCATGAAGGTTGTAAAACTTAACAACTGCTTTTTTGATTGCTGGGGAAACTGTAGAGTCAGTGGTCACCACATGTCTCTCCAGTCCAGCAACTGCAAACAGATTCCCCTGAGAAGACCACTGTACCACAACATCTTAAACAAACACATGAAACAGCTACTTTAAGGTGTACCCTTTGTGACATGGGTGTTCAATTGCACACACACAGCTTGTATAACCTCTTACAAAACCACTGTCAATAGTATGGGATGATCTGGAGCAGCTGCACATGAGCCTAAGGTCACCATTTCCAATGCCAAGCATCAGCCCCGAAGCAATGGACAGTGGAGCAGTGGAACTGCATTTGATGGTGTGATATTTTTGGGCTGAATGTAATCAAATCGTCACAAATGTTGCAGCATCTAGTGTAAAGCCTTCCCATATGAGGCTGCTACTGTAGTAAAAGGGAAACAACTCCCTGTTAATACCCTTGATTTCAGAAGGAACTCTGAATGAGCAGACAAAATTATGGAGATAGTGTATTGCATTAGTCGCAAACAGTGAATGTCCAACAGTTCGTAAACATCTGCTCATCCAAAACTTTGCCCCCTTTTTCTGCACACTCAGATAAACACCCACACACCTTTAAGCCCAGTGTTTATGCGAGTTGGAGTGAGGTCATCATAGTTGCTCATCAGACTGATGTCTCCTGAGGTGAAGGTCACAGTCAGCAGAGGCCTCAGACTACATCCTGCAGCTGAACAGATAAAAGAACACAACACTCAAAACCCTTAAACAGAAAGACAAATTGAGAAAAAACTAGGTATAAAAAAGTAAAAAATCATCCCCACAGACATTTCTAGTGGTGGCACTTGCCATACAGCAAATTTGTGGCTGAAAACCTGTTGATGTTTCACAATGCATGACTGAATATGCCCTAAAAACAATAAAGTCACGCAATACTGCGCTGCTAAAAAATACCATGTAAGGAGTGGTGAGACTGCTTTGGGTGTTTTGGTGTTCACAGACACATCTTCCTTATTACAGGACATTTCGATTTTATTATTCTTTGCATTCTCTTTACAAACAGTACCAGTCAAATATTTGGACACACCTGTCTGAATGCACGTTTTCCATAAACTTTGAGAGGTTTTGATGTAAAGGCTTTTGCTTAAATGGCTGAATTTTGTTTGTATAAGAAACATAAATAATAATGATTATAGCTATGTCTAAATGTATTTTCTCTAAAATGTTAAAAAACAAAACAACACAAACCAAAAAAAATAAATAAATAAATAAACAAACAAACAAACAAACAAACATCAGCCAGTGCAGTCTAAGCATTTGTACAGGTTCTTCAATCCTAATGGAAAAGCATCCCAGGTGGCTCCTAATGAAGTACTTAAAAGAAAGCATACTGGATGGGTAAAGAGGGGAAGAAACTTAAATAGACAATACCATACTATACTATTAATACTATGATTAATTACTATTATTAATACCATCCATATGAATCCATTATTCCAAAAATGCATTATATCCAAAATTGTTACAAATGTTAACATTCGAACACAGTAAGTACTCTTGTCTATCTACATTTATTCTTAAAGTGATATATTACCATTTTCACACAACAAAATCTCCATAAGCAGGAGAACATTTCTGACTGTAAAAGATGTCATGTCTATAACCTCTTCAGATGCCTAAGCTGTGAGGCTCTTCAAGAACCTGTCATTTTGAGCTTTGGGGCCTCTACTATGTTTTTGTCATCTTGTATTTATATGTTTAGTTTTAGTTTCTATTTCGGACTAAAACATGAGTGAGTAACTGTGTACTATATTGTTCAAAAAGCAGCAATTTGTTTTCTTAAGAAATGCCAGTATCAGTCATCAGGTCATGAAGAGTCCTGATGACTGATACAGATATAATGATAAGACAATAAATAAATTCTATATGCATGTATGAGAATACCAGTTCAGTCATACTTTTCATGGATGTAGGTGCTTACTGAGCTTTTTGGTTACACAAGAAACCTGCTAGAATACAAGAGGACTTGAAAAGTTTAAGGTTCTTAAAATAACCCTTTTTAGGCCTTCTGGGAACGCCCAGAAGTGCTTGAAAGCATACTTAAAACAAAACGGTTCCTCTAGGAACCTAGAGCTGAAGCATGGTGCTTGATTGAATGCAGCGAGATAGTTTGTTGACTATCACGGGTTCTTTCAGTAACAGCATTATATAGGAAGTTTCTGAGGCACCTAGAACATATTTTTTAGCAATTGAGCACTCTATTGGATATTTGAGTTTTTACAGTGTAGCCATTTCTTTGGTCAAATTTAGACTACATAAATTCCAAATGGTTCAGTTTCAAACTGCAAGAACGGGGTAGGAGATGTTACTGTAGAGCCAAGTGTTCAAACCAGAATACAGTGCTACAGAAAATCAACACAGACAGGGCAAAAAGCAGCAAGATTTAAAGCAGCCAAGGGCTAACTGCCTTTGTGGTTGCTGTTCATGTCTATGGAGGTGGAAACTATTTGTTTTAACAAATTTACTCAGGCAGAATTTACTCTAACATCTCTCAGCAGCTCTCAACCAGCAGGTTAAACAGGAAAAAACTTTGCTGATCCACAGATGTAGATGGATAGATGATCAGTTTCTTTCGATTTTACACTGTGGTGGAAGGCTGTTTAACTCTGCTTGTAGGTTACATTCATAGACCTCCGAATTGAAATGCTGACTGTAGACCATCACATTTGAGTTTTTTTCTTGTGGTGTATCTTGTGCATATTCTAGGTTTGAATTGCCTTACATTAGTTTAGTTTATTTTATTAGTTTATTAGTTGACTTTTTTTCGCTTCATGAATATCAACTAATTGAAGGAAAGTTTACACTGTATACCTTGTAAGGGTGCGTAGTCATCTGAATCTGTGTCACTCTCACTACAGTCCTCCATTAGAAAGCTGGGGTAGCTCCAGGCCATGCTCATGATGCCCTCTGCCTCATGCAGCACTAAGTGTGCCATCATCCGCCCATGGCAGTCCATCACTATCACTTGTCCATCAGCTGTACCAAATAACACCTGTAAACATAGAGAAAGGGGGAAAAGTTGTCACTGTGTTTAACTGTATATTAGATAGATTGAGAGAGCATCCTATAATGGTTAAAGTGATTTATTGTGCATTTAGTCAACTATGATAAAAAATACTCAATTACTGACTGGAGGTTTTTTGTTAAAGCAACACTATTTACGTTTTGGGGACTTGGAGACCTCTCTAGTGGAAATGTGCGACATGTTGAAGAATATTTTTAGCATACCATAATATCAGTTGTACTTGGGACCTTTTTCCCGAGCCATTGAATTTGATGACTGCAAGCACATTTAAAGAGTATTCAAAGAGAACTTATTCAGAACTTTGTCAAGTTCTTGTGTGGAGGTAAGTGAATTATCTACTATTGTCATCATATCTTCATCTGTATAATATTGTTTTTGCATTTGAGACCTAAACATCAAGCCAGACCTTCTATTTAAGCCTGTATGTGTAACATTAATACATAAGGATGTATGACATGGTCTAATAAACTTCCCCGAAATCTGACTTACTGCCTTTGACTTTTAAATGATAATTTCAGGTTTTATAGGATGACTGGCAACAGCGCATGGACACCATATTTTTGCATTTTTTTCTCCTCAGTAATGCGTCATCTTTCATTATTACCAAAAAAAACATAATAAGTAAATAAGGCAGCTTTAAATTAGCAGGATACGTGTACAAACAATTATGAGAAAAATCATGTAACTTTAAATACCTAACTTACCCTTTCAGTTTACACTCATGGGGTTGCTACTAGTGGTGTAATTTCAAATTGTGGAGAATGAGGGATTCTGATTGCTGTTAAATGTGCTTGAGACACATTCAAAGGCAGAATTTTGTAAATTCTATGAAGAACTGGGTATGGCATAATTCACTGCAATTATGATGGCTTCCTGCACGTCTCATGTTCTTTCAGCTACTCTCTTGATAAAAGTAAAATGTGAAAAAAACAGAGCAGCGGTTGGATTTATTTCACTTAATGTTTACATTTCCTTACTTTTTTTTTTATTGTTTCCACAAGCCATGCACTCTACCTGCTGGTCATCAGGGGTCCATATCCCACAAGTTATCTGGCTCTCCAGATTGATCTCAGATGACCAGTGGCGCTGACCATTGACTGAGCCCACCAGCACAAACCCATCACGGTAGGAGATTAGTGCCTGTGTGCCATCATGTGACCATGTGAAGTCACTCACCTGCACAAATAAGATGCATTTAGCAACTAAATGAGGATGCTCATGAATGAATTTAGCCAAAATAGTAATGATTCCATGTACTTGCATATATACTATGCAGTCATTTTTTAGTTGTACCTACTCAAACTGTATACTAAATACTTGCTTCTGGTGCAACCTTTTAGAACCTTTTAAAAATCACAGATGTCTTTGCATTCAAGGATTTTTAGCGAACCAATGAACGCATGAATCTAATATATTTCCTACACTAAAAATAGTATGGGAAGTTCAGAGCTGAAAGCTTGACTTACCTTAAACAGGGATCTCTGACCTTTTTCTACTATGACAGCTACTGATACTGATTTTAGCAATGGAAGACTAGTCTTTTGTAGCCTGACATTATCTCATAACTACAATGTCTGGGGACATCCAAGAAAACTTTTGTGTCAAATGTGGAGGGAACAAACATGAGCATGCTCAAAGTTAGGGGTGGTGGTGCACTCATCAGTAGTGTTCGTTTGACAACAAGCCTGTTGTTAGCCAATAGAAGTAAATCAGCACAGCTGAAAGTTCTCTTGAAAAAACACCAATTAAGCATGTAGATGTTCGTTGCTTGTGCAAAGAACACATTACATGCAGTAAAAATAAACATCAATCTTGCAAAGGAAGAACAGTTACAATAGTTAATGATAGTGTTTCACTTGCTAGCTTGTTTTGCTTGTGTTATCGATTGTACTCTGGACATTAAAACAGCATAGACAAGGGGAATTTGTGGGTGGGATTTAGAGGTGGAACATGCACCTTAATTTTACTTTGCTTTGCTCGAAGCTTGGAACATGTGAATTAAGCTGGCGGTGTGTCAGGCATTTTAGTTTTTAATCCAGTCAAGTTTTTGATATTAGAAATTTAATGTAAAAAAATAATACTAATGAAATAACAATAATAATAAAAATAAAATAATATAAATACAATGCTTTGTGAAAATGCAATCTGAAATGTAATAAACTGAATATGAACATTCAAAATTCAATATATACTTGCGGGAATTATGTTACAATGTGTAAAATTAGTTAGCACACAAGAATTTATGGCTATTCCCATTTCATTTTTATTGCATGAACAAATGTAGCTATATGAATTAAGTTTTAACATGCAGCGACTGAATTCTCAAAAGATATGCATATATTATAATTATTAAGTGATCATTAAGTATTGCATATTCAAATGTAATTCTTACAACTGAAATGTTCATTATTCTTAAAAATGTTCTATGTTTGCTTCATGCGAATGTTCTATGTACGCTTAAATGTAAGAACTACGTTTTTACATGTAACAGTTCAATTCAAATTTTCATATGCTTCATGGGCTCCTGGGGACATTTAAAGGGGAGCTGTTCACTATGTATAGCTATTAGGTAGCATTTTTTATTGTTAATGTGCTTGGCACAGTTTATTGTGTACAGCTGTGCATACACACGTTTGACAAACACTAATTTTCTAGTGCACACTGATGGCTGTTATGCACAGATTTAGAACATGCTGGTCACTTATAAAAAAGGTCCTTAAAGGCTGAAATGATTTAGACAGTGTATAACACAGTGTCCTTTACAATGTCCTTCAAAATGTGTCATAGGCTACAGTATTAGAGTGGCAGCAAGAGAGTGGTTACTACGTCCCTATTAGCACCCTATATATTAGGCTCTGGGAATCTTAATATGAACAATTCATTTTACAGAAGAAAACCCTTTTTGTTAATGATAGTATGATAAAGAATGTATACACTTAATTTAGGTGTTAAAGTACAGATCCTTAAATGTGCACTCCATCATCATTCTCTGAGTTTGAGCATTTCAGTATTGCTAAAATTTACCTGTCTGTCTTCAGTCTTACCTGTGCTCCCCGGTCATTGACCAGCTCAACAGACCAGCGGCCTTCATACTGAATCCATACAAAAATACCCCCATCTGCGTCACAGGTGGCCAGCTTCTGAAAAGGCTCATTCCATCGCACCAAAACAACCTGCGATTAAAACAATGCCCTGTCAGTCCAATGTTTAGATGTGAAGCATCCCGTGGCCCAGGCTTGCAACTCACTCTGTCAAATAGTTAGTCACTTAGTAATTTGAACATCCCCTGGTCAAATTACAAGTTTTGCTTATTTTTAAGTGACAAAAAATTAATACATCCTCTACCAGTTACTAAATTTAAATAAACAATTTTTCTGCAAACTATAGAGCACAATTCTATTTATCCTGTATCCTGCCTTCCGCCCAATGACAGCTGGGATAGGCTCCAGCACCCCACCGCGACCCAGAAGGATAAGCGGTTTAGATGATGTATGTATGTATGTATGTATACAATTCTATTTATTTGCTGAGTTTAACATATCAGGAAAAAACAAAACAAAAATATACAAATGTGTTTGCAGGGGGCAGATTTTATATTTTATTTTTTCCCGATATGTTAAATAGTTAAAACACTAAATCTAAATTAAAATGCGAAGAAGTGTTTTCTCTGAGAAGGAACATTTTTCCACAACAAAACATGTCACTAGAGGCACCCAAATCTTTGCATACAACTGAAGAAGCGGCATTCATGACAACTGGGAACTTTTGACTTTTCAAACACAGATCATTAACACAACTTCAACTGTTTGAACTGGGGGAAAAAAATGCCACTTACGGTAAGCTAGGATGTCTCCGCCTGCTGTTGGAGTATAACAAGCTCTAAAAAGCTTTTAAAACAGAGTTAACAAGTTGTTGGAGTGGATGTCGACTATGGCCACTCATGGTTAATAGACTGCCGATAATTAGATGAAAGTACACTGTCTGCTTACAAATCTTGCAAAAAACAACTTAAGCTTATGTATTTCTCTGTATTTAGCAATATCATACACAAATAGCATCTTTCACAAAGATTAATTCAAAAGTCTGCCTTAAAAGCTTAAAACACCATTAATTTGTTTTATATGGGCTCTGGCATGTGGAAGTGATGTCACAGAACAACCACTCAGAGAAGCTGCAGCCACCTTGTGGTGTGCGAAGCCTGCTAGCTAAGCTAGCGCTAGCCCCTAGTGCTAACTAGAGCAGTAGAGTGAAGGTGGTTGTTGAGTAAGTGCTAGCTTAGCTAGTAAGCTAGTAAGCTAACAGCCTAGTGCACTACTATATAGGTTTCCAGGACAAGCCGATGGCATTTTTTTCATGTGAAAACTACAAAACACGTTTCACTTATTTTTTTTAACTTTCAACCATATTTATTCTTTTTCTTTTCACTGTCTGCCCACAAAGGTATAACACTATAAGTGAACTGCTGTTCTCTTCAGGTTAAGGTAACTCACTCAAAAAAATACAAATGAAAAAACAAATATTTTTTTAGAATACTGAACCATGAACGATTCAAGCTTATTCTCATTTGTATTTTTTTTAAAGGAACAATGTGGGGTGGCACGGTGGCACAGTGGGTAGCGCTGTCGCCTCCCAGCAAGAAGGGCCTGGGTTCAATTCCTGGCTGGGTGACCAGGGTCGTTTCTGTGTGGAGTTTGCCTGTTCTCCCCGTGTCTGTGTGGGTTTCCTCCGGGTACTCCGGTTTCCTCCCACAGTCCAAAAACATGCAGTCAGGCCAATTGGACATGCTAAATTCCCCCTAGGTGTGAGTGTGTGTGTGAATGTGTATGTCTGTCTGTCTGCCCTGTGATGGACTGGCGACCTGTCCAGGGTGTATCCTGCCTTCTGCCCAATGACAGCTGGGATAGGCTCCAGCACCCCACCACGACCCGAGCGGTTTGGATGATGGATGGATGGATGGATGGAACAATGTGGAAAAATGTGACATTTGCTCTGTGGTAACACATTTGACTCAAATACTAATCTATACAATATTAAACAATTAAAAACAATCCAAGAGAACATTTTTGAAGCTGAAGATCCGTTATACATAATTTATGGTATGGTAGCATTTATAAGCATTACAGTAATAAAGTAGAAGCAAATACAGACAAGATACACATTCATAGACTTCAGCTGAGCTATTGATACAGTACAGCTTCAGTATGAAGTAGTACATTGCTTTAGGAGTTAGGACAATAAAGGTCTTCTTGTGGTCATTCATTGCACGTTTATGTAACAACTTTTTTTTAAATGTTAATACATTAAGAATACTATGTTATTATAGCAATAAGCAAAGTTAAAGACATAAGCCAGTTTTATAATAACTCACCTCACTGTTGTGTCCTCTGAGATTGAAGTTGATGCGCTGTGGAGTTGTGTGGTCCTTCTTGCAGTGGCTAGACGTGAAGGTTACCCCCACCACTCCTCTACCATTTCCAGTGGCCAGCCAGCCTTCTTCATAGTACCGTCTCCTACACACTGGTTTCGCCTGCTCTCTTCTGGGCACATGGCCCTTCCATGACAAGCAGAGGATGTTGGAGTCACTACACAGAACAGGGCCATGCTCCAGTGCTGCATACATTCCTGCCTGCGTTTACGGTGATAAATTCGAAGCTTTCTGGAATTTTAGTTTACAGAATCAGTCTATACAGTTTACTGTTTCTCAGAGTAAAAGCTTCACATAAGGCCAGTTCCTGTGCTGGTTGTTCCCACAGGCTGAGGGGGAAACCTGGAGGTGGGAGGGGAAATAAGCAAGATGTTACTTTGACATATTTGTGAACAGCACATCCCATAAGAAATCATCATATCAGTGTCACTGCAGTGCTGAGAACGATCCACCAACCAAATAATACCTGCTCTGTGGTGGTACTGTGGGGGCCCTGACCTTTAAAGAACAGAGTAAAAAAGGGGGCTAACAAAGTATGCAGAAAGACAGATGGACTACAGTCTGTAATTGTAGAACTACAAAGTGCACCTATATGGTAAGTGGAACTGATATAATGGACAATGTGTGTAGATACAAGGACTTATACCTGCTCGGTGAGCGTGTATATGTATAGTTCCACTGTACAGACCAGTTCAGAGTTGGTCCCGCTGTACTGCTTCAACTAGGATATGGACTCGGTATCACGTGACAAACACATGACTCAAATTCACAAAACCAGCAAAAATCAGCTGAATTACAAAGTGCACAGCTGCATTTTATAAAGCCAGGCACACGTTATTTCATGTTTTCCCTCGAGTGTAGAATTCAAGCGATCTGCGCGCTCTGAGCAGCACGGCTACATCAGCCCGGATTTAAATCCCAACGAATGTTTGTTGTGACGTCAACATTTCACTGTACACAGGGCAAACAGCACTGTCATATCAAAATGTAAATAAAAACTTTTGCAGCACAGCATCCTTACACTTTTCAATATTTTGAGAAACATAACTTACCATGTCTTAGTGTTTTGTATGAACGTGCCCTGGACTATTTGCGGCTATCTTGGTCCATCAATAAAGTTTATTTCAATTTCACAAACTTCCAAACGATGCCTGTCGGAATTAGACACCCAGCGAAGCATGATTAAATTACAGGCTCCCGATTTAACGAAACTCGATAAACAGGCCTACGGGCTATCAGTAATCCTAAATCTCCTGGGCCAAATCCTGTACAGCATCCGCAAAGTAAGTGCGTACTCTCTTGTGCTGACGGCCAGCGAACGTGCTCGATTTTATGGTCTTAGACAAAAGTTATTTAATAGTGGCCACTGACGATCATATCAATATTTAAACTGCCTCTGTCTTAGCACCTAAGTACAGAGATTGAAAAACAGTCTTGCGATTCAACTACACTAGCCCACAACAGCGAAGTGTCAAAATAAAAGTTTCTGTATAAGCTAGATAAATCACTGACAAAGATTATCTTTTAATAATTTTTAACGTTTTATAATGACAATTGAAATGATATTCAAAAAACTAACAATCACCAGATACCAGTGTTATCCATATATAATCATTGTATCTGTGTATAATCTAAACACAAATTATTAATTAAAATAACATTATTAACATTAAAATAATATTATTTTTTTTCTCACAAACATTTTCTTTGAGATCTTTAGGCTATTATTTTTAAATGATTTGTATTTGTAATTATTGATACTTGTAGGTTCACTGCTGGTTTTTAATAATCAATAAAATGGCTATATTAGTGGCATAGACATTGTGAACCCCAGTTCAAATCACCACCACTGTAAAGAAAATCTGTAGATAAGCATTTTACATCTCACCATTCTGAATGACTTTGTTTACATCTTAATTATTGAATTACACATCACTTTTGAAAAAGCAGTGATATTCCCCTTTGTCAGTGCGTTCCTGACAACAGGCCCACCACTCGCTTTTCAGTAGCAAAGAGTAAAATCAATACTTACAAATATGTGTGTACGAGTGAACTCGACATATTTTACTGCATTATCAAAATTTTACTGAATTATTTGTCTGTTTACTTTCTCTGTATTTCCAAATACTTAAACAAAATGAATACCCCACCTCGAAAGGGAGTATATGTGCATGAGATCTGCTGGCCTGTGTGTGTATGCTGCCACTCTAAACTTTGGTTGATTCCGTGGTTTTAGAACAGTAAGTACCCTGCATGAAACTGAATATTATTGGGCAAGGATATATTCATTTTGTTTTTTTTACATTCAATTAGTGTTTTTTTTTTTATTGTTGTTGTTGTTGTGTCCTATGCATTTGGAGGATCAACCAATGAGATCAACACACTCTACTGCCCTGTTCAAATCAAACCCTGTTGAAGTTTTGGATTCTATCCCCATTACTCTTGAGAATTATGCTTTTGTTTGCTTTGGACATTCCTACGGATTCACCAAATAATTATGAATTATTTACCATGAACAAATGTTTAAACATGAACAAACTGTTTCAGCATATAGCTGCGTGGAAATGGCCTCACATCTGAATGAAACAGCCTCACATCTGTGTAGGTCACTCATGCACATCTGCAACAGTCACTCTCAATCAGGCTCAAGTCCTTGAATGTTTCCAAATATTCTCCATAAATTCAGCTTTCACCTAGTCCCACTACCACAGCCTGCAATACCATGTCTGGTAAGAATTGAAGGATTTGGCAAATGGCAAAAGTAAGCCTCAATGACAATCTTAATGACAGTCACCAAGCACCATGACGTGCATGAAGGGCAGAATTACCACACAAACATTCCATAGTCCTCATAGAAACACCAAAACCAACTAAATATAATCCTTAGAGTAAATATATATATATATATATTACAGACCAGTCCCCACGCCAGAGTCTCCCAGTTCCGATCATGCCCACCAGGGATTATATACACAGTAAAAAGTGGCTCGTCAGATCTACTTTAAAAAAATTACTTCATGCAGTAACAAGCAATAGAGCTAGTTTTATTCAACTCAAAAATTTACTTTGATTGAAAAAATCATTCATTCAAAGTATTTATTTAGGTTGAGTAAAACTAGTTAATTTACTTGTTACCACATGAAGTCATTTTTTGAGTAGATCTGACAAGCCACTTTTTACAGTGTAGTGAACATCAAACATTTTCTTCATTCTACTCTGGTAGAGACTCAACCGGGAGCAGGCAAGCAGGAAAAAACATACCACAATACTCATAGAAACACAAAAGCCAAAGAAGTACATACCTAGGTGCAAGAACTATATTCTTTTTTAAAAGACATGCATTTGATTATAGGAGATAATCCATGCCCCATCACAGCCTATTTCAGTTAAAACGGGAAAGATGCAATCATCTGCATGATAGTTTCAGTGAATCTGAAAACACTTTTTACAGCCACTCACTCAAGTTATGAAAAAGAGAAATATCCAGAAATTAAAAGGATAAACACAAGACACCACAAACAACTATATAGTTTCTGCCACACTTACTCTGTTATACAGATGAATGGAGACAGAAAGAGGGTAAAAGGTGCTTCTAGTGACATTTAAATATCCTGACATATGAACATATTACACAATTTCTTTTACTATTATACAAACACACACACACTTGTCTCATATATATATATATATATAAATATATATATATATATATGTGTGTGTGTGTGTGTGTGTGTGTGTATGTGTGTGAGAAAAGAACAACACAAAGTAACAACAGTGAACTAACACAATGTTCTGTGGTGGTCATTAGACACCACAATACACATCCCAGGTGGACAGTCACCAAAACGGTCCTTTCACAGGTTTTCCTGGCAATTGACATGGCGGTGCTCCATCATACAGATGAATGCAGGTAAAAAACGAATGGTAAAGAGAGAAATATGCAATTAGAACTATAAACAGATTGTTTATAGAATATGAACTTACCAGCAGATTTTATTGCGGATGAAATGAATGAATTATTGCAGTAAGTCCAGCATCATCAAAGCATTACTGGACTGAGTGGTGTATGGTAATAAATGACAGGAACGAAATGGATGACATCAGTCAGTTCCTGTTAAATGTAAGACTTTCAGCAAAACCACCTTCATTCACAAATCCGTACAAATGAGAGTAATCCATGCAAACACATCGAGAGAGAGATAAAAATATAAATATAACTTAAACAAGCCCTTATGTCTCAAAGCACAATCTGCTGAGAACATTTACATTTCAATCCACTGACATGCAGCTAAAAGAGAAACATACAAACTTGCAGAATGAATTTCCTCTCATTTATAAACATACTTTCCTCATGCATTATAAAACCATATTGTAAAAACTTATTTGGTTTACATTGCAGTCTTGCAGTCTTCATATGATTCAAAATACTTCACCGTCTGCCATATTGAGGTAGTTAACTTTGACTCTAACATGTGAGGAGAATAAATAATAAATAATCATAATAAACATCATACATACTGTCATCTGCTTTACCTTGAAATAGCCAGGACCCATTGCCGGGTTCAAAGATTTACTATACACTTCTATAACCTATAAATAACTCAGCCAATTTGAATTGTAGTCCATGTAGTTACTGAATAATAAGACTTAATATGGAATGAGTTTGTGATTTTAAGTGTTCAAAGAAGGTATTAATCACATTCTCGCACTCACAGTTCCAACATGTATCCAGAGCAGTACTACCTGCAAACATCCAGACAGACCATGAAAGGACAGGAAATGGTAAGAATGAGAGAAAGAAGAGGTGATGAGAGCAAAGTGTCAATAGTGATTATATATATGCATAATTACATTTATATTGACATAAAGTATAAACTATGTCAAGTCAATCTTTATCTCACTTTATGTCCCAGCAAAGCCATTAATCAGTGAAGACATGGTTAATCCACTTGGCCAACATGGAGACAAAAAGAGCAAGAACAACGGCTTAATTTCCATACAATGTATATAATGTATACAACTATTAAACAAATAATTTCACACTGTACAAAAAAAGGTTTAGACACATGGACTCATGGACAAACAGCATGTAAAAATATTGTTTATTTAACAAATGCACAGTATGTTCTTAATTTTCAAGCCTTTAAACTTGTATTCTCACACAACAGCAGAATCACCTGCAGAAAGAAAGAGAATGAGAAGGAGACTCATACTACAAAATATCTTAAACACGAACAGTTTCTATAGCTAAAAAAAATTCAACAAAAACTAGAGATATTAGACTTTGAATAAAATTAACATGTAAATAGATAATATAGCAGATTCTACAGCACTTAATATCTCATTTCTTTACACCTTATATCAGGGATGAACATTGGAATTATGGGACGATGCCAATATCCACTACTTTTCATGTACATATCTGTCAATGCGGATACATAAACAGTTCTCAAATGTAGAATCTGGTACTAGATCCACAAGGAGATATAACTATTTCTATAGAATTACAAATTCAGTAAAAAATAAAATGCAGACCTTTTTGCACAGTAGCCCAGTATTGGCTAAACAGTTGGCTCTTTTTAAGTACAGTAAACACATCATCAAATATTAGTTTGAAATATCTGTCAAATTTAAACATCTGTCTGATGATAATTCTTTTAAAGAAAATATCTGCTGATACTGATATGACTGATTTCACTGTGCATCCCTAATTTAAATATATCTCACATTGCTTCTACATACAAAAATGAAAAGTATGTTCAAAGTAAGTAAGTGAATGAGGGGAGGTTGGGTTGAAAGGTATGTCTAAAACTAGGGTGTGATTACAATTAGAGAAAAGGGAAAAAACAATGAATGAGAGATGGAGGTTGGTCAGGCCTGCTAAACAGCCTTAAATTTTTTCCAGAACCATCTGGATGTGACGTTCCATACAAAGTCACCCAGCAGGGACCAAAGTCTCAGGAGCTGCATAAACACTCTTCTCCCCGTCAAAGAGATTTTCCACCAAGAGCAAGGCCCAATCCCATTTCTTCTTTTTACCCCTACCCCTTGTTTTCAAGGGGTAGTGGTTGAAATCTTGCCCTACGAAATGGGACAACCCTCAAATTAAAAAAACAAACAAACATTGCTTTATTAACAGGTTACTAGCGGTGCTCTGTAGGTGACCCAGCCCGTCTTCAGTGATAGCAAAGAAGGGAAAAGTTCAGCAACCTCACTGCTGGGCTTTAGTTACATTTAGGGCATCATATGCTTTCAAAGAGGGGGTATAAGACAATTATTTATTATCGCCCACCATTAATTCTTCAGTGATATGACGCTGAAGTCAGGTATTCACCAGCTTCTTGTTTGAATTTTCTCGTTCAAAATACATTCGGGCACTTCAGTCATCAATACTGCTGGACTATTTAAGGCGGAACGGGAAAAGTAGCTAGCTACCGAGACGTTAGCATGCTATTAGTGATTTTTTATGCTTGTTATGAAGAAAACGACCATAATAAATTAAAACGACATTAAAGTAAGATAATACAATGGTTATTGTGATTTTTTTTTAACAGAGAAAATACTCACATTTGTGGGTTTCTTTGGTCGCTCGCGCAGCCATGTTGCCAGTTTTTCTTTTTTTCTCGTAACACTCTGTTTGGAGTGTGCCTCTGAAAAACCTGCATTTGGAGGGCCATGTAGCCCTAACACTTCGCCCTACCCCTCTATCTCAACAAAAATTGGGACACCCTAACCCTAGACGTGAACGCGCAAAACAGAGGGCTGAGGGTTAAGTGGTAGGGGCAAGGGGTGAAATGGGACTGGGCCTAAATCTGAGAGAGAAAGGACAAGGGACATAGAGAGAGAAAGAGACACAGAGAGGAAAGTAGATTAGGCAGTTAAAGTACAAGAAAATAAAAATGCTTCACACACAAAAAATATTCAAACTGTTTATCACAGAATGATTAGAAGAAATTTCTAGTGTGACTGCTGTTAATGTGCAGTTTACCTGGTGCAGGAAGAGGCAGAGCTACATTCCAAACACTGTACGGCAGGTCCAGAGTTTCTTGGTGTTGTCGTCATACTATTGGCATTTCAATAATGCCCTTTGCATACCCTGACAGAGAGTGATTGGCACTTTGAGTGGTCTGCTGCCTGACAGCATTCAGCAGGCCGACACCTCTGTTCTTGCCCTCCCAGACATGGAAGAACCTTTTACACAGGGCTGCTGGCAGTGGTAGAGGTAGTCAAGCTCTGGGCAGGGCAGAGACAGGCGACCCTGTCATTGTACCAGTGGTGGAGTGGCTGGAGTGTTGGGGCAGCCAGACCAAGCTATGTTGGCACCGCACAGCTGCAAGAAGGGGCCCTCTACAGGCATTGGAGCTCCCACAGCGAAGCCAGAGAGCTGTGGCAACTGGTAGTCCTTGCTTACTGCCATCAGCAGGTTCTGTATCTTGTCCATGGGGCAGCGGAAGCAGGGCTATTCAGCATCATAAAAACATGGGGACAACTGGCAGCCTGCTTCTTCTTGGTGGGGAGCCAGGCTGATGTAGAGTGTATCTGCAAAAGGTGTGACATATACACAGCTAAGAACGGCCCACTGGAACAGTCCGGAGCACCCCTACAGCAGCTACAGTCTGGGCTTCCCCTGGAAGGAGTAGCAGTTGGCATCCTGGGCCCGTTTCCCACAATGGAGAGTGTGTGAACTATGTGCTGGTGGCCATGAATTGTCTTCCCTAATGGCTAGATGTGTATGCAGACCCCAACAAGGAGGCATCCACCATCATAGACTGACTCATGGAAGGAATGTTCACCAGATTCGATATCCCTGGAGAGCTGCGTAGTGACTAGGATTTTGAAGCACGGCTGGTCCAGGAGCTCTACCAGCAGTTGGGGGTACGCAAGACACGATGGACTATTAAAGCACGCTCATGACGCAGTTAAAATTTAGCTTGTTAAAAACAATTATGCTTAATTCTGTTGCAAGAACTTTTATTCTGAAGGGCAGGTCTAGGTACACCAAGTGTTGGGTGTTCTTGTAGCAAGCTTAAGGGAGCCAAGCAGTAAACAGAATGAGCCTAGAGCTTGCGCAGCATTGTGTGTTTTCTTTTGGTTTTGTGTTGTTTCTCTGCAGAAATTCTAGTAAAGCGAGTCTGGGCCACAACTTGTTCCAAGTTCATTACAGTATTACAGTAAAATAGTTAAAAGTTCTTAGAAAGTGATGAAAAAAATAAATTAGTCAAATGTTGTACCATTTACATGATGTCAAATCTGAGATATCAATGGGATGTATAGATCATTTTTGTGTTTGTAAATAATGTTTTTTGGGTGGTCAGTGGGTCAGTGATCCAACTAAATGGCCAAAGTTTTAGTAGCTGGACATCTTTGTATACCTTGTGGAAAAACCCAGAGTCTATGAAGGAAGAACTCAAGGCATGAAAATCTCTTGACGCATACAATTTTGTACATTGTGGTAGACCTTGACTACTGAGATTTGTCAGATGTTTTTTATGTATTACAGATTGACAGATTGACGTAATGCCAGCCAGCGACAAGGATATAAAACACAGCTATACAAAATGTGGGCCAAAATAAACAAGTCAAACTACTACTGACGGCGAACTGCACTTGCATGGCTGGATTAGTATTAACGCTTTTTCATTATTTGATGTTTGTTAGGTGTATGTACAAAAAATGTTATTGCTAGTTATGTCAATTAATTCATGCTGCAAGGCTAATGTAGGGCTAATACAGTTTGCTGTAGGGCTAATAGAGTGTGCCCTCCATGACCTGTATGTATGAATATACTTAGATCTGTTGTTTAAATAAAATTAATGCTATAATGTACACTAAACAGCGCAGATTAGGGTCGTGCTGCAGCCATACGACCGTGCTGCTTTGTAACGTTGAGCTGTCAAGATGGAAAGGACAGACACGGCAAGCACATCAAAGGGCGTCTTTGAGGATGGTATTCTATAAAAATTAACGTCATTTGTTTTTCCTTTCCTATTCTGGCATCCGACAGCACAAGACATTTTTGTCGTTATTTAATGGATCTCGCCCGTTTCGCTCCAGTTGTTTCTGCTGTTTTGCTTCCACCACAATGCGCGCGCAACGTCCAGTGACGTGACCGTGACGTCTATACCATATTGGTCTCTTAGCTGCAAAAAAAAAGGGTTATCAGAATATCACAAGAAAATGTCGTTGAGCGGTTGTTATTGGTGAATCAATAAAAAACAAATAAAACACGTTCACATTCTCATTTAAATAAGCTTGTCATTTACAAGCATGATCTTTTTCCGAGATAATGAGGTCTCTTTAGGTCGGAACTATCCGGTTCTCGGCCGAATATTACCGGGGAACGCTTTTATTAATGGACTAGAATGCGCATGGGCTTGTTACATGTTGCTGTCATCGCCAACAGCGGGTGTGTAAGTTCGATCTCGCAACCCTTACAGCTAGGATAGTTCACTGCATGTTTAAATCACCCTGCAAACAGCGTTTTCAAGTGCAGCTCATGAATATGTGGCGTCTTTTGAATGATAGCATCTACCGCAACTGACTGGCGGGAAAATGTCTTACTGAAGCGAGTTCATTGTATTGAAGTGAGGCCGGTTAACTCACGCGAGGAGCGTTTTCCTCACCAGCACTTCCAATCTAAGTTACGCTTCTCACATTATAGCTTGTTCACTAGTTGAGAGTGTGTGTAGACCACGGTAAAGTTAGTTTTATTTTCGATATTCGTCTTTTCGGCGCTAATAACATTTGATCGGACTACGGTAGTCAGTAAAGACTTACATATTCATGACAGTACGACCACAGAGAGCGATGCACACCTGTTCTTTTGCAGTTTGGGTGACATTTAATGTACCGCTCTTTTTGTGTTAATACCATAGAACTGAGACAAGTATTTCAATCGGAAGAAAAAGCATGCACTTCTAGACCACGCCTACATCCATGCACACGCATTTGTTTTCCTCCAAAGCGTCAGACAATAAAACGTCAATAGCTCCGTAAACACTGTGTCCATACACATCTGATGAACTGTGTTATTTGCTCTAAATTATGGTTAGAAATACAAACCACTTTAATTTAGAAAAAGGACTTTGAATTAACCTGTAACTAAAATGTACTTGCCAATACTTGTCCTAACAGTACTGAGCGTACCTTACTTGTAAAAACTGATATTACCTGTATACTGATATAGCTAGTTAGCTTGATGTTGGAGGTTCAGTAATCGACAGACATTAGCAGTCTTGAAGGTTCCATAGATCCTTAACCATCTAAAATATTAGTTTAAAAAATGAGAGTGTAGAAAAGACAACGTCTTATTTAAGTGGATCAAATTGCAAATCAAAAGTTTTTTAAATCCATCAAACACTAAGTGAGTCAGATTTAAGTTTTAAATCTTGAACATTTTTTTCATTTTGAATTTCGATAAACTTTTAGACGTTGAACATTTAAATCAGCAGTGTTTGGTGCAGGTAAGTTTCAGTAATGACACACAAACTTTGAATTTTACTTGAGAATATAATGTAGCTAAAATACGGCTTAGATTCAAAACGCAGCATTCACTGCAGGTAATGCAGCTGAAATGCTTTTGAAGGTTAAAATACAAATATTAATATAATTATTGCAGTGCATTCAAAATTCAAAGGTTGTGTATGATTGCTGAAACTTAACCACACCATACATAATTGTTTGTAGTGTTGGGTGTAATACAGCTGAAATGCTATTGAAATTCAAAATTGATAAAAGTTAATAAAACACATATATATTCCAAAATCCAAAGGCGGTGCATCATTGCTGACACCTCACTGCACCATACACAACTGTTTTTAATGTTGTATATAATTTAGATGAAATATTATTGAAATTCAAAATACATAAAAATTAATAAAAAGTAGTTACAGTAATATATCAAAAATCCAAAGGCTGTGCATCATTGCTGACACTGCACTGCACCATACACAGTTATTTTTAGTGTTGTATATAATGCAGCTGAAATATTATTGAAGTTCAAAATAAATAAAAATTAATATAAAGTAGTTATTGCATTATATCCAAAATCCAAAGGGTGTGCATCATTGCTGACGCCTTGCTGAACCATACACAGTTATTGTTAGTGTTGTATATAATACAGCTGAAATATTATCATAATTCAAAATGTATAAAAATTAATGTAAAGTAGTTATTGCATTATATCCAAAATCCTGTTTAGTTTTGGATATAAAGGAATAGCTACTTTATATTAATGTGTTAATTGTGTCAGCAATGATGTACAGCCTTTAAATTTTTGATATTGCTGTAACTACTTTTTATTCATTTTTATCTATTTTGAATTTCAATAATATTTCAGCTACATTATTTACAACATTAAAAACAGTTGTGTATGGTGCAGTGAGGTGTCAGCAATGATGTACAGCCTTTGGATTTTGGATATATTACTGTAACTACTTTTTTATTAATTTTTATGTACTTTGAATTTCAATAATATTTCAGCTAAATTATATACAACATTAAAAATAGCTGTATATGGTGCAGAAAGGTGTCAGCAATGATGCACCACCTTTGGATTTTGGAATATATATATGTTTTATTAACTTTTATCAATTTTGAATTTCAATAGCATTTCAGCTGTATTACACCCAACACTACAAACAATTGTGTATGGTGCAGTTAAGTTTCAGCAATCATACACAACTTTTGAATTTTGAATGTACTGGAATAATTACTTTATATTAATATTTGTATTTTAGCCTTCAAAAGCATTTCAGCTGCATTAACTACAGTGAATGCTGCGTTTTGAATCTAAGCAGTATTTTAGCTACATTATATCCTCAAGTAAAATTCAAAGTTTGTGTGTCATTACTGAAACTTACCTGCACCAGACACTGCTGATTTAAATGTTCAACATCTAAAATGTTATCAAAATTCAAAATGAAAAAAATGCTCAAGATTTAAAACTTAAATCTGACTCACTTTTGATTTGCAATTTGATCCACTTAAATAAGACGTTGTCTTTTCTACACTCTCATTTTTTAAACTAATATTTTAGATGGTTAAGGATCTTCAAGACTGCTAATGTCTGTCGATTACTGAACCTCCGACATCAAGCTAACTAGCTATATCAGTATACAGGTAATATCAGTTTTTACAGGTAAGGTACGCTCAGTACTGTTAGGACAAGTATTGGCAAGTACATTTTAGTTACAGGTTAATTCAAATCCTTTTTCTAAATTAAAGTGGTTTGTATTTCTAACCATAATTTAGAGCAAATAACACAGTTAATCAGATGTGTGTGGACACAGTGTTTACGGAGCTATTGACGTTTTATTGTCTGACGCTTTGGAGGAAAACAAATGTGTGTGCATGGATGTAGGCGTGGTCTAGAAGTGCATGCTTTTTCTTCCGATTGAAATACTTGTCTCAGTTCTATGGTATTAACACAAAAAGAGCGGTACATTAAATGTCACCCAAACTGCAAAAGAACAGGTGTGCATCACTCTCTGTGGTCGTTCTGTCATGAATATGTAAGTCTTTACTGACTACCGTAGTCCGATCAAATGTTATTAGCGCCGAAAAGACGAATATCGAAAATAAAACTAACTTTACCGTGGTTGGGTGTAGAACCCCTGCAGCCAAAGCCTGTCTGATGGTTTAGTTTATAACCTTCAGTCGAGGTGACTATGGCAGCTCTTTAGGTCAGTGTCTCTGACAAATACGAAAAATGCTACGTTGATTTATTAAGACCTTGTTTCATGTAGTAATGTCAGAAATTGGCAGAAGGTGGCAGAAATTAGTCGAGATGGCTAGTTCTTTCACGTCAATCCACCAGATACAAACTGAAACCTGCCTGTCAAACCAAAAATAAGTTAGGGGTAAAACGGTTTGAGAACCAGCAGGTTCTCAACTTTGGATGGCTTCTCAAGTGTAAACCAGTCATTCCCTAAATTCAATTAACAATGATATTAAAATCAAAAAGAGAGAGATCGTTTCAAGGTTGGGATTTAATGTGTTTTGTTCTTAAATTATTTGTCAGGATTATTGCTAAAATTAATGAACATGACTAGTTCACTATTTAAGGATAAATTTGATGTCACTGAAAAAGTGGATTCAGGGGACAACGTGAATAAAGGGTGGTTACAAATTAGAAATAAAAAGTAAAATAAAATGATTTCTAGCAAAATAATAAGTAAATATGACTAGGTGAAAAGTAATGTGACATTTAAAAAAATGAATTAATTATTAAGGTAATAAATTACCTGAAAATTTTGCCCTTTTAACCATGTAGTGCGATACTTGTCCAGTAGATGGCGCAAAACTCATACTAAATACCATGTTATGAGTCATTGCAATAACTTAATGTTCATAAAATATTTCGTATAAAATCTGTTACATTTGTGATCCTTCATAACAAAGAAATGACTAACAAAGGGACCACAGTGAATTCAGGTGAGATTGTGTGATTTGTTTCTATAGTAGATGGCTGATAGCACCACACAGAAAGCTACATGCATGTTGGGTGATGTTATTTGTTTGAAACATTAGCTGTTTGTTGAACAAACCAGTGACATTGCCATTTCTACCTCTAGCAGCCTGCATGTCTATGTTAATTCTGTGATGTCTTGAACAAGACAATGTATGCCATTGGCTCTACTTTTTTGAATGTCATCCTTTTTTTTCTAGATACAGTATTTGTAGTCAACCAAGGGTATCATTCACAAACAGAAAATGCTTAGGAGTGTGTCAGCACAGGTAGGTTTAAGACTTAAAATTATTCATTATGTATTCTGTGTGTAGCTCATTTTTTTTATTTCTGTGGTTCATTACATGTATCATTCCATGTGTTTTAACAGTTACTCAGACAGGTTGTCAGACACAATTCCACAGATACCAGTCTTATCTTGGAGAGATGTGAGTACACTTGAGTAAACACTTAACTGCTGCTGTGACAGACTTGGAAAAATATATCTTTGATGATTGAAGTTGCACTTGGCAAATTTTAAACAATGTTAGTTGAATCCACAAGCCTTAAGAATCTCTTGATGATAAAACCATGGTGTTTTTTATTTAAGTATCCTGCATAAAAAGGTTAAATTAACCAACAGTAGCTAGTGGAAACACAGTATTTCCTGCTCATTGTTTTACTTTTCTTCTGTGCTCTCTCTTGCTCTCTCTCAGCAATTAACCGAGTACAGCTGCTGGGTCGGGTGGGGCAGGACCCAGTTATGAGACAGGTGGAGGGTAGAAACCCAGTCACCATCTTTTCCATGGCAACTAATGAGATGTGGCGCTCTGGAGAGGGAGAGTCTGTAAATACAGGTGACATTTGCCAGCACACTATTTATTTGACCCTAGAGTAACTTAATTACATTGTTTATAGTAATCTATTAATATCTATATATTGTAACTGTGTTATGTTTGAATGCCTATGGGTTTTGCAGGAGATATCAGTCAGAAGACAACATGGCACAGAATCTCTGTGTTCAAGCCTGGTCTAAGAGATGTGGCCTATCAGTATGTAAAGAAAGGGTAAGTGTCCTGTGCTGTTCACTTCTAGTTTTAACTGATATAAACATGGCATTGATGCCCGCTGATTGTACTTTGCTCGATCATCAGAACCAGGTTGTGTTATGTTTTTATTATATTACATTCACTAAAAAAATCAGGTCTCGGATTCTTGTTGAGGGGAAGCTGGACTATGGAGAGTATGTGGACAAAAACAACGTGAGGCGGCAGGCCACCACCATTATTGCAGGTTGGATATGACATCACATTGCATCTGCATTATCAGCTTGCATTCTTAAAGTGCCCCACAGCCAGAATGCTTAACATTTTGGTAAATATGTGGATTGAGTTTATTAAAGATGCTTCCTCTTTATGTACAAAAATGACAAGCCAACTTTACAGTACAGCTCACAGTGACGGGTTTTGAGATTTTCATGACTCCTGTACTACTATGCCGATGTTGAGGACAAGTTAATGTGAAGATGTTTCTGGTTTGACTCTACTTAAGTGATGTAACCTTTCTTCTCTCTCCACAGATAACATTGTCTTTTTAAGTGACAACATACGGGATAGAGTCTGAGGTGTTTTTCTGGAGTGTTGATTTAAAAAAACAAAACAAAAGAAGATACCAAATATCTTCAATCATGCTAGACTCGATACTTTGTTGCTCTTGTGCAACTTTGTGTCTGCCCTGCAGTTACATATGGGTCAGAATGTGGAAGTAACAGTTTTCCAGATGTAACAGATTTCCATATGTATCCCTAACAGTTTGCACTTTAATGTGCTTACATGCTAGTTTAAACAATACAAATATTTTTTTTTACTCTCTTTTTGTCAAATAATGTTGCATTTATGGTCTGTTTTACTGATACATACTAAAATGTATTGTAAAACCAAAAGTAAAAATTACAGACTGTGATATGTAAAGACTTCTCCATGCTTGCTGTTCAAAATGCCCATAAAATTGGCAAAGGTTTTCTTGTGAGTTTTGTATAGAGATGTTTCTTTCTTTGTGTATAGTTCTTTCTTGCTCAGTTAGATGTGGCTAAGTGTATCAGCACCATTTGGTTTCAGTAACTGTTTAAGGTTTTATTCTGGGAAACCTCATAACCAGTAGTTTCAGTACTGTCTTTGTACTCAACATATAAATGGGTACGATTTTTTTTACATAGTTAAACAGTGTAATTATCATGACGAAAGTCTGTTGCTTATTTGGGTAAAATATTCCCTCTCTGTGTCTGATATTAAGAAATAACTCCTTGTCTACATTTGACAAATTAGCTAGTTATTTTATTACAGATTCGATGTTTTTAAGGGGAAATATGTGGAAGAATAACAACCACACTTCGGTGTTTTGAAGAATGGCGCTTGCAGGCGGTTCTATAGTTTTTGGGATACTTGTCTTTATACGGTTCGCTGAGGAGTTGAACCGCACAACCTGTGATTGGACTTTGGACACATCAATAAAGTGCGAGAGGCTTTCCTTAAATCTAATTGGTTATAGCTCTTGTCTGTCTTCATTGAATTACCTCGTGTAATCGCGCTTTAAGTGGAATCGCTCATCTGATTGGTTTAGAGCAGATTTGATAGGGCGGATCCAGAGGTCTACAGTTGTGTATGTTTTGGTCTCAAAAACAGATTTGTGACAGCCTTAATATACAATTAAATATCAGGCTTTTTCAGAAGAAAAAACAAACCCATTTGTTCCTGAGAGTTACAGATTTGATTAAAACAATAACATAAATAACGTCCTTTGCGGAATTAAGTTCGTTTCGTTACTCCCTCTGTTTCTCCACCCCCAAATTCCTAATTGTCTGAGAAGAGGCGTCAGTCCCAAGGAAACGGAGAAAAGTCCATCTTGAGTTTGGACCACATCTGAAAAAGTAGCCAGCGGCCAGCTCATGACGAATGTGATTTGTCGACACCCAAAAACTGGGAACACGTTAAAGAAGTGGCTTCGCCGCCGGTAGCCTTGACTGACTACATCGTTTATCGTATGAACTTTCAACTGACAGGAAAAGCATTCGTCCTGTAAGTTATTGCAGTTCGCCTTTTGTTTTGTAATCGTCTCTCAGTTTGTGCTCTGAGACGACTCGAGGGATGGAAATACTGGACAGCGGAGAACCGTTTATACAGTGGGACCGAAATCTCAGCGAGCTGTCGGAGCCCTGCGACAACGATAATGTTCTGTACAGCACGGTAAGTGTGCGTTTAATGACATTTGTTGTTTCCTATACATTTTAACATTTTAGTCGGTGTTATGGCGCAGCTGCTCTCTGAAGGTCTGAGGCACGCAGGCCAAAATATGAACGAGAGAGTTAGCTAGTATTCTGCCAGCTCTGTCAACAGGTTTAATATTGACGCTGAAACGAAGCGAATTGGGTCGCTATGACATTTCCTGGTTACCGTATTTTTAAAAGGTACTGGGTGTTGTGAAAGACGTTTGAACGCCATGAGGAAAGCAGACTGGGCTGTGGGTTCATCTGGGTCCCGTGGAATAAAGTTCAAATGGTGCCGCAGCTCCAGGTTAGCAGAACTGGCAGTATGGGAGAGTGATGAAAATTTGGAACATGACACAAAAGGGGTGACGGTAATCTTTCTTATTTAAAAAGGCTCGTCTGTTCTTGTGGAGTTGAAACAAATATTAACGTTAGTACCTTTTTGAACTTGCTGTATGGTCGTTATGTAATGATAGGTCTGTGTTCCAGCTCTCGACCAGTGACCAGGGAAAGGGCCTCAAGCAGTAAGGGATGGGATAAGAGTGCACAGTGATGAGAAACGAAAGGGTCCATAATGAGCCTGGTGTCCATTCCAGATAGTTTTGAGCTAGTTTAGTAAAGCCCTCGTGATGATACAGCTTTATAGCTAGCGAGAAACCAAAAGAAACAAAGGCTGCTTATGGTAACAGCATCTAGGAAAAATCAAACTTAAACATGCTCAGTTTTTCAAGTACATATGCGAACATGTGTAATCTTCAAAGCGCAAGTCTCTAAGTAACTCCGCTATTGTTTGATGCCTTTGGTGCCTCTCCACAGAACCTTGCATGCCTCATAGTCAACCAGTGGTTCATGTTGCGCCATGAGAACAGAACAGGCTCTTTGTTTCTGGACGTCTGTGTTGGTCGACACTCTCCGTATGCACGTTCTGCTCCGCTCCATGAGGAGCCTCCCTCCCATGCCTCATTACTCACTCTCTCACTGTCCCTGTGGTTTGTTGACTCGGAATTCCTCACAACAATGCCAGCTGTTATCATCTGCAGCCTTGCCTGAGAGCTACGGCCTCCGCCCCTGCAGAGAACTAAGCTGCTCCTGTCCTAAGGACTGGGACTATTGATAGGGGTGGTACACACATGTAGTTCACAAGTATGCTGTTAGAAATTATCTTCTGTATTTAAACAGCCAGACTGTCTCTATAGCAGTAGGTTTTGGTTTGGAACAACAGTCAAAACTAAATATTTCAGCCCAGTGTTGCACACCTTCCAGTTCAGCTGAACACAAAAAAGTGTATTCAACATTAAGAATGATGATGTACATGATATATGCATTTATTTGCACAAAACCGGTACTGTTGTGATACTTGATATCATTTATCAGTCCAAGGCTATTCAGCATTGTGATCATTCAACGCTAGGAATTTTGCTGTGTATTAATTCAGTAATATAAAGTCAGAAGTTATTCTGACTTTATCAGAAATATAGTTCTTGACTTTTAAGCACTAGTACACCTATTTGCAGGCTCGTCTGGTACATTATATATTACAGTATATTTTACAATTTACCAGTATCATCAGACTTTTGCAAAGAATGGTATCTGGAAAAATAATATATCATGTCAGATTTCACAGGCTGAGAAACAACTGCTTGACTATGCATAGAAAAGTAAGGCTCAGGCTTGTTTTCTCTTCAGGGGCAGGGTTTAGAGAGCTGCTGAGAGAAGCGCTTCAGCAGAGGCCTGTGCTCAGCATTTCTTACTGCTCATAGTAAGCTCGGCGAAGTAATGCGAGATTAGCCTGGCAAAGCACATTAGCCTCCGCCACTATCCCTGCTCCGTTCAGTCCTGTTTTGGAGGCCAGATGTGCTATGCTGCCTTGGACTTCCATGACCATATACTGGAGTTATGGAGAGTGCTACAGTCTGCCAACTCCAGTGCCAACATGAAGAAGGATACAGTTTAAAAAGAGCTGTCCAGCCTTACTCGTCCATTATAGTATAGCAGTGTTTTCGTTAGTCAAGATCACCTTCTTCAGAACCTTTAAATACAGTGTATCTAGAAAAATTAGGGTCTTTTTAAAATGTTTTTTAGTCACAGTAGGGATTCCTAAGGTCATCACATTGAAAACACTGCTGGGACGGAAAAAAAATAACCCGCTGGCACTCAAGATGTCTATTTTTCAGATTCTGAGTCAGATAAATTTATGATCAAGTTAGAATTTTGGCACTGTTGTTGGCTTATAATGGGGATTGTCCTTAATGGCTCTGAATATTCAACCTCCCAGAACATAGTACCTATCTCTGGGGTTTGTTCGTGCATACAGTCAAACTATGGGTTGTGTTTCCACAGCTACTGAGCTTTTTTCTCCCTTCAGTAGCAAATACCACAGACTGCTGCAAGACCAACGTGTTTTTCGTCCCTTGCTCTGGTTCTCTGGCCTGCTAGCAGACAGTTGGGGGCAGGGATTGTTCCAGAACAGCAGCAGACAGGCAACAGGATGTGTTTTTTAAGAAGTCTGTCCTGCTGCCCATAGGAGCTCTAGTCCGTGCTGGATGTTAAGAGGTAGTCTCTTGCTCTGCACTGTTGACCATATTTAGATGAGGCATATAAAATGTATTTATGAAAGAGAGGCTACCTGGTAGAAGGTGCAAACTGTGCTGTTATCGCTGCTGTATGGAGTTAATTTTGTGCCAGTAGTTATAAATACAATAATAAAATCCACAAGCAAAATATTAAGTATCAAATTGTCCAAAATATGTTACAAATAATGAGAGTTAAATCAAACTTAACTTTTCAAAAAGATTATTATTCATATTTACAAATGTACAAATGATACAAATGTATTACTAATTTTGCCAGTTTTTGCTTTAATTTGTTTCTATTTGCTGGTTTTGCCGAGTGTAGTATTGCTAGAGAGGATTGCGCTGATATGTCCAACCTTATGAGCAGTGTTTGTCATCTTTGTTAATGTAACTCACGCTCAGGGTCCTGTGTCACCCTGTGTAAAATTGAAGTACATTAGGTAAAGTTAGCTGTTTGCAGCTGCTAGCACTACCTTGTGTAGTACTGTCTGCTAAAGAGCTAAACAAGGTGTGCTTTGCAGCTGTTTAAATCAAGGTGTATTAGCCCTGATTCTGGAGACCTACAGCTTTGCACAGTTTCAGCTATTCCCTACATTGCGTGAAATACTGCTGCACTGATCTAACCTAAACACAGTGAAGAGTGGAAAATACATCTGATTACTGCCAGCTACGACTTACTGCTGCCTTGAGATAGACAGACAGCAATGTTTAATCACTGCAATAGGAATCAAGTCAACTTTTCATCTTTGGCCGTAAGTTCTGGGGGTTATGAAGGCTGTTCTGTCATTTTTATGTTGTTTCTACCCACACAATACCTGTGTTGGTCACTGAAACAGGCTTCCTGTCATCTCAGCACGCTAGTTTACAGAATGCTACTGCTCCAAATCTCTGTCTTCTCAATAATACAGTGAACTAACTTTAAATATGTCAGCAATTTTGTCCTATTATCAGCATGACTAGTCTCGTTAGCCATAGAGGACACTGCTAGGCTAATTTGCACTAGCATCTGCAAACTCGAAAGGTGGTGCAGTGTTGTTCATTCATGACATAAAGTTTGTTTCTCATTGCTCATATTAGTTGTACCATTTTACCCAGGTTGACACAGGACCCATAAACTTGTGTAACATTAATAATTTGTGGTCAGAAGACCTGTCCCTCCAAATCAGTTGACCAAAAGAGAGTGCAGGTGAACTCCCTCTTCTAAGACCTGCCCCCCGTTAAAGAGTGCCAGAAAGTCAGAAGTAAAAGAAGGATTTCAGAAGCAAAAAGTATATCAGCAAAATCAGCAAATAGAAACAAGCTAAAGCAAAAACTGGCAAAATGAGTGAAAATGAGTAGTAATCCTTTTGAAAAAAGTAGGATTTAACTCTTATTATTTGTATTTGCAACACATTTTGGACATTTTGATACTCCGTATTTTACTTGTGAAATTTTATTATTTTATTTGCAACTTTTGGCACAAAATTAATTCCATACTGCAGTGCTCTGTGAGAAAAGCAGCTAGCCTGGAGATTCTGATTTTATGGTGGTACCAACGCAGGCATCAAAAAGCAGATTTTCTAAACAACTTTCTCACTAAAAGATTGATTTAGTGCTTTTTACCTGATATTTTAAATTGATTGGTCAAAATTATTACAGAAGATCATTAAAACTAAAATATCTTTTCTTATGTTTTTAAGACAAAATGGGAGTTTCCTGCAGTGTCAGGACCAACAAAGTGTGCTCTTTTTTCATTTTTATTTTCATCTCCATGTTTCATTTTTAAAAGCTGAAAGATCACAAAAAATGTTTAATTTTGTTAATGAATTTAAGATTAAGTTTAGGCTTAGTAAATTCTTATTACACACAGATACTTATATATGCATAATACATATGGATTTTATTATCAGGGATGCACTGATATGGAAACTGTGGGCCGATACCGATATCCAGTATTTTTCATATACATATCTTACATACTGATGCTGATATATACTAGTCCTTATAGTAATGTCTTTTCATTCAGCAGCCATCTTTGCAACGCTGCCGGGCAGTTATTTCGAGCCATACAAGACCAGACTCCCGTCTCTTTGAATGGGAGAGACCAAAATACTTGAAACTGAGGGTAAAATTACCTTTTCATTTCAATTACCATAAACATATTTGGAATCGTTGGTAACATCTGATAAAAAAAATTCATAAATAGTTTGCAGCATTTGGCTCAATAACGTACAAAAAACATGATTTTTCAGGTTGTTCTGGCTACTGCGCTTGTGCAGATCTCCACAAAGAGGAGGAACTTTCCCCATTAGCACCATAATATTTTCTTCTCGCGGCAGAACCAGTGAGCCCACTGCTTTTCTTTTTTTAAAGGTGAAATGTTCTCAGTGAAAAGACACCATGTTGAGCGTTACGGCCGTTCACCTTA